CCACATTCCTCATTAGCACAGAATGAGATTTTCCCCTCTCATTGTTTCTCCGTTTGTATTTAGCTGTCTCATACTTCACACTGCAAGTCTGTCAGAATAGCGCTTCCTCAGCTGCCAAATATCACAAGAACAAATATTCACGTCGAAGGTGTTGAACATCACGTGCGCCGCAGCTCACCGACTCTGCCTGGCAGGAGAGAACGCGGAGCAGATCCTTCTCCACGTCGTCTTTAGACGAAGCGTTGTCGGATGCTGCGCCGCCTCTGGACGTGAGTTGGCCGTAGAGAGTTTCCAGGCTCTAGGGATAATTAACGTTGCATCGTTTGTGTGGAGTCCATGTTTCTGTGTGCTCTAAATTTGAGTGTTAACTTTTGCCTTTCACCTTGACAGCAAATCTTAAGAAGTTATCTGCCATCTGGGGATTCTTGCAGTCCAGCCAGGTTCTCCCCGTTTTGCTGGCCATCTGTAAAGATCACACACACACACACACACACACAGACAAACAGATTGTGTCCCCCTGAAATATCGAGCACTCAGAGAGGCGGCCCGCGGTATTGCTTACCAGGATCTGCTTACGAATGACGCCCTCTGTTGGATTCTCAGGCTCAGAGCAGAGCAGCAGAGTGCATGCGGCATGACGCACTGCGAGGAGGGCGAAAACGATTTCATTGCGAGGGGACACAACCCATCTAACCGTGCCTGTAATCCTCACTTTTTTGCCGACGTTTCACGTTAATAGTGTCATCAGTAAAATTAGCATGTTGATAAATAATGCAACTACACGTGTACCTTTTGCTTTCTGAGTTGTACTTATAGTGCTGCCCACATTCTTGGTAACTACCCAGTTCCACAGCTGTATGGCACATTCCTCAAGCTGTAATCCGAATAAGAAAAACAAATATGCAAACCACTCACATATTCTGCCAAGTTATAATAGGTGACATGATGCTGTATTTAAAAAAATAAATGAACTTTGACTAAACTTTACATTTTAGTCACCGAGGTCAGTTAAAGTAAGATCAGACAAATGGCTTAAGTTACATTAAATTAACATTTTTTGCACTAGATAGTACTACAAAAGGACAGTTCTGCATTGCAAGAGGAACATTTTAGATTTGACTGTTTGCTCATTTTACTTTATTAATACAAATTATGCCTCTCTTACAAACTTGTGCCTCTACCTGCGGATCTGGTATTTTGGGGAACCCCTTCAGGCCAGAGACCTCAGAGAACAATTTCTCTATCACCTCATCGTAATCTGTTGACTGTTTGTGCAGAAGGTTATCTATGAAACCTGTTTGGGAACAAAAGAAAATCAAAACATGTTGACTGGACACAAACTCAAAAAAGATAGAAAAATAGGTCAAATGTTTTCCCAAAACAAGTTAGTGCTGGAATGGCTAATTTTACTAACAACAGGTGTATTTTTGCAATTTGAAAAATAATTGTCACATTATGTTGTAGCTTCATGTTGACCAAGTGAAAAGGTAATTGGTTAATGTGGACCGTTGATTGTTCAATTATTTATTAAAGTAATTCTGTCTAAAATCACGAATGCATCCCAAGTTCAGAAACCTTAACCAGTAGCGTTAACTCAATGTGTGGTATCATAACTTAAGTAAGTTCTTAAAACTCTCATTAATCGCCCATCTTGTCTCCTAAAGACTAATATTTACTGAGTAATTGGACTCACAATTGGATTAATGAAGTATTCTTTTTGAATATTTAACAAACTTCTCTAAGTTAAAGTTTAAGTTAATAGTTTTAAATACATACTGTTGGTTTGCCACGTTAATGTACCATATACTTAGGTTTGCCATCCGTCCATTAAAATACGGAATGTCCCGTTTTGAAGAAATACGGAGCATCCCATGCAAATCCCACCCAACCCCCGGTCGGCCGTAGCTTATTTTTCTGTACTAAAGGTGGCAACCTTACATATACTATGTATATTGATGTATTACATTAATTTTGATCATGTTGTTAAGGGCGTAACAAACCAAACTGACGGTGATAAACAAGCTAGCTAGTTAGCCTAGCTAACAGCGAAGCAGTTTCGGTTACCTAGGCAACAGTTACTGACCCACCGCGTTTATGGGCTGGAAGTCTCGTCGCAAAGAAACTATCTACTTCGACCAACTGAACGGGATAGCGACTCACATGTCACCGTCGAAACAAACTGCTCCATGTTCATGGTTTCGCCACCGTAAAGGACCTCGGAGGCTGACTTTGGCGCCGTTTGTTTGATTGACAGCTGTAATACCGCGAAGGAGGTCCAGGAGGAGGAAGAGCCCGATGGTGAGGTTAACAAAATAAAGGTACGTGAACTCTGAAAAACGTGTGCCTTCATATCCTATCCATACTATTCATACTCTTGAATATGTAGCTAGTACTCTGTTGCCTTGTTTAATGGAATATTTATTAATTTTCAATGGTTATTTTACTTGTAGCTTAGCTGGCATTAGTTAATGGCTATTTAACTTCCATAATGGTTACTAATGGTCGCAGTAATGTATGACCAGATACATTCTCAGCTTTCTCATCATGTCTGGTTTATTTATTTATATTCCATGGGGAGGATGGAAAGTGTGTCTCACAGGGTCCCTTTTCTCCCCAGCTCAATGTACTCTCAGTGTGACATTAACAACACCTTTCGAGGGCTTTTATGTTCTCTCTAATCCATTTTGCCTCAGTCAAATGTTCAATATGTGTTTCCAATACATCAACACGTGGAAATCACCTTCTGTCGCACACTGATGTTTTAGTCCAATCTGACCGACAGGATTCTTAGGATTCTTTGATTAAACCGTCTACATATTTGACATACAGGTCAGGTGGGATTCGTAAACACAGCTGCAGCCAATGACCTTGATTATTGGGGCAATACGTTATTGTCAGTATCTGCCGGAAAGGTTGCACAGCTGTAAACTGTCAACCCAACATTGCCAACGTAAGCTGTGTTAGCTTTATCTTTTCTTTTTTGAGAAAAAATGTGAAAATCCTGACATATCAACAGTGACATATTTTACAGACTTTTAAGATACTTCAGTTTCTTCTTTATAAACAGTCGTGGATATTGAACGCGGTATACGGACATGCACCCCACTACAACCGATTTAATTTAACCCTTTAATCATTTTGCCCAACGTGACTGAGCGCTTTTATAACGGTGGTGTGCACATTCACTCTGTTAAGGGAGAGCGCTATTGTTCTAATAAGTAAAAAAAAGATATCCAGGTACCTTAAAGTTGACATATAAATATTGTATCATTTTCTGTCCAAGACACGGGCTTAAAAATCAACCATTTAGGTTGTTCCTCTGGTTAAAGAAATAGTTGTATTAATATTGTGGCCTAAATCATATTTCTCCCAACATTTACTCCATAAAATGCTTCCAAGGCCGAGTCTGCAGAATTAAAAAAACACATTTCTTCCGGTTGATTCAAAAAAGAAGACATTGCCGTTGGGGGCGAAGGGAAGAGCGCATGCTGCGTGCGTAGGACCAGTTAGTCGCCCCGTAGTGTGTTTTGAACACCAGATTCTAAAATAAAACACTTCAAACCCCTATCAGCGAGCAACTTCCAGCAATTGTTCATCAGGAGACGTATCTGCTGCCCTCTTGGCCAAGTGGGAATGTCTCCTTTTACTGAGGACTCAAATATGAACACACTCAGAAGATTGTTGTAGTTTTTTTGGCAAACCTCTCATCTTATTTGTGCATTTATTGGTTTCTCGTCTTTTACGTCGAAGTCGTAAGCGTATCTTTGTTAATGTGTCCCCGTTCAGACATGTGAGCCCAGATATTTTCTTGAAAATAAAACCATTTGACAGAATTTGATGCCATGGGAATCCAAAAAGTGAAGAGGAGTGACTTTAATGTTTCTTCATTACCAGATGGTTGTGGTGAGTGTCCACTGAGTAGTGCACAAAGTAGAAGTGGAACAAAGTGCACAGACAACAATCCTCTTTTGTCCTCTTTATTGGATTGAACCGCTTAGAAGAGAGACAACTTTGTGTGCTCTTTCTATCAAATACTATTTTTTCCGCGACCGAAATGTCACGAACAAATTGTTTCCCATGTTTCTCCTGTGGCTTTTCTCTGTTTCCCTGCTACAGGAGTGGAAGGGTGGTGCTCATCACGTGTCACCACTTGTGCTGGGACAGATCCTGCACTCAAGATCCAGTCCCCAAAATGTTGTCTGTTCCGTGGCGACGTGGGCGGAAAGGTGAGGGCAGGATGTTCTTATTTACAATGCCTGCTACCGTGACCCTTCAGCAGCCGAGCAATTGTTGTGGTGATAAAAGAAAACAGTCTGCAGCACATCCACACACTGCAGGGTACTGCTGCACAAAAGACGATTGTTTACATTGATATAAAAAGCAGTGTGTCCTGTTTCTGAAGCTAAAAACAAATTCAGCAAATATTTACTCTGAACGCTTAGATTCTCTAGACTCTAAACAGATAGATTTTGATCTGATAGGGCAATGATTGTTAACGATTTGCTCTATTTCCCCTAAAAACAAGATCACTACTGTTACCTTTGACCTCGTTGGTTGTATCAGAGGCAGCTTTACACAGATGAGATGAAAAAGGTTTAATGATCTACTTCTCTACTAATTTACCTTCAGAAAGTCATTCAGCAGCCCACAGATCAATAAGATTTTATTAATCATGATTGAAACAATGCAGTGATAAATCTATTTTTCAGGCTTCAACTGAAAATACATACAATAAATGTGATATTTTTTTTGGTTGTTGTTCTTGCATATTCTCATATAACAACCATTCACCATCTGAAGCAGTTACAGGCATCTAGTTGTTCTTACCCAACGGGCTGCACGATTGCCATAGATAATCATTACTTCTCATGATTACCTCCCTCCTCAGTGGCCTGAAGGAAGGACTCTAACCCCCCCCCCCCCCAACTAAAGGAGTGACGTTGCGTCCTTCCTCTGCCTCTCCATATAAACGCGCCTCACGCGCGCGCTGTAAGTGTTGCGCGCAGGCGACAGCAGCGTAAAGTGTCCGAGGCGCGCGTGCGGAGCGGATGAATCTCTCCACTTTGGGTTTTTTTCCCCGCAAACCTCCGAATTGAGTTCATCCTACATTATTTTTGGGGAGTGTTTGTGTGGTGGTGGTGGGTGTAGGGGAAGTGGGCGGAGGAGGGATCTGAGTGCACCTGCCTCGGTACATCCGTCTCCTCGGTGCCGGATCGGGAGTCGGACTCATCCAGCTGCGCAGGAGCGCCGCGCTGCGAAGAACGCGCCATGGGACACGCGAGAATCACCGCCGCTCTGCGCGTGCACACCTGAGGGGGTCTGCGGATTAACACCACGTTTGTTTTTGTTGTTGTAGTTGTTTTTAAAGAAAAAGGAAGAGGACTCTTTGATTCACTCGCTTTAAGGAGAGAATCTAAAGCCTCGGCCAAAGGACTTTTATATCACTCCACTTGTGACGGTGTGAGGGGTTTTTTTGGAGTGGAGAGCTGCCAGGATGGTGTCCTCCGGCCGCGTCGGGTGGTTCGTGGTCGTCTTGTGTTGCTCATCACTCACAAACGGTAAGAAGTCTACGGAGTTTGACGCGTGAGAGTTTCACTGCTGGATCCGTTTCAGTCAGAAAGCAGGTCGTGTAACAGATATGTGACACTATCATTAGAAGTCATTTAATAATTACTACCTTTGCGATGCTACCAAGGGTTGAATTATTTGGCCTTTTTTGTTAATTGTTCCTTACATTTGTGAATCATTTAAAAAATGTTCCGAGGATATTTCATATTTCAGTAGATTATTTTATTTTAATATTTTTGGAAAAGGTTTTGAGCCGGTCGTTAGACCCTTTTGTAGTTCTCTTTGTATCCGGTAGGCGTAGCCTTGTCCCATTGTAAGTGGGTGATGAATGATGTTATTAAAATGTGTTGGGTCATGGGTCATTGCAACAGGCGGGTGGACTACATTTTATTATCACAGATTTTATGCTGAAATTTGCGTTTGTTTGATTGTGATTTTCTTTTTCTGACATTGCAAAAAAAAAAAACGCGTATCCAGCAATTGTTATCTGGTTTCAAATATTTTGGGAAGAGACAGTCTTGTTTCTTGAGACAGTACAAACAGCTTCATTGTCTCTGTGTCACTGCACGAAAACAAGATAGACAGATAAAAGGTGGATGTTCCTCCACCTTGTGCCAGGCCTGGTGTGCCACTGAGATACACGGGGAGCCTTCCTTACCATTCCCAAATAAACAGCCTATCCAAACAAAGGAAATACCCCCCCCCCCCCCCCCTCCCATCTCACACACTCACACACTCATACATGCTTTTAGCCTCTGAAGCTTTGTCTGCGTTGTTTTCAAGTAGATTTCCTTCACTGTCCGCACACAAAGCGTGGGAAAGACACGAGGAGGAAGCGGACGTGGGGGCAAGAGGCAGCCTGGAATTGTTCTGGCGAGTAAAGGTCACGGAAACGTGACACGCTACCTGAGCAAAGATTTCTTCCCGTAGCTCCTTGTGCTCTTATTGAGCAATGTCAAACTGCCTCCACATGACAATGGCAGGGCGGACAGGAGGGCATTGTTCCTGCAGGGGAGCTGCTGGCTGGTAGAGACATTAGTTATCGTTTTTATTCATGCTGAGCTGTGTTGCACCAGATCCATGAGTTAATGCCTAAAACAAATATTAAGGATTCACGCTGCACCCTGTGAGGGTCACAGCGTCCACGTTGTTTATCATTCTTCTCATTCATTTTAACAGTCTTATATTTTTACATTCATACTCCGGTAGATTGACTGTTTCTCTTAACGATTTTCTGTTTTGTTAATAATTCACTTCTTGAAAAGTGAGCACAAGTCAAGTGTGTTGCTCGGTGACCTTTTTGACCCCAATTTAAACGGAGCGTAACGGCTCAGACTGAGAGAGGGAAGCTCTCCGCCGCTCTCTGCGACGGCGTGTGTAATGGTCACTGACTTCTGGGGTGTAATGCATGTATTATTGACTCAGTCAACTGCGTCTGTGAAGTTCATATAGATTTCATGCCATGTGCAGGTAGTTAAGGACAGTCATACCATGTGTTGTTTTAGAGAATCTCTCCAAGGAAAGAGTTATATGCGTACTTGTGCATGGTCTTTGGTGGTGTTTTAGGGCACGGGCCAAATACCTTGAAAAACAAGTGGAGATAAAGTGCTGATTGACCCTGGAAGCCGCCTTGTTATTTTAGTATCTTAAATTTCCTTCACCCACTATGGTGGGATTTGTTCTTTATTAGTCTGCGTTACGTCAAACATCTGTTTTTATCTCAGACGAGGACGGTCGTCTTTCTAACAGAGTGATGAGTCAAATTAGTTTTGGAGTATTTTTTCTCTCTCCTGCTTCGACACTTGAGATGGAGTGAAAACTGTGGAGAGATGAGAGGTCAACCAGGTTCAGTGGGGGCTCATCGCTCACTGGTGGTACGTCTGGGCCCGCACAAGAAAAACATGTGCACGCACGCAAACGCGCACACACACACACACACACACACTCACCTGGATTGGGAGTGAAAGCCATTCCCTTACACAGGGATTTAAGTTAACAAATTGCTTTGTGTTACTGTTCTTATGTGATGAATGCAGCATCTGGTCCATAGTAGGCATGTCCATTCTGAACCAGCTGAACAGCAATACATTTTCTTTAAATCTGGCATGAGATTTCAATTTCAAGGGGCTTCTGTCTGCCAAATGGTCTTAATCACATGTTATGGAACAGGGATCCTCAGGTTTTACCATTTCACACACTCACGCATGAAATTCCTGTTTGTTGGCACTACTCAACTTTATATAACCTGGAATGGCCACCCAACCTTGGCCAGATGTTCATTTATTTTGCCTTTTTTAAGAGCAGTCTGGGGAATCTTTGCCTCCTAATCTCCAATGGCTAATATAGCGCTAATAAAAGAGGCACTCTCCTTAGCTGTTGTCTTAACCTTGCAGCCGGCAAAGTGGACGGTAGAGAGAACATTCAGGCCTGCGGACAATGTAGGACAGCCGCAGCATGGGTAGCTACTACTTATTTTGGCAGATGGTCTCAGGTCAAGTCAAGGTTTCATCTTTGTTGTGTCATTTCTTGTTTCTCTTTAAAATCCCAACGTAAACGTATGTAGCCTCCCATGGTAATAGAGAACAGCGTTGTGTCCCGTATGTTGCATTGGTCTCCAATTGCTCCAATTATTGGTGTGTCAGAAGGCTGAACAGATCGCGTGCTATCTGTCTAAACTTCGGGGAAGGAAGTTGGACCCGCTGGCCGGCGGAGATTGAAAAGGTTTTAACTACTGTTTCGCTCCTCTCGCCACGGCCGCATTGCAGCCAGGATGACTCACCTCGGCAGTCTGTGACTGCGTCGACACCCATCCAACGGCCTTTGTTGTCCGAGGAGCACAAGGAGTCATTTGGCTCGGTTCAACAAGGGAATCATCATTGTTGCTTTCGCCTTGAACACACCCAAAAAAAAGATTGTCTCACTCTCAAGATAGTTGCGTTGTTTCTTCACGACACGGGAAGTACGGGAAGATGAAGTGTCCCCTCTGCAAAATAAAAGGGAATTGCGCATATGCGGCATGCGAGCTGTCCCGAAATATTCAGGAACTGTACAGTCATCTCGTCCAGTAATAGTGTCTTTTTTTTATGGCCTCGCCAAGTATGAACTTCTGCTTGCCGGCTGCAAGGATGGTAGCGGCCCAAAGTCCCCCCGCCTCTTTGTTCTTCCTCCATTGACTTTCCAGAAAAATTAAAAAATGAATACCAACAAAAAGTAAACTGCTAAAACAATTAGGACATAGTCAATTAGACGTTTTGGTCTTAGACTAGAATTTAATAAGGGATTTTTAATACGTGTTCATGCTGAATTTTAGATATTTTAGGTTCATTTTAGGTAACTTATAAGCAAATCTCTGATAATAACAATATTAAAAAATGTGTGCTTTTGCATGATCACATTCTACAGAACTGTTGAGTTTATCTGCAGTTGATTATTTTACTAAATGTAATCTACACGGGGTTGGTCAAGGAGATCTGAGAATACCAGCTAACAAGCGCTCTGCTCTCCGATCATCTTGCCTGAGCTGAGTTAAATGACTCACCATGTAACATTTCAATTTCACACAAAACTCATATTCATGGTCAGCGTGAAAGGGCATCCTCGGGTCACCAACTTCAGCTTCACTGCTAAACCTCTGACTCGCGTTGATCGAAAGCTTTTGTCCCCGTCCGGCTGTTTGAGACTAAATATTTAAATGGAATTTTCTGTTCCGCAAACATTTCAGAACGGTGACGAACAGATCCTGGAGATCCGAACATGTGCCTGGTCTGATGTCAGTAAACAATATTCAGTTTGATACCGTGTGACCTGCTCAGGACTCGATCGTCAGTTTAAAACCTCTCTCTCTCTCTCTCTCTCTCTCTCTCTCTCTCTCTCCCTCCTTTTGTTTGTTCCGTCGCTGTCCCCTTCTCAACGGCTCTAAATGAGAACCAGCTCCAGGGCTCTTTGAACCAAGAGCACAATTTCTGGCATTTTTCAGGCTCTCTGCTGGAGGAATGCGGCACACAGCTGTTTTGGGGTTGGGGGGTGGGGGGTGGGGGCTTCGGGCGGTACCAGGGGTGTCCGGACTCTTTGCCGAGGTCAGCTCCGGGCAGGCGGTGGGGCAGGTGGGAGTTGTGACGGTGTTGAGAGACAACCGCGGGATGTTTTTTTTCTCTCAGGGGCCCCCTGCGGATTTCTCCATCTGTAATGTGTTACTGAGGAGAATAAGGGGAAACTGTTTTGAGGGATGAGCTCCATGTCGGTGCAATTCAAAGCCAGCGAAGATGCTTTTATTCGTTGTAGATGCCAACATTCTTATGGTGGTTCCTTTTGTATCACAGCGTGGGAAACATTTTTAGCTTGCCAATGTATTTAAATCAGTAGAGACAGGTGAGAAAAGGAAAATCTCCATGATGAAGCTGATCAATCTGCAGAGAATGGGCGGCGGTGGAGGGATGCGTAAACAGACGCGTGAACGTACCAAAGGTTGAGAGAGGTCACATTCAAAAGAGACAGCAGCTACATGAACCATGTAATTGTGTCATTGCGTTTGTTGGATACAGGAGACCAGCTGATCTACACAGCTGACATCATGATGCAATGACAAGGAAATAGTCAGTGAGCATGAGTGAAGGTGAAGGGGAGATGCGTGATAAATAAACTACAACTTACCACACAAACTTGTTGAGAATATTCTCGGGGAAATTTGGTGTGACCTTTCAAGAGAGCTTTACCAACGGGTCGTTGTTAACTCGCAATTTGTGAGTTCTGGGATTGTTTGCTCAGGTCAGGAAGCTTGATTTGTATCCGTCTAACATGCAGCTGAACAGCGCGTGGTATCACAGCGTGAAAGAGCGTAAGCCACATCCCTTCCCCTCTGCACAACCTTGGACAATAAAACAATGATGTGCTAATATTTAGTGAGGAAGTTGATATTGAGTGCTACTGCCAACACTGGCACTGTCAGCTCATTCTTCGCACAACAGCTGGTCTGAATAATAGACAAACACTACTAGCGTATGTGTATTTTTTTTTCTTCCATTGTGCGTTTGCATACACACGTGTATTCAATCATGTGTCAGCACGGCAGTCAGCAGTTGTGTGGCTGTTGTGCGATTGTCTTTCTGGACTATAAATACAAATAACTGTCCCTGAAGACTCGCTGTTAGAGGGTTGACTCATTACACTTGTTATTTGACCACAACCACAAGCTCCCAAGGGAGCTCGCTGAAAAGAAGAATCGAAAGCTGTGACAGCGACACCCCCTTTGGCTGCAGGGAGAGACCGTGTTTCCAATGTGGATCCCCAGTTCCCAAAAGGAACTTCTCAGCAGCTGGCTACAGGCCACCTTTTGAGGTGGTTGGAACAGGTTGATTTAGAGGAAATGCGTGAAAAGAATCTCTACAATGTCTAATATGCTCCCAGTTTGGCCCCCTCCCTCCTCCTGTTCCACTTTCTTTGTTTCTCCCGGTTCATCCCAGACCACTATTCATTCTACAACTCGACCTCCCGGCGCCGGAAACACCCCTGTTGCTCTCACGGCGGTCCACCGCTTGCCTAAGAGGCAGGAGCATGTCAGCACAGAGTGAACCCACGTGCACAGCGCCGAACGGATTTGACGGGGGATTTTCCTGGAACGGGTTTTGTTGTTCAGCGAGAGAGAGAGACGAACAAAACTAACGGGATGCGGTGAATGAGCAGGTTTGTAGGTCTGTGTCACTAACAATGCTCTGCTTGTGTCTTCAACAGGACATTTGGGGACAGAGCCCTTGCCCGAGATTCTGCCCCGTAACAATCCCCTCATTCGACCTCAGGGCGATTCGTTGAGCCTCGTGTGCAGGTATGCAAGCCACCTACTCGTGCCAAGTGAACCAAAAAAAACACACTTAAATACAATTGTTATCTCAAATAATGCATCGTCACAGCTTAAACTATCCAACGCTATACAAAGTATTAGGATTGGAAAACTGCCAAATCGGAAAACTCCTCCAGTCCTGACTCCAGCCGGGCCTCCGGCAGCAGCCGGTCCAGGTCCGGCTTCTGTGCCGCCTTTCTGCCGCCCGAGCAAAGCTTCTCCTTGCTGCTCCTCCGGTCCCGTCACGGAGCGAACACCAGCACCGCGTTGCTGGAGACCCGAGCGGTATTTCTGGACCCACCGAACCGGGACCGTGCGGGGCAGCCTGCCAGACCCTGCTGCTGTAAGATGGGCGGTTCGCTAAAGAGACGCCCGATGCTCGGAAACAATGTCCCCTTTGTGCAGGGGGACCACCGAAATCAGCCAACAAAACCAATGTTCCTTCTTGTGGTTTATCTTGCGCTTTCTTGGTCAGTAATCAGAGTGAGGAAGTTTGGACTCTAGACTCATTACGTGACTGAAAGGCCTCGGGGGAAAGTAAACGGCACATTGCCGGGACTCTAGAAAGATGCTGGGACAGTCCTTGACGGGAACGAATGGTGGACCACACTAATCGGCCTGTTGAGATTTCCTTTTGGTGCAGTCCACATTTGCTGAGAATTTAGAGAGCCTGCATCATTTAGTAGGCCCGCAAGGAATGTTCAGGATCTCATATCTATCTAATGTAATGCATCCCTATAAGGCCATGTGCTAAGATGCTGTACCGTCTTGTTTTCTGTCACTGGACGAGAGCCGGAGGTTACACGACCCAAAATTCTGCGGCCAATGGCAGTGGTATGCAAGACATGTTTGATGTTCCCCTGGGATCTCTTTAATGAGGCTTTTTCAAATGGATGCTGTGTGGAAGGAATGTGTTAGCTGAGCACATGTTCCCATGTGAAAGTTCAAGTCACTGGATGACTCGAGATGAACCAAAAATAAACTAGAAATGAGTCAGAAAGTTCCAAGGAAGAAGAGTTCAAATAGCATGTAGGTCGCCAGCTGTGACACTTCTGAAATACAAGCTTTTGACTCAAGGATTTGTTTCCAGAGAACAGATCAGCGATTTAGCGAAGAGAACAGCAATTAGAAAGAAAAAATTGGATTTATAGTAGATATTGTTTTAAATGTTCTACCACTAGCCTCAGTCATCAAACGGTAAGGAATACTTTCTTTGTGTACATCTAATATCGTCCCTGTCTGTCTTCTGTCAGAGGTCACAGCCCGCTGACCTGGACCCTCGGTGATCCCGGTCGATCGATCCCATCAGAGGGCGTGAAGGTGGAGCAGTGCGATTCCAGACATCGCTCTTCTTCACACTGCAGCAAACTCACGGTCACAGGCTTAAGTGCCAATGACACGGGCAGCTACAGATGTCAACATACCAAGAACCAACACGCCACCTCCATCTACGTTTTTGTCCCAGGTGAGACCTGTAAGAGTCAACCGTCCTGATGGAAGACTTTTTCACAGGGTGATGGAGGTATGGAGTTGAACAGAGACCATAAACAGTGGCATATAATGGACTGAATAAGCTTGCTGATACGCATTTCCCGCAAGATTTGAGAAAGAATCAAGAAAAAAAATCTCAGCGAGAACAAAAGAGAAGTCCGTAAAAAAAAACGTTTTTTTAAAAGAATATACAGAAAAAATACTTTTACTGTGTGTGCAATTGCAAAAGTTTGCAATTGCGAGCAATACAATGATTTCTATGAGAAGCTGATTTAATTAATACGCATTCAGATTGTAGTGCCACACCTCTCCTTCTCAGAAAGAGAGAGAGACGGAGAGAGGAGGTGTTTTTTTTGGCCCTTTTTTTTGTCTCCTCCTGAGCCGGGAGGGTGAGCGCGATTGCACGGAAAGCCCAATCATTTCCTCTTCCAGCTACTGTTTTCAGAAGCCTCCGCTAACGCGTCACATGGTCCCAGATTCTGTTACAGAATCGCTGAAACGGATAATTCATGTCCATTTCAGTTCCAGGCGTGTGCTTTTTGACATGCAATATGACCAAGATGAAATCCTGAAATATTGGACTGAGGGATGTGAAATAGATGTAGACAATGGCTGAACTGAAGGCTGGATGCACTTTGTTCCCTCTGTGTGAATGTGGTTCCCAGGCCGCCTGCTGTGCCTGTGTTTAGTCTAACGCTCCCTTTTCAATGCCCTTCAGCTGTTTATTACATAATTGTCCATGCTTTTCAAATAATGGTTCCTTTATCACACCACTACTGCATATTTGACTAAACTATTTGTGTAGTTGTGAACTTCCCACATCGGCTTTGTGATGCCTGGCCGCCCAGTATGAACAAACCACTGGCCCGATTACTCGATCTGTGCTCTGCTGCCTTATCCGGTTGGAATGAACTGATCCGGCATCTGATTCCTGTGCTGGATGCCCTTACGTCGCCCTGATGCAATTGCAAAGCAAAAAGCAGTTCTAGCATAACAATTTATTCCAGAACAGCAGCTTTGGATTTGCTTCAAAGTATGGTTTTCCCAAAAGACGAAACATAAGTGGCCACATCTGCTTTGAAATCCAAAGTGATTTCTGAATGTTTCTGTGTTGAAGATCTTCACTTATTTTGAGGTTGTTTTCTTATTATTTTGTCCTTCAGATCCCGAGCAACCGTTTGTGGTGCCCCATCCAAAGACATTTGAAGTGTTTTACGTCTTCAGGGATGAGAGCACCATGGTGGTTCCTTGCCGGACGTCTTCTCCCGACACTGTGGTTAAACTCGTAGCGGTAAGATCTCTCAAATCACATCACACAAATTGAAGAAAATCACACACAGTGCACCATCTCCAGAAGCAACAGACCATGGGAGGTGGCTAGTCTGAATGGAGCTTTGGTTGTGGGGGGGGGGGGGGGGGGGGTTGGGAGTCCTTCTGTCTGCTTCCTGTAAAAGCAGGAAGGTGTTCCAAGAGGTTTTTTCTAAGAATAGACTCCCAGACTAAATTTATCCCACCCTTCAAACATCAGGAAATCCAGTATAAACGGAGTACCGGCTGTGTCCCATCACAGGAAACAACAGGGAAGTTATGATGAGGATTGTAATATTGTAATATTTGATACCAGAATGCAGCCAAAGACCTCATCAAGCCATGTGGTTTGCTCAAGGCTTTAATCTTGGTGTGAAACATAAGAGCCCGGTTATCATCCCCAAAGACTGCACAAAAACCATCTCGACAGAGTTACCATGCCAACCGTCAAGGTGCGCACTTCTCGTCATTGATACAAAATGATCATGTGACATATTGGCTGCCGTGGACCGACACAGCTGACTCTGGTTGATGTGACCTTCCTGCTGTTGGTAAATCTATGGCACTCCACCTTTCTGCTCCCTTTCCTTCCTTCCCTTTCCTTGCCTCCTCTCCAAGCCCAACTCCTGGCCTGAGAACAAACGGCAGCAGGCACGTACATCCTCTTCCGAGTCAACACCTTTTCGTGCTCCGTTGCATAAAGGATTACAGAAGCTACACTCCACAAAACAATAAAACGAATTACATCTTCGCTTTAACAGATGTCTGTCCCCAGCTGAGCCCAGCAGAGCATGAGCTACATGTTAAATGAAGTTGAGTGCATTACGCTTCCGCCTGGCTCGGTGTTCTCAAAAAATGTCCCGAAATATCTACGGCGCTGACCGACCTTCTCTGCTCTACTCTCTTGATTCCAGCACAAACTTTCAACAGAGATGGTCATCCCGGAAACGGTCTGGGATCCGAAGGTTGGATTCACGATCCCCAACGAGCCCAGCACACAGTACGACAGGCTCACCTGTAAAACCACGGTCAACGGCCGTGAGTTCAAGTCGATGTACATGTATCATAAAATGAGTGAGTCTGTGGTCTTTCTACAAATCTAGATTTGTGTTGGTTTCTCTGTCTCTCGAGTGTTTCATTGTCTTCTATTCTACTTGTCATTATTTTTACAGGTCGCGTTCTTAACAATGTGGAGATCACCCCGGATCGTGTCAGGTTGGTGGTCGGAGACACCCTCATTCTCAACTGTAGTGGCGAGACCGGCCCCGGTTCAATAATCTACTTCGAGTGGGATTTTCCAAAGAAGAGCGTGAGTTGAGGGTTTGCCTCTGACATGGGACGGCTGTACGTTAAAAAAACGCACCCGCGCAGGTTACCGGGGTGGAGTTTATAGTTCGTCCTTTGTCTTCAGGAAAATAAACACTATACGAAAAAGACGCCAATCCCCCGCAGTCCGGTTGTTCGGATGAGCAATACTTTGATTCTGCCGAACGTTTCCATGGAAGGCAAGGGAGTGTACCACTGCAGAGCTGCAATCGAACTGGCAAACTTCAAGCATGCCTCAGCAAAAGTCTCTGTTTTCGGTGAGTGTGCTTTGGATGGATTAAAAAAATCAGTTTACGGCCTCGTCATGTTTATTACAAAACATGAAAACACAACAATATTCACACATTCTTCTTCTAAAAAAGTTCTCAATTTGTGACAATTTTACAATGATGTGATGGTAATTTAGCGCTTCGTTGGATTCTAACGTTTGTTATTAATCTTTTCTTCCAGAGCATCCGTTCCTCAATGTCTCCTATAAGCGCGATCGGCCTGAGGTTATCGTTAAAGAAGGCAGAAAGAAGCTTGTTTTTGACCCCAAGGTCAACGCTGTGCCATTACCAAACATTGTTGCATGGTGAGTAATCTCAAGTCTACAAAAAACCCTGCTGATTTTGTGAACAACCACCTTCACGTGTCATTCACCTCTTCCCTTGATTTTTGTTCTTCATCCGTGATTTCAAAACCTTTTTAGGTATAAGGACGGGGTCCCTATCTACAAGAATTCCACCTGCTACAATATGTCTGGCTACAGCTTGATCCTCACCAACGTGCAGCAGAATCACGCTGGGACCTTCACCATAAGCCTGGGCAACCAAGCCAGGGGCTTGTACAGGAATCTCAGCTACACGCTGGTCGTCCAGGGTAAGCGGTTGTCATGGACCTGATAATGACTGCTGATCCTGAGGAAATGAAGCAGTCCCCCCGCTTTCAGAGCAGTCCGCTGGACGGCAGGTAGCGACGCGAGTATGAGAGGAATTTCTGGGGCTTGTTGATTCCCAGTCTGGATCGACGTAGCAAGGGCAGCTGTTGTTGATTATTGGGGCTCTTTTGAGGGGCTGGGCTCTGTGTGCAAATGGTCCCGGGCTCTATTCTGCCGCTCCAGACCCCCTCTGGTCCCCAGCATTTATGTGCACCCTCACCACGTGTATATACAGTGCGGTTCAAATAAACAACACGTTCCATGCGATTTGTATACAGCTCGAGGACTGAGCATGATCACGTTAACTGAATCCTACTGATAAGTGTAAACACTAGAGGGTACAAATGTTAAGAGGAAACTTGCTATAGAGAACAAAGATGTGTGCGTGAGCTACTTCAAGCCCGCCATGGGGGGGCCAGGTTATTTTCACTGCCTTCTTTAAACATAGCAATCCCAATAGTGAGCCAAAAAGAGACAAATCAGCCCCCTGTGGTTTGTGTAAACTTTATTTATGACCCTTAACTGTCCCGCTTCACAAAACCTTGATTTATTGGAATGACGAAAAAAAACAGACATGACTAAACACGGCGAAGAGAGATTCGTGGTGTCAATTATGAAGTATTTCCTTGGTTGTTTGGGGCTGTCGCAGTGCTCCAGGTTGGGCCCCTGTGTGAACCGGCGCAGGGGTTGAAACCCTGATGGGCACGGGCCACTGCCGGGCCACTCTCTGACCTACAGCCCCCCCCGGGCCATCCAGTCATCCTGCCATTCTTCTCTACACGCCGTCCAGAGGACAACCCACGTGCACCCTTTTCACGGCTGTCCGTCATGCCTGCCGACCCTCGTTATAAAGCCATTACGAGAGGGAGGCGGCGCGTTGAAACCAACCTGTTGTTGCTCTCCCTGTGTACTTACGTGTGTGTGCGTGCACTTCTCTCTCACAGTGAAGCCAACTATTTCGGAGGCGGAGCTTGCTACTGTGGATGTGCAGCCGTGCACGTTGGGCAAACCGCATCAGCTAACCTGCACTGCTTATGGGATACCTTGGCCAAACATCACTTGGTTCTGGCAACCGTGTCACTCGGACCCTACGCTTACAAAGTGAGTCCCCGTGTCACAACAATGGGAATGTTTGATCTTCCGTAAACATCCTCCTATCTTGAAGAATTGAAAAACACATCACTGGCAAAGTTTTCCTTGATGAACACCCGACATCATCTGATTTAAAATCATGTTTTACAAGTTCACTGCTCAGATTCAGCTGGCAGTTTACGAGATGTGATTCAGATATATTGCACAGCATTTGCACAAATTGCACAGCTGTGTTGGAAGTCAGAAACTTAAGTGCCACCACATACTGAAATTGTATTTACAAGTACACAGTAAAACAACTGGACTGAAATGACTCAGGCCCAGAATACGACACATTAATCAAAGAGACGCAGCCGTCTCGTCTGTGGTCAGTGGCTGTGTGGGCTGACGGGGAAATGTATTGATCTCAGATTCCAAGAGCTGTAACACAGCCGATCACAACTGAGTGCACGAATACCGGCTTGGTCGTGAACCCAGAAACAACATGAACATTCCCCAATATCCTGGCCCGTCAATGGCAGCAGGAGACATGCGGGTCGTTAGATCGGGAAAACAATGGGTCATTAGCCTCTGGTTATCAGGCCTCGGCACCATTACCAAAAACAACACTATAGACCACTGCGCAATGAAGAGACACAATCGTGTTTAATACCTCATGGTGTTAATTCAGCGGGGCTTCTATTGTTTTATAGTTCAACTGGTCTCAAAAGACCCGCTTGCACTTTATGATAAATTACAGCCGAGCGCCGGGTCAAAACAACTCTTTCTGCCGGGCCTAAAGATAATCAGGGCTGGCACTACGAACAGTGGCAGGCAGCTAATGAGACAAAGGAGCGGCTGCAGCCCGGTGGGAGACCAATTGTGCAAAAATGTTTGTTTTATGCAGCCCCGACCCTGTAAAGTACCTGTCACTGTAAATCCAGCCTGCGGCCCTTCAAGATCACATCTCATCTAAATCTTTGGGAGTTTGGAGGGTGGGAGAGGGTCGAGAGGTGAGGGGAAGCTCGCCGCATCGGATGAGGAATGAGGCTGATAGTGTAGGGGGGAGAAATATGGTGGTGTCTTTATCGCCAGGTTGAGAAGTTATCAGCAGCCCCTTGTTGACCGCCAAGGTTTTAGGATCAGCCTTATCTGCTCTGGCCAGAAGGTGTGTGTGTGTGTGTGTGTGTGTGTGTGTGTGTGTGTGTGTGGTTGGGGGGGGTTTCCTGTTCGAGGTGACGCATAGCGCAGCCCTTCCTGTCGCGGTTGCCGTTTCCTCCTCTGCCTCTCCACTCATCAGACTGATTGTTCCCCACCCCGGGCGGTGTGCAGGGTTCGGGGGTGGCGGTCAAATCAAGGCTTTCTCTTGGTTTTATAACCCCGACGAGCTGGTCTAGACCTCGACTCAAAATCTCAGTGTGAAGTACCCTTTGGATTTTCAGAATCGGGGTTATTTAAGAAGGGCAGCACATTGTATATTTATTATAATCGCGGGATGTAGGCGGGGTATCTTTCAGCATCACGTCAAGGTTCCCACGAGTCTTCTGTGTTTTATTGTTCTGAATCCAACACATCTGCATTTGCCTCTACACAAACTAGCTGCATGACTAGATTGTCTTAACACATTTGTTCTGTCCTGCAGTTGCGTTGCTAACACCAAGCCACTTCCCGTCCACATTGGTGAAAGGAGAAAGGACTCTCACAACTGGATTAAGAGCATAAACGTCAAGTCTGAGTTGGTTCAAGGCAAAAACAAGGTTTGTGAAAGTGTTTCTAAGGGTGTTTAAAACATAAAATGTGGTTGACAAATATCAGTGATCGACTCAACAGTACAAATTACATGAGAATCGGATCAAGTCAAAGAATCCAGGGAAGAGCTCAACAGCGTGTGACCGGGGCTTAAAAGTCAGATGTCACATCTGAAACCCATAAATCCATACATGTCCCTGCTATTCGCACTGATTCTGTTTGTCTGAAAGTGATTCATTTTTGTCTGCGTTTAGTTTCAATAAAAAGTTAGTTTTCATATAAAGGTTCATAGACGAAGCAGTTGAAGCTTCATCATGGGCTTTGGCAAAGAAACATTCTGTAATTTTATTCTGTAATCACTTTATCTTTTCTGCTGTTTGGACTTGCAAACAGCGACAGGGCTACATGGCGTAAGCCATGAGAGAGCTCTGAGCAGACATTCAGGGATTCTACCTGACACCATTACCTGTGAAGAGCTGCAACACACACGAAACTGCTGGAACTGTGTTTTCCCTTTGTGAGCATATTCTGATGGGATCGCACATAATGCAATTAGAAGCAAAATGAAAACATTTAAGCATTTAAGCAAATTATTTGCTTCTGCAAAACATCCATCAGAAAAACATCCAATATCCATCAGCTTTTCTCAGAAAACAGCAAACACATGTTTTTGTGCAAACCCAAACACAATATGGAAACGGTAGACAAATGTCCTGTGGGAGCCGTTTACTAAAACTGTTCACCCCAAATGTAATTAAGAGCAGGCCTGCTTTGCTCCTCCAGCCTGTGTATAGGATTAGGTTAAAGAAACCCATTATAGCAGCATGGGCCAAGTAAGGTACATGTGTGGCTCTAAAGGAGTTCAGCTTGAGAATCAGTGATCATCAAACTTACAATCATATAATAATTGTAAATTCTGTGATTTTCACAGGGCGTCAGTTCTGATACATCTCTGACATAACTAAGGAGGAACCGCTTATTTACAAGTACTTGTGGTCAAAAGCTGGTGCTTTATACGGGTTAAAACTAAGGGTCAATGATAACAAGCAAAAGTTTCAAAGAACAGGGATCTGTTGGAAGTGAATTCCTCTCTGTCACCCCACATAAATCGCTTTGGCCCGTGAATAGGAACGCACCAAAGGCCGAGCCTCTCAGTGCCTCCCAGGAAGGCCCAGCAGAGAGGCAGCCTGGCCCGGGTCATAATATAAGGAAAACACAGGGGGGTGCACAGAGGTCACAGTGCGTCTGGTCAGGTCACCTCTAAAGAGCCGTGCACGATTGTTTAAATGACTGTTAAAGTTTGGGTTACACCACTCCATCAGTATTTTGAATAGCATCTTTTAGTTACATATTTCGTTACTGCCTGAGTGTTTGTATCGTGAGTTTTGTGAGTACAGAGACGCTGAAATTGCTTCAGCTACAGTTGTGTGACCTGACAGTCAACACAATAGCTCACGCCCAGACAATACACCCACATCATTCACTCTCTTTGATGTAGCCAACTGCCCCCCAAAAAACAGATGTCCCCATGAACCCTCAACAGAGCCCCATGAAGTCTGGCCCTCACGCAACTTTCAATTATTATTTTGTATTTTGCACTGGTGCAATGATAGAATTGAGTGTGGCGTCAGAAGGGCTTTCCAGGAAGCGGCCGTTGAGCCGTGGCTCTAGATCTATAGTGCAGGTCTGAAGGGGACTCGGCAGGTTTTAAAATCCAGATGTATCCTTTCATTATGGTCACGGCGAGTATAAAACAAACCAGGCTCTGGACCTCTTTCCCGCCTGCTAACAGCGACTCGCCGCTCTGATGGCGAGTGAGTCTCGAGCAGAAAGAGCAAGTCGAAGCAGAATTCCAAATAGTGACATTGAGCATTTGTTGTTTATCACATGTTTTTTTTCCCCTGTTTGGAACAATCAGTAATAATTGCCCCCATTTATCCCAATTAGACTGTGAGCACCCTGGTGATAGGAGCGGCGATCACGTCAGGAAATTACTCGTGTGTGGCCCAGAATGAAGTCGGCAACAGCACAATGACGATCCCCTTCTACGTTGATGGTAAGTAGGTCAGCTGAGATGTATTAAATTGGACACTGATTTAAATTGAAGAATACAGGGCATAGGATTCGTTTAGATGATCCAGGCGCACAGCACACGCTGTAACGAAGTGCAAGAAACAGCAAAGGAATGTGCAGATTGCATTGTGCAATAAAGAAGCCAGAGGAGGGCATTAATTGGAACCATCTTCCAGTAGAGCTGAGCGGCTTCAGGGTGGAAGAGAGGCAAACATGTCCTGAACCATATGGAGTGCTATAATGGCACACTTTTAAAAATAACTGTGAATAGCTGCATTCCTGATGCAGTGCCAGCAGGTCATTCCTCTTTCTGCTTTGAGAGTTTACTTTTTTTAATGAGCATTTCTTCCAACATGAACATCCAGTAAGACATCGGTGTATTAATAGCTGGGATGACGTGTCGCGTAAAGAAGCACAGTTTCTTCCGAGTAAATTTGAGTTCCTTAAAAGCTGAGTGAATCACATGCCCTATGGGGTGACGAATTGCTTTTGGATTTATGCGGGTCAACCGTGTGCCTGATGGGATGCCTAGCGCCTGAAACCAGTGCCTATCTCCCAGAGCGAGAGAATTCCCACGAGGAATTCCGCTGTCTTCCAGAGGTGAGGGAGACAGAGAAAGATGGAGACCCCTGCTTCAAAAAAAAGAGGACACAAATCTGTGACAGCTGTCTTCTCTTACGGAACACCGAATGCTTTCCAGCAATCTGAATAAACAAGCTGAGTCGGTTTCCCCCGAGGCCCAGACTCCGCTGCTTCTCCCCAATCGGATGAGCGCGGCAGCGCCGTCATCCGCGCGCTGCACCGGCAACGTGCTTCCAATTAACAGTGATGAAACAGGAAACAACTGCAAATTTGACATTCCTGGCATTGCAACAAGCAGCTTTGCGTCCAAAAGTAGTGTCCCACACTCGGGCCAGCAGGATACGTGTCTCTGTGTGAAACAGATGGCGCGGACTCGTGTTCAAAGCTCTTCATTCATAATTGGTAACCGTTGTTGACCTCATCTGATCACTGAATGCATCTGAAAACCCCGCTGTTCCACTAGATCACCCTGAGCAAATGACCATCACACCTCGGGCGGCCATCGAGGGGGACGACGTCACTCTGACCTGTCGGGCGGCTCGCTACGTGTACACTCACCTGCGGTGGTTGGATTCGAGGAATCAAACGGTCGCTGCCAACGTGTCCCGTCTCCAGATCGCCGGCTACTCCATTTCTCTTTCTCTCCTTCTGCGTAACGTGTCCCGAATCAGCACCGCGGGTTACAAGTGCCAAGCGTACAAGCCCGACAAGAGGGTGGAACTCAAGACTGCTGCACTTTTTGTGGATGGTGAGTTTAGTGGAGGATGTAAGAAAGTGATAATGTACAATTCATGATTATTAGACATTCTGGCAGACGAAGAAAACAGACAAAGAATAGCTTTAATTCATTGTAATTGTTTTCTGTGCAGTGAGGACAAGTCCCTGGCTGAGTCGGAATCTGACCGACCAAGATGTGAACAGCAGCAGCACCCTGATGCTGGCCTGCTTTGCTCTGGGAGTTCCTCGTCCGTACATCGTGTGGTACAAAAATGGTGTTGAGGTGGAGGAAGGACCAGGTAACCAGAGAATGCTAAATTATACTATATTTGTGTGCATACATGTGATCAGCAGGCGAACGTGTTTCCTGCTTTGAAAGCCGAAGACCCCGTGTCAAAGGCCAGGCCGGCGTTTATACAGGAAACTTTTTTTTTCATTCTAGCTCGTACTTTTCTCGAGGCTCAAGTAAACAGCATTCCTGACGCAGTGAGGATTATGCAATTTCTGAAGCCGAGTTTTGATTACCAAAAGCCCAAATGTTCCTATTTATATTTACTGAAGACATTTGTGCAGTTAAGCTGCAGTTAAGCAATTGTTTGTATAGTCACGGCTAAGTGGGCAAAGTAACGGATGCGTTCATTTGTGTTCAGGTGGTCTGATTCACATTTGCACTGTGAGAAGATGACTTTGCCGAATCCTTTCATGTAATCGCATCGCCTGAGCGCCCACAGAAAATATTGTGTCTGGCTCACGGCGTCGTAAACATCCTGAGTAGAAATGAAATGATTCCGCGTAAACCTCAGCTGCGGTGAGAGCCGGTGTAGCATTCACTCTGCTTTTACGCCGCCGCTCGTGCAAAAGAGCCCCCAAATGCCAAACACCATCCCCTCCATAACCAGGCCAACTTTGACTGGGCGATCGCGTGTTGCAGGTATCATCCTGAAAGAGGACGGGGTTCTGACCATCGAGAGGGTGAAGAAAGACGACGAAGGCGTCTACGAGTGTGTGGCCAGCAACGGCGAGGGTATCGCAAAATCCAGCGCCGTCGTCACTGTGTTCGGTAAGTCGCGCAGACACCTCGAGGTATCTCGAGCTCACCTGCGACTCGGCTGCAATCGTCCGCGTCGTGTGCCGTGTACACGTCGCATCAAATACGCCAATGATCCGTCTTTGACAGCGGAGTCGCTTCGGATCCCGCGAAAACATATCACAGGCGCTCTTGTTTTCTCATCACCACTTCAAATAGCTCCGGTCTGACTTCATTAGGAAAAACGTTCCCCTGACAGATAATCTGTGGCTGCCAGGAATGCCGAGTGAATTCCTTTCACTCGGCAGGTTTTATGATCGCGGCTCTGACTGAGGGTCTTTACCTTGAGGGCATGACCTCTGCGAAGTGTCAAGAGGGTCCACTAATGAGTGTACGAGAGTGACCGCTACAACAGCCAAGGGACTGGAAACACACTGCCGATAATTGGAGTAGCGTGTCTGTTAACGTGTGTTCGTGTAAATGAACTGATCCGAAGGTCAGGCTTGCAGTTTGGGTGAGATTTTATGCACGTCGTCTTTTCCAAACAGATTCTAATAAGTAATCTCTCTTGAGCTTCAGCAGCAAGGGTTATCAATTCCATCTACACCACAAAGAATATCTCTCTAAACAGCTGTTTAGTCTAAGATTAAATAATATCGGAGCCAGAGCAACTTGTTGTGCAGATTCAAGGAATGCAATGTTGTGTCGTCACAGACGGTTAAAAAAAACATAGTTTGGAAAGAAATATTATTGGAAAAAGTGTGGTATTTATTTCCCAAACAAACAAGAAATAAACAGAGAAGTGTGTTTCCACTTCCTTTTGGTAAATACCCTCAGAGAAAATTAACAAAAGAAAGAAAGAAGAAGAAAGAGATTTGGAACAGAATGTTTCCTTTTGAGGCCAATTCTCCACTAATCCTTTTCAATATTAAAGGACAATTTACACAGTGGTTTCTTTGCAAAGGGGCCTCGCAGTCGACGATATATATTTTCTCCTCGCAGGGGATGAAGGGAAGCCGAGCGTTGAGGTCATCATCTTGGTGTGTACGGGAGCTGCAGCCACGTTGCTCTGGCTCATGCTGATCCTCTTCATCCGCAAGCTGAGGAAGGTAAGACGCGATGCTACTACTACTACTTTATTTCAAAAAGCATGTGAGCATTCGGGCAGATGTGGAATGTTCAAGTGTCATGTGATCTTTCTTTTGCGGTTCCTGTTTCCCGTGTTTGGACCAAGGATGAGGCTGACTATTGCTTCTTGTGTAATACACTTAAATGGAAGGACAAATTTATCGTTTCTCACTGTTTATGATTTCCACATTTCCTTCAATGAGTGAGAAATGCTGAGCTCATGTTTCTGTGTTCGGCCAAAGGAGACCAGCATTTACTCATGTAAATAAAGCAACGAGGTCGCTTGAAGTGAAAATACTTTTTATTGTGGTCACAAAATGTATTAGATAATTCATATGTTGTCATCTAACACCCTCAGCAACCGGGACATTATAAGATGGGCCCGTCTATCATCATTGACCCTGACGAGTGTCCCCTCGAGGAGCAGAATGATCTTCTTCAGTACGACAGCAGTAAATGGGAGTTTCCTCGTGACCGACTGCGACTCGGTGAGAATCCAACGTGCAGGAAAATGCTACAGATACGATTCTCATACATTATGTGCTACTTTAGACACAGTTCATTACTTTCAAAGAGGTTATTCGCAAAGTGGAAATCCACAACTTTGGTTGTTAAGAGGATAATAACAATAACAGGATATCTCATTGTGTGTAAACACCCTGCGAGTTGGACAAAGGAAAGTGCACACAACGCAGCACCTCGCCGCTCTGCAGATGTGTTACTATGGTGATGAAGGGGATGATAGTTACATATTTTGATTTCTCAAGCTTGAGCATATTTGATTGGCATTGTCCGGACCAGAGGTCCAACCACTAGAGGTCAACAGTTCATCTTAAAAGTGCTTCATGTTGAGAATATACACGTCCCCGTCGAGGTGCGTGGCCTAGCTGTCACCCCTCACTGCAGCTGTTGTGTACGATCATTACTCATCAGTGACCCGAGCTGTCATCCAGTCTTAAGTGAGCCATAAATTCTCTAGAAAAAAACACCGGCCGTGCGTTGCGTTGATTAAACACCCACAGGGAAACCAGCCCGAGGGACAGGAAACTCATCCAATACCTTCTTCTTTTGCCAGGCAAAACCCTCGGCCATGGAGCGTTTGGAAAAGTGGTGGAGGCTTCTGCCTTCGGGATCGACAAGCTCTCGACCTGCAAGACTGTTGCTGTCAAAATGTTGAAAGGTGGGAAATAGGAAAGAAAATGGGCATTTGCGTTGACAGAGCCACCTGTTCTTGTTCTCGAGCTGCCCTCTTGCTCGTCCCGGTGCCACCACCTCTCACGGCAGCTACGCCTTCTCTCTTCTCTATCGTCTCGGTATCTACTCCTGCATTGGGCAGCAGATGAATAATGAATGTCGTTTTCTGCACAAGATTTATTTCTCGCGCCTATTACAGACTCGAGAGCTGCAGCATCACATGTGCCTGCAGTTAGCGTCTGTATGTGCGTGACGGTTTTTAAAAAAAGCACGCTGCGTCTGTTCCTCGCAGAGTGCAGTTGGAGGTAAAGGCTAAGAACTGTAACCCTGTTCTTGATAACGAGTGTAAGTGTATGCTGATCTGACGGCCCAGATCAGAATGTCCAAAATATGCGAGTGAAGAAGAGTTCAAATGGAGATGAAAGTAACGTGCGAGTAGTAAAATCCCCTTTGCCCCATTTGACAGTTTTCAACATTTGGAAACTATTCGCTGTATTTTCCCATTCCAACGTCCTTCCAAGTTCTCACATCAACTGTTGGATCAAGAAATGAAAACAGGAAAACCACCAGGCTGAAAGGTTTTCCTTGTTATATTAATACTAGAGAAGCCGACTAAAGAACCATGTAACCGGAAATCCGGGACCGATGTACAATGAAAGGTAGGGCTTATGCATTAGGTGTATTGGTCACGTCTGTGTCATTAATCATTTACATTCACAGACTCTGTTGTTGGTCGTAGGTCAAACTTAATGTAAAGCAGCAGACTGTGGTTTAGCTGGTCTCCCTTTACCCTCAAGCCCATAAATATCAGAGGGATCAGAGCCGCATAAAACAACCCCTAAATCCTGATTTTCATCATTCAAAGTTGAGTCATTGGTCAAACTTAACACAGTCGCGTATTTAATGTCAGTCTTTTCATATCGCTGGGCCGAAAGCGATGATAATTATTTTCCATCATGTTTAATCAATTTTCAAAATTAAATTTCAAGGTGTATTTTTTTGTCCCCATATGCAAACTGTTTATTTGGGAAATGCAAGACGGAAAAGATATCATCATCCGTATGTTGAATTTTTATTGTATATTATTGTGCACACGCAGCCGACGGTTGTGTTTCCAGCTCCGAAAACACGAAACCCAACAGGGAACACGTTCACTGCGGTGGAAATGTTGATTTCACGTTGTGGGCTTGAGGGTTTAAATAACGTTTGATCCCTCCTGTGTATAAAAATATCTTTAAACAAAGGAACAGACCTGCGTAGATTTGCTTATTTTTCAAATGAGTTTATCTTTACTTATGATCTTAACTGAATAATCTCATTTTGTTTAATGTTTTCCATCTTAACTTTGTATGAGCGAAAATCGTATCTAATCCTGTTTCTTATTATTTTTCAATGAGTTTGGATTCCAAGCGGTCACATCGCTGAACGGAACATTGTTGCTGTGATCCTGAAACCAAATTAAAGGACAACGAAGCACACTGAAAATAGAGCTAAATGTACAAATGTTCAGTACACTTTATGTGTCTGCGTCATCACAGGAGGCGCCACGTCCAACGAGAGGAAAGCTCTGATGTCAGAATTGAAGATTCTGATCCACATCGGCCATCACCTGAACGTGGTCAACCTGCTGGGAGCCTGCACGAAGCCCGGAGGTCAGAATTACTGCCGAGGAAGTCATCCCACTGTGGGGACAGAACATTTACAAGATATAGGAAAGAAATGACCATTTTGACTTGACGTGATTTGCCATTTTCAACAGGCCCGCTGATGATGATAGTGGAGTTCTGCAAATACGGCAACTTGTCCAACTACCTGCGAGGCAAGAGAGACGACTTTCTCGTCTACAAGGTGGGTCACCGGCAACTTTTCGTCGCTCTGGCAACCTGTTCATCCCCCCCTTTACCTAACGCGACGTCTGCGTGTGTGCCGGTCAGAGCCAGGACGACAAGGTGGTGTCGTCGGGGTCGCGCTGCGAGCTCAGCGAGCTGATGAAGCGCCGCCTGGAGAGCGTGGCCAGCAACGGGAGCTCGGCCAGCTCCGGCTTCGTCGAAGACAAGAGCTACTGCGACTCGGAGGAAGAGGAAGAAGGTAGAGGCCTCTTGCTTTCCTTCAACCCCCCCCCTCCCTCCCCTCTCCGCTCCCCCCCCCCTCCTCTCACCTCTGCTCCACCCCTCCCGGGCCAAGGAATGAAAGCTTCCCGCGGATTGTTTTCCAGCCCGAGTCTGATAGGACATTTCCTCCTCCTGTTCGGCAGTACAATCACTGCAGCGGGAGCCGCCGTCACCCCACTGAGTCTGGGGAGGCGTCTGTTTACTTCCTGTCCTGACCCCGAGTGTCGCTCTGCTGAGGGGCTCCAGCTCGGGACGCCGCGCGCCGGCCCACTGTTGTTCCCCACGTGTTATTCCTGCTTTGTTTGGCTGTTTACTCAGGTGGGCCGGTGGAAGGACTCCTTGTGAGTTCCTCTCTCAAACCCTGCGCGCTCCACCTGACGTTGTAAGATAGGCGGGTTGTACAGTTTGTTTTCATCTTCTCGTCTGTTGAGGGAGTTTTGAAGACGGCGTGTAGGAGATTGTTAAAATGATTGACTTACATGAATACATCCATGTAAATCACAGGTGAAAAATCCGTCTCACTGGGAAAACGTTTTGTGTCCTTGTGCTTCACAGAGTCTGAGGATTTGTATAAGAGAGTCCTGACGTTGGAAGATCTGATTTGCTACAGTTTCCAAGTTGCAAAAGGCATGGAGTTCTTGGCTTCACGCAAGGTATTTTCTTCACATAAATCACATCTCTCAAGACTTTTAACGGCTGCATTTACATGTTTGGAATCTGTCGCGGAGGTGTTTTGCTTATCAATATCATGTTCTTTTGATATTTATCATCCGATAGCAGTAAAAAAAAGACTACTTACATCAAATTGAACCGTTTTGCCTCCACTATTACTACCGAGGATGTCAAGGATATCAGCCTGGATGACGTTCATTCATTGTTCAAGTCGTTCTCAATTTCCGGATGTGACTGATTGAATGAACTGACTGTGAAGCCATTGTTGTAGATAACCTGCTACCGAGTGTTTTGTAGCCCGGATATCGAACACATCCTTTTGTAATACAGCTGATGAGTTTAGCATCAGCATTACATGCTGAAAATGTGTTGCTTCCCTTTTCTTGATCAGTGCATCCATCGGGATTTGGCTGCACGAAACATCCTGCTGTTTGAGAATAACGTGGTGAAGATTTGTGATTTCGGACTTGCCAGAGACATCTACAAAGACCCGGATTATGTGCGCAAAGGAGATGTGAGTTTATTAACGTCCTGTCAAGTCTTACAGAGAAAATACTGAAAGCAATTTGACCAAAAAGTGAAAGCACTGAATAAATATAGCAGCACTTTGTCTCAAAATCTCACAAAAAGTAATTGAGACGTGTATTTGTTTGAATATTAGATTATGAAACAAAATAAGCTAAATTAAACTAAATCAATAGCAGTACCGGCTCACCCAGTTTAAAACCAACCAGCTCGGCGCAGATGTCACATTAGTGAGACGTCAACTCCCCCGAGACAAGAGATTAAATCATTTCTTATCTTAACATCTGCACAGGCCAGACTGCCGCTCAAGTGGATGGCACCTGAGGCCATTTTTGACAAGATCTACACGACTCAGAGTGACGTCTGGTCCTTTGGTGTTCTCATATGGGAGATCTTCTCTTTGGGTAAGTGTCACGGCTCCGTATTCAGCACTTCTTTTAGAGACAAACATCACAGAGCCACACATAGTTCTTTGTGAATTAAAGGAATATCCCTTCAGTTGCAGGTAATTATTTTCACCGTGCACACATGCACTCAGAAGAACATTTTCACCATGTGCGTATTTCCATATGGCAACACTCGAACAGATGGGGGCAAGAGACTGCGCGGCCAATGGCTGTTGTGCAACTCTCATAGATGCCAACAGCCATAAAACTCTGAGTCCCACGCACCCGCTGAAAGACGTGCCTCAATATTTTCAGGACCGTGGCAGCGAGCTGTTGTCGGCGCAAATGCTAAAGTGTAAATATATCTTGGATTTAAATATGACGTCAGTAGAGTCACGTGATCGGTTCCAAAGCTTCATAATAAAAAAAACGTTCTCAGCACAAAGGCCGGCATCGCAGTCAAACACGGGTTCCTGTTATCCGAGACGTTCCCGGGAGAAGAGGCGCGCTCCACCGGCTCAGACTAACCAGTGAAGGTATTCTGTGATTTTTAGCAGCAATGGGGCATTAAAGGAGGGAACACCTCCTATTTAACTTCTCCGTTTCGTCCCAGCTGGCAACACAAACTCATTGTAACCAGGCAGCCAGATCAGTGTAAAAGTGTTCCCCTGCTGGGAAACCACTGCCGGCTTTAAGACCCCATTGTGTGTCGCCCCCACGGCTGCCTGTGCACTGTGGCACAGAGCTCCCCACACGTCTCTACAGCAAGAGCCAACGTGAAATATGCAATGTTTAAATGCCTCCATGGGAAGCAGTGGAAACATAAGAGTAAGTGTAACCCAAGATGGATGCGTTTCTTTTCTGTACGTTTCAACTGTGTCGCTTTTGAATCACCGCCACGTGGCGTCGTCACCCGCCGCAGTTGAAAGAAAAGTGTGTTAGACTGCATATTCTTTTAAATGTAAAGCACACTGACGTCATTATGATCCTGTTCCTTTTGTCTCGCCTTCTTTTTCACGTTTTCGTTCTCCCTCTTTTTCACTCTTGACACATTCTCACCACATTTTTTCCGTTAAAGAAACACTTACACATCTGGGTACTGTTAGCGGGGCCTCAGAAAAATAAATCAGGAAACAAGGATACAAAATGACCAGGAAAAATGGCAAAGAAGTGAGCTTGGCAGCGTGAGCCTGCTCAGAGGTCAAGAGTTTCAGGGTAACCAAAGTGTGCTTTTCAGATCTCTCTCTGAACCAAAAGTGTGTCGGGTACGTTTCATGAGTTCAAATATTCCAAATCTTGTTTGAATGGTGTTGACGCCCAAAGGAGAACCGGGCCTGAGTGGTGTTTGTTAAACTAGATATACATCATGATCAGCATGAGATCGCCGTTATGTAATGCGGCCTCGTATAAACACAGGCCATTTTTAAACAAGGTAGGCCTTCATTAGAGGGAAACGAGAGTTTATTACACATGCATGATGAGATAAATCGAGGAGTATCTGATGATTAGACTCCCCGTGCCAGTATATCAAAGGGGGGTAACCATGCTGTGGTTAGATGAGTAATATTTATTTTGGAGTTTTATATTATTAATAATTTTAAAAAGAATGAAACCACCGCAGAATCTTTCAATTCAATTTTACCTGAAAGTGAATACAAGCCGTGGAGGGAGAAAGAAGCGAGAGAGAATTGGGTATGAATGAGAGAGTAAAAGGTCTTCCTGACTAAAATTCCTGCGTATAGATATTTTATAACTTAAAAAAGACACAATATGATCATTTAGTTGTTTAGCTGCACAATGAAACGCACATAATACATCAAATGTAAAGTAAGTATACTTTCTTGAAACTGACACCATCCAGTGTCCTTTCTCAAGTGTCAATTCATATAAATATAAGTAGTACGGACTTTTTTCATGCACAAAGGTAACGAACGCCCCCCCCCCCCCCCCCCCTGTTCTCTCTCCCAGGGGCCTCCCCGTACCCCGGCGTCCAAATCGACGAAGAATTTTGCTGCCGGCTGAAAGAAGGGACCAGGATGAGAGCCCCAGAATACTCTTCCTCTGAAATGTGAGAATCTTTGCGATTTTATTTTTCTTCAGGGAACAACTCGTGAAAGTAAAAACACACCCGCCTGCTGTCCAGCCTTAATAGAGCGCTGAAGTGGACTGCGTCTCGGAGCGTTGACTTGATGATCTGTTAGACAAGAACCTGTCCATGAAAAATGTGGCGTTGTAAATGTTCTTTTTTTAACGATCATAATATTTGAATCTCTGGAACGTTCATCTTGTACATGGCTGCAGAGGTCTCGCGTACCTCAGCCAGCTTCAAATACCAAGTACGGCCTCCTTAGAGATTCCAATCGTCAGTAAGAGCCTCCCGTATGGATATTCACCTCAGAGGAGGCGTTCTGTGTGTCTCTCTTTGTGGTGCACCAGGAGGTCAGGGGTGCCTGATAAGAATCATGGGTAATCCCGGCTTGAAGGCTGCAGGAGGAAACATTAGTTAGTGATTATCTCTGCAGCTCCGAGGCATTTTCTGACTGACGGCGGCGCGGATGTAACCGGGCACAAGCGGGTGAAACGCCGTGCCCGGAGTTCGGGAGAGGTTCGTTTCGGAGTGAGGGCTGTTGGATAACAATATCTGTGGGAGAACAGAGAGTCCTCGTCTGTGGAATCACGGCTGTCAGTCCGGGATGCAGCCGGAGAGCTATTTTTGTAACAAGAGTACGAGGACTTCTAAGTCCAGTGTCCAGACGAAGCACACGGATCACGTGTGCCAACTTCTCTTCTGGTTTTAATTTAAAATGACTCATATGGTGCACAAATCTTATTTGTTTTGAAAGCCTAATGCGGCACTTCTGCTTAATAATGATGGGATATCAAAAGGTCTAAGTTTAAATGCAGCGTGTGCCAAGTGAAGCTAACTGATTTAGTTTATCAGCCTTGCAAAAAAGACAGTGATTGGAAATGATGGAGGAAATCTGATCCAGACTGTTGTTCAGAACAGAGGATCGGTAGACGCAGACCAGCTGGTGGAAAGGATCTCTGCTGCTTTTCCGCTCACAAAAATGGAACTGTATTTTGCACGAGTTTGGTTGTGAGGCAGAAAAGTAAACTGCTGACATCCGTGCAGATGAAAGTCCGTGGGGTCGTCGCTCCAGGTCACCGTGCGGGTGTGTAAGCGCGGCTTTCGAGCCCATTCACCCGCGCAGCAAACTGCTAGTATATGAATGATGCACATGTGGTTGCAGTGTTGAGCAAACAATTTGTGCCTCTGCAGCAAGAATGTTGTCTTCCATCTGTGAATGAGATCCCCCATCGTGATGCATCGCAGAGGAATTTAGCGGATACGCCTCACAGAGTGGGAGGTCAATAAATAGGATGCTCTCTTCCCATCATAGCACAGTGTCCCAACCGGACAAAGCACCTCAGAAAACTCTGCGCTCTTTCAAGAAGGGGAAGGCTATTTGTTCTCATTGCGGTGCTGGCAGGAAATGTGGTTTAAATTGTACGGTAATACAATGTGTCCACTTCCCCTCATCAACGATAAGAATAAAGGCTGCGATGGGGCTCTCCACATCCTGTCGCCGTTAGGAGGGCTCCCACCTGGCGAGTACACTGTTTGCGCACCAAATTGGACATGGCGGCCGCGCGGCTTCCTTCGGACCCGGGCCCGACTGCAGCGGGAAGTTTGGGCGGCCGGCACGCAAACGCAAAGAGCGAGAACGGGGGGGGGTTAATAAGGCAGCAGCGGACCATCTGCGGCTCCAAGTCCTCTAACTTGAGCTTGACTGAAACGTATAGCATCCGTGGGGAGGGATTGGTTCGCCGCAGCAGAAACCGCAGAGGGGTCCATCACCCCCATCATTCCCAATCAGTGACATGCTGTAATTTAAACACGAGCCCCGGTGCTCTGTGTCTGAAATGAGACAGGCCACTGTGATGGAAGCTCACATTAAGGCTCAGGGACGTCCCACATGGGCAGAGACGCTGTCAGAGAATCAGATACAGCCCGAGAGGCTCTGCGTCGGATCACCTGACAATAGAAAACAGGGTGTGCGTGAAGGCTCTAGATGACCAGATGTGGTCGTTCAATGCAACGAGGTTTCTTAAATTGTCCCAAATATGCTGTATATAGTCCTCCCAGTCAGTGTGTGTTCAGTGGTGTGTTCTTTGCCTTTAGATATCAGACCATGTTGGACTGCTGGCAGGGGGAGCCACAGGAGCGACCCACCTTCACTGAGCTGGTGGAACAGCTGGGAGATCTGCTTCAGGCCAGCGTGCAACAGGTACGGAGGTCCAGCGGCAGGATTCATCGGTTGTCGACCCGCAGCTGTTAAGCTCTGGTGTTGCGATTCATTGAAGGCTTTTCTCAGTAAACAAATGCTGCACTAAAAAGTGTATTTAAAATTGTATTATGTTATGTGATACTAATAAGAACAACAGTGGCTCAGATCTATTCAAGTGTCCCAGTCAGCCGAAGCAGTGTGTTGAAACTGAAGAGGACGGACAGAATTCAGCTTCCATTCGTTTTATTGATTAAACCTTTGCTTTTCAAGAGAAAAGTGTGTGATCAGAACTCCATGGGATCAGATGGACATCTAGGCCTATTCTACATTCAGATGAATATATATTTGAAGCGGCACCATCACCTCCTAATAGCCAAGATGACCTTAAACCAACAGGCCAATGACATTTTAAACAAAGGTGGTGGAAACATAAGAGTGCTTCTGAAGATGATGGATGAAACTTAAGCAACAACGATCCCAGATGACAGGAAACTGCAGCGGATTATTTTCAGCCAGCACAACACGCTACAGCATGTTGCATTACAGATGAGTCTTTTAAAAGCCATCTTGATGAGAAAAGCGCCGACAGGACAAAATAAACAGCGGGGAGGTTTGAATCTTATTAATTAAGGTATTGTTACGGTGCAGGAAGCCTGGCCACAGACTCAATGAACAAAGTATATTGTATTGGATAGTTAAGGCATGTCTTTGGCCGCTCGCCACAACGTGTGTGTGTCTGTGTGTGTGTGTGTGTGTGTCTGTGCATCGTGTGTACGCAGCATCGACCCACAAGATTCACATTGTGGCAGAACAAGGCTCCGCTCTTACACGTGTCTGTGTCTGATTGATTCGATTTAGGAGGGGAAGCACTACATACCCATCAACACTGCCCTGATGTCGACGCTGGGAGACCCGTCCGCCGCGCCGCCCTCCGAGGAGACTCCCACAAGACCCGCCTCCCAACGCGACTCGGGGAACGGATGGTGAGAACGCGCTCGTCTCAGAGTCGACACCGTGAACTCCGGCGTGGTTCTGTAACTCCTCACACGCGTCAACTGGAGCAGGAGTGTGAACATTATAAACGGTCATCGCGAGCCTATAAAATTCCAAACATTTGTTGCTCCTGGCACAACAGGAGAATGTTTAGGGCCGAAAGGACAATGAGTTCCGACCGGTGATTTAAAAAATGTACACACAGCAGCTGGACGGCCAGAGAGCTTTCAGTATAGTTAATCCTGTGAGGAATTTTCCCCAAAACCATTGAGCCAGCCTCAAGATTTATGTCCGCTTACAACAATATTTGTCGAGCTCTTGGTTTTCACTGGTCCGCCAAGAGTGTTTATTGACGAGGTGTTGAAAAGCAGTAATGACAGTTAGCCTCTGAGCTAAACGTAGCGTGGTGTTAGCCTCTGATTGGTAAAATGCAAAGTAAACAAGCTGTGTTTTTAAAGTTCAACGTCGCAGATGCTGCGTGTTATTGTTTTAAGTGATTAAGTTCTTTTGGTTTTATTGCTGAACTTTGCCTCTCGGCTCCAGTGTAAGCAAAGGATTCCTAGAACCCAAAGAGATCGTTGTAGGGACATTTTGAGACTAAGCCTGGAAATGTTTTCCCGCCAGGAACATCAAGATCCGACCCGCTAGCGTGAAAACCTTTGACGAGGTTACCATGGAGGACGGGAGAAATGGGAGCCACGAGGTGGGTTATTCATCCTGGACGCAAACTGGAAACAGACAATATGCACTCCAACTAGAAACTCAACCGTGCAACATAAATGTTGTTATTTATATTTATTTGGTGCAAAAACTCCCACAAACAAAATGTTATGATGTTTTTGGAATATATTTAACTTAATTCCACTATTTTCGACCAATATCGTGGTACTATTGTATTTCATGTGCACCTTTGAAGCACTTTTGAGTCTAGTTTTTTTTAAAGTTGACTTACTTTCTTAGCTGATTTCATTTGTTCCCCTTCAGTTAACGACAAAGTGGCTTTAATTGTTGTTGTTGTTGTTGTTGTTGTCCTCAGGGCGGTCAGTCGGACAGCGGGATGGGCCTGTCGTCTGACAACATGGACACTCTGAAGCGCCTTGAATCACTGGCGAGTCGACCGCTGAGCATCATGGCCCTGGCGTACGTCCCGTGCACACACACACACACACACACACACACACACACGAGTACCTGCTTGGAAACCTCCCCGCTGGGCTGGAATGTAGACGCTGTAACTGTCACACACACAAACACGAGCTCCTTCGGCCGTCGGTGGGTTAGTTTGTCTTTTGTCTGGGAAGCGTAGCGTGGTGGGAGAGACCGTGGCACAAAGGGGAGGTGGGAGGGAAAAAGCTTGAAGGTGACAAACTGAAGGACTGAGCACAAAAGCCGAGTGTGTGCATCGCTTGAGGTTCGGCTGTTTTAAGAGCGCACACTAAAACGTCTTTGTTTTCACTAAGAGAGCCCTGAATGAGGTACCTCCCAGTTTGATTTAACTTATGAGTCATGGCTGTTGGTGTAAATGGGATGCTAGGTAACAAGTGATCTCAAAGGGGGCACATTGACTCAAAGTCTGTAACGGCAAAATCCAGCAGATCGTTGGAGGACTTTAAGAAGTGGATCCCGGAGACAAAGGGTCCTCTCTCTCTCTGTGAGAGCCTCACACATGTTCTGTGTGCGTCCTGGTCTGCATATTAAGTTTATGCAGCTCAGTGACAGGGTTAACTTACCGGGTCAAACCTCTGAACTCCGCAATTACACTTTAAACATCTTGGTATTATTCCGTTGGGGCTTCTACTGAAAAAAAAATGCAGACATGCAGAGAAGGACCCACGTTAGCAGGGGCCTCCCCCTCTGAGCTAAAGCCCCTTTGTTAAGCTGAAGTCCACCTGTTGGCACCTCCGCCTTCCCCTCCTCATCGAGCCGGACTTCTTTCATGCGGGTAGAACACGAGACAACTTTTAATAGATTAAACATACACAGAAGCAGAGGAGGCTGTGACTCATGTCGCGTTACTCAGTTTCCAGTTGTACCCCACGATGTGCCCGACACGGGCAGGACAATGCTCTGCTGTTGTTAATTGTTTTTGATGGCTAATTCATCAGGTAAGTTATTCATTAGGCCGACATTCCGATACGGCGGCCTCCCCGCCCCCGCTGGGCGCCGACCCTTTGGCCCCTGGAGAGGAGCTGTGGAAACCCGTAGCAACCGCCAAAGACAATAAGAGGCAATTACTCATATTCTGAGGCTCAAATGAAGCAGAAAGACTCAGGATGATTGATTACATCATATGTGAATGAGGGGAGGTTTGTCTGATCCTACGCCTTTCACAAAGAACATCGGACAGACCTGTAGTGTGAGTGGAAAAATAACGTGATATTATTTATAAAAAGTGCAAATCTGGTTGTGTTACCAATTTCCTGCTCTAATGTACACGCTGGTCACCTTGTTTTTCCAACCAGCCCAGCGAAAGTATTTGTTCTCCTTTTTGCTTTAGAAATTATTGTTTAATCATCAACATTTGTTTTATCAATTAATTGATTTAATTCTAATCGAAAAGTTATAAAAAATAGCTGAAGTAATAATATTAATTATTCACAAAGCATTATATATATTTATGGAAGCGCTGTTTAAAAAGTACATTACATACAGCAACAATAAAGTATAAGATGATGTAAACAGGTCAAACTACTCAGGTGGACGAGGAGTGGCCTTTTTAGAAGTCATTTAATAGATTTATTTGGTTGGTCACACAGTTTAAGTACAATCTCCCTAAAGCAGAAACCAAAGTCACTTTCAGGCTCGTGGAACAACCGAGAGACACTTTCTTGAGGATCAAAGGTTGCGTTTCGCCCCATTAAGAGTTAAAAGGTCAGCAATAAAGATAGTGGCCTGTGCTTTAGAGAAGAGTCGGGGTATCTGCTCTCTGTGTTTAGTCCCGTTAAAATTCAGAGAGATTGATTTATGAGGCCGGTGGTTAACTTGCAACAGTCAAAGTGTAAAGCTGCATAAAAATCCCTTTTACTTTTCAGGATCAGGAATCAGGAATCAGGAAACATTTATTTGCCAAAATATGTCAAACATACAAGGAATTTGTCTTTGTCTTTAACCAGAAGCGTGGATCACTAATGTCTAAATCAGCATGAGATACACAGAATAGAATTTCCACTTATTTATTTTCATTTCTGAGCTGAAGGAAGCGGGACAGCTCTCCTCACAGAGGACCTGGTCTCCGCTGAATTGCATTGTGCAGCAGCAGTCTCATTGTTATGTCTCCGCTACGTTCACGCCGCGTCTGCTTGTGTTTTTAGGATGAAGGCGATGAGTAAGAGCAAAGAGTCGGTGCTGAGTGACGCCGACAAGGAGAAGTTCCAAACCCCGGTTCCCTCTCTGGACTTCCTCCTGGACGACTCGGCCTTGGACGCCGGTCTGGAGTGTCACAGCCCGCCGCCGGACTACAACTACGTGGTGCGCTACTCCACGCCACCCGTGTAAAGCTCCGCCCCCCCCACCACCCGAGCGACGGCCTGCAGGCCTTCCGCTTTGCCCCGCTCTGTTTGTTCGCTCTCATCTCTGGACTGGAGCGAAGTTTAAAGAGGAAAACACGTGAAATTCCACCTGTTAAAGTGTTTTAGACGGAACGCTGTGAAAGGAAAAACGCCCGATCCACCCGACTTCAACCTCCAACTTCCGGGGGGGCAAAAAGGAAAACGTGTAGACTGTCGATTTCGCTCCGGTTTTCAGGAGCGTGCTGCCGTTAACGCTGCTGGTCCGTTTCCACGTTCACTGTGATATGTCAAACAGCTGGAGACAGCCTCAGGTATTACTGTCATCTACTGTGAAAGGAGCCGCTTTGCTACACAGCTGTTCTCACTGCAGCCTTTGATGACGGAGAATAACCACCGGAAACGGGACAATCTGAATAAATAGCTCAGGCTTTTCAAGTTTATGTTGAAAAACTCATTTTAAGATTTTATTCCAAAAGTAAAAACCAAAGTAATACGTGAAAAAAAAGAAAAAAAACTAGAGGAAATATTTTTGTTATGTAGCTACATCCACTTATAGATCCGCTAAAAGCAGATAAACAACAATATAACTGATTATTAATCGTGAAAAAGTACCGTATTTACGGTGTAATTACTCCTTCATAGAAATATCCACCCACCCAACTCAGGTTGACCCAGAGGGACTCCGTCCCGTAGAATCACAGGTTAATGGGGATTAATGGAGCACAGATGGAACGTTACAGATCCTCCTTGCTTTAAATGAATGTGGATTCCTCCTCCTGCGCCCATCGAAGAAACTCCAGCGCTGTGTCGTTTCTGTTCAGTCAAACTGAAAAAACTAACAAGAAGAAGATCAGATTGTGTATGGGTATTTATTCAGATTGTGAACACTGCCACTTGGTAATCCAGTTGTATTTATTCCTTTAGATTTCTAGATAAAAGTCAACCGACTGATTTTCCAGCTCAGTCTTCATCACTTCAACATTTAATATCCCAACTCTTCCCTCCAGCTGTGTATATGTTTGTGCTGCTGTATTCACTTTGAGTAAAAGCAACTAAAACCCTCTACGTGTGTGAAGTGAGCACACGTTGTGCGTCCTAACCGGTTGCAGCATCACAAGTGCTGTGGACCAAACGCACACCTGCAGCACTGCAGCTCATCGACCACTAAGGAGAACCGTGTTCTGTAAACCGCAAACTATGACGTCGACATTTTGAACCCTTGTGTATCTTCATGTATTGTGTTAATGTGGAGAGGAAGAAGTGATTATGCACTGATGCTTTATATCAAGTATAATGTTTGTATTCTACAGGTATGTTATTATGAAACAGTGTTGAGGATCATATCTTACCAAGATTTTCCTTTTTTGTTTTTATTTAACTCTTAACTTTAGTGCCTAGTAATTAACATTTGCAATATTTGCTTTATTATGTATTTCCGTCAAGCTTGGTTCCTTTATTTTAGTTACTGCCATCACATAACATTCAGTGGGTTTTATTGTATTCTTTCATACATAACCATGAGTAATACAACTTAGTTTTGATGAAAGTATTGTTAACACTGTTAACTGAGCATATGAAGTAAATAATTGAATAAAGATTTATATATTTATACTTTATTTGCAGTGCTGACTCATAATTGCCCTTAATCCTTTTTGCTAATCGGGTATTTACCCGACGTTCAGGAGCCGCAGAGGATGAATCCTTCTACCGTCAATTTTCTTTATGAATGTCAATTTAATCATTTTAATAAAGCGATTCAAATAATTTTAATAGTTTCTAGAGGCTAAAAGTACTAAAATATTAGTTATTACTATTTAAGAAAAAATCTGTACACGATAGAAATAAAATCGAAGTTGTGTTGTGGAAATATTCTATTTATTTCTTCCGATTTCTCAAAGTTTCAGACTATTTCTAACCCAAGTGGATTCACACAAAAATGCTCCTTGATTATTCTTAATGTAATGACAGTGAGACACCCGCTTCCTCCCCCGGGACAAGACGTCGGCAGCCTGTCTGCTCACCGGGACAATGCCTCTCCCAACAGGACAGGAAGGAACCATTAATCATCGTGGTCACGACCGGAGGACGCCACACACGGGCCTTCCTCTGGGGGGGGGGGGTGGGGGGGCCAGACGGGGGCTCCCCGTTTCCCCCCCCAGTGTGTTCCCAGAGGAGCCCCGCTTCCCGGAACAATGGGGGCCCCTTACTTCTTCCCCTGCCCCCCAAATCGTTTGTTTTTTTCGCGGGGGGGGGGGCCCGCTTGAACAAAAAAACCCCTAACCCCCCGGCTATTTTTCCAGAAAGGTCAAAAAAAAAAAAAAAAAGATTTTTTTGGGGGGGGGGGGGGGGGGGGGGGGGCTGTTGACTGTCATGTTTGTGTGTCTGCATCTACTCACAGGGTGTTTTCTGACGAGCTGAGCGCCAGTGCTGCCAGGAGTGAAATATATTTGGTATGAATGATCCAGATAGCAAAGGTAATCCATAGCGGGGAAGGAAGTATTAAATTAAGTACAAGTAACTCAAAAGTCCGACATGCAGCACCTGAGTTTTGTTCTAAGTTACATTTCCAGTTTCTCCAGATGTGATGAAATCAAAAATCTCTCCTGCTCGTATTATTCTTATTTCCTTTGTGTTGGCAGCAATTAGATGAGATAAACTGTATTAAACATGTGCAAGAAATATATTTAGAAAAAAATTCCACAAGAAATAGAGGGAAAAAACAATTAAATAAAATAGAAAAAGGTAAGTTCACTGAAGAGATCCACTTGACTCGTCTGGTTCAGACTGCTGAAGCCTTTTACACATTTAGTCATGACAGCAGCAGTAGAGAATGTGAACCTATGAACCCTGGTGGGAAATACACACTACTGAGAATCAAAATCACAATATCATAACAAATAGCTCCCCGTCATTGTCTTGTGATCCCAAGTATTACTAATAAAACACTCTGCAATCTGTTTTCGTTTTTCCCAGTGGAACGTTTGCATGTGGGAAAAATATCTCTCAGTTCCAACTGCAAAAAAGGTGGTCTGATACGACACCAAATAACATCCGGCTGAATGTGTGCAGCTTGACATCCCACCATACGGCCCCCCCACCCTCCACCTCCTGCCATATGTATGCAGCTGCGCAAAGCTATTCTCAGACACCCGCCCAAGAAGGTGAATGGTGGGTTTGCCGCATCCGCGCCTCTCACCTAAATGCAAAAACAATGAGCCGGATGGCGTCCCTCGAGACACCTACGCTCAGTCCACCTTTAACGAGGGAAGGTCTGAGCCCAAAACACAAGCAGCTAAATAAAGACTCCTCATACCTCTCCGGGTCGGGCTTCGGCACCGCTGTGGTCGAAAGGGCGAAGAGGAAGCAACAAACGCGTCAGCCGCTGGGTTGATGCATTGTTCATACGTGTGGCGGCGTAAATGTCAGCCATCTTGAATGTGCTTTTTTTAATCACACTCAGAATGCGGTTTCATTCTGGTTGGAGCTGCTCATGTGTTGTGAATTAGTGACAACAATCCAAAAAATAGCTGAAAAAAAAATGCGGATCTCGTAAAATCCCTTTCTATGAAAAACACCAGGAAGCTTGTGTTTTCGGCCTTTACTTTAATCCCCACATCTGGCACCGGAGCCATTGATATAGTTCAACGATCACTTTATTCATAGCATGTGTTCGTGTTTTCCCCCTGATGACGGACAGAAGACAGGCTATCAGATAAGGACGGTGCCTGGCATCCCCTCCTGCTTCAGCGCGGACAGAACCAACAAATATCGGCCTTCTGATAGTTTCCAGGGCGCTGCAACGCAACGATGTCGTGCCGGCACCCTCGGGAGTCTTCTGAGTCTTCATCAATGCCCATTCAGAGGCTACAGTGCAGTGGAACCAGCTCACCCACTTGCCCCTTTGTTTACCTCTCTGGCAGGGGAGGGGGGGTGTGAGTGTGCTCACACACCAGGAGGGCCTGGGAAAAACTCCTGTTCACAGTGGCATCATGTTCACATGGCTGACGGGTATTTATTTTTGTGTGAGTCACTCTTGTGAAACGCTGCTGCTTTTCAAACTTAAACTCCTTTCGGTGCATCCGTGCATCTCTGCAGACGTCATCTACTATCTGCGATTGGGGGGTAGTTTGTTTCCTCGGTTCTTTTCTTTTGGAATGTTTTAAGGCAAACGGTTAAAAACCTTCAGTCGGTTCGGATTGAAACGTCTAAACAAATATTGGATGGATCGCAGCGAACCACGGGGTCCCCAGAGGATGAATCCTCTTCCCCCCCCGCACCACGAGTTTGACATTTACGGCTCATTCTGACCGCGTTGGGACGAGTACTGAATAGAGGAACAGATCGCGGTGACATCTTATACACGTGTTCCATGTGTCAGTCAGTCAGGGTCAATTTCAATCACTTCGCTGATCCCCTGACTTTCATCTGCTTTGAATTAGTAGGTTAGCATTGTCATTTTCAGCATGTCATCGTGCATAAATATAGCCTTCACAATAAAAGGGAACTTCCTGTGTGAAGTTGTGTTCCCCTTTTTCTAGGCTGAACGAATGACTCAAGCGCTTTCGTTTTCCACGTGATGTCAAAGGGAAAGTTGTATTTTACAACACCTGTTCCCCCGGGATGTAAAAACGGTTCCCTACCTTTTAAAAATCAAAACAACAGCTGAAAAACATACTTTTTTTCCGCCCCCAAACTTGTCTGCATCTTCCGTCATATGCTGAAAGAATCCATCGAAACACACGCAAGCTCCGGATCGTGCACGTGCGTCGGCCGTTTCTCCAGAAATAGTAGCAGATGGTCCCGTTTCTACCTCGCTTCCTGCAGAGACGCGCCGCAGTACACTTGAACAACATCGACAAAGTTATGCAACAACCTGAATTGTAACGCTGTCTGTCACTGACCCCCTACATGCACCCCGTGCTGACCTCGGGGGACGGAGGGACGTCTGTTTTCCCCATGAACGTTCTCTTTTGTTGTGTCTTGTGTGATTGTTGGCCTCGCCCCGATGACTTTCACCTGTCGCCCCTCGGCCCTGCTGCCCCCCTCCTCTTCTCCCTCCGCCGCTGGAGTATTTAGTGTTTCTGCTTCTCCCAGCAGCACCCGGCGGGCTTTTAGACCCTTGGCTTTTATGAAATCAGCTCAAAGAGCGCCATGAATGATTCTGTGTAAAAGAATGACAGATACACACATGTGGGTATTGTGGTTGATTTAATTGCCTTTTAAACACACATCTTACGGTGAAAAGAAACAAATTCCATGACAGTGATTACTTGTGATTATTAGCCTATTGTGAAGCTCTGTTCTGCTTCCCAGAGAGACTGCTAGGAATGTGCTTTATCAGCGTTTACACAATTTAACTGTCAAACTGGCTATCGCACGCCGGTTGGGTCTGAACCAGAAAACCCAGAATCACCCTCAAAACATCTCGTCCTTCTTTGCCAAAGCACTTTGTAAACCCTCAGCATACTAAGCTGCACGTCTTCACGGACCTCTGGGGCTGAAAACAGACAAACGCTTCCATCAATCCGTTAGAAGACCAGAAAGAACTAATAACCAACTCAGGCGGCATCTGATAAATTCACACGTGGTCCGTTCATGATGCGCCAACACATTAAAAAACGACTTGTATTTGTGACTAACTTACTAACTTAAACTTGTTCTATTTCATTCCTCTTTGAACAGGTCTGTTCTTGTTGTATATTATGCTCAGTGACCGGTTCCGCTCTGAGCAATAAGACAGCAGCCAAGATGATACATGAGCATAATTATCCAAAAATATCTCCTTGAACAAAAGATCTGAAAGAGCCGGTAACTCAACAAATGTCACTGGAGGACATGGCATCATCGCTTCCCATCCAGAGTGCATTTCTCTTGCAACATCGCGAACCATCCGGATGTGGAAAACACCCGATGACTGGCGATCACGCTCTTCTGAAACAACGCTCAGATGATTGCACAGTCATTAAGAACGTGAAACAAGCTGAGGTGGTGTCTTTCATTCATATTTGTAATAGGTCCCATGAAAGGGCAGCTCATTGTTATCTAACGGGATACATATCTTACAAAGGAGAGTTAGTTTGTTTGTAGTCTTCGTGGTCTCTAGTCACTCTGGGCACCTGTGGGATGAGCATTGTTGAGCTGCGTCTGTGGTTGAACATGAGAGGAAGGTTTGTAGATGTTTCTGTTGGTGGAGGCTGCCCTCTGGAGGTCATCGGTGCCGTGAGTGGAGAGCAGTGGAGGGGGAAAAAGTACCAATACCACAGTGTAGAGAAGCTCTGTTACAAGTAATATCAGCATTGAAATGTACCAACAGTTGAAACATGTATCATGCAGAATGGCCCGTTTGAGAATGGTGTTATTGGATTAAGTTCCTGTGTTTATGCTTTAACGTTGCAGTTTGTAGAGGTGGAGTGAACACTGCTAGGGGCTTGTGTATTTGTTCATGATATTTTGAATTCTAAAGCAACGAGTGCATAATATTATGAACTAAATGTCGAGGGTTAAATATATATTTGCCTATGAAGTGGAGCTGGAGTATAAAGTTGATAAAGAATGGAAATACTCAATTAACCCACAGTTTTACCTAAGACTGTATTCACCGTTTTAGTTATTTTAGTTAGTTAGTTAAAAGTTCATACAGATCTTTTTGAAAATCACCGGCTGCTGTTGTTCAATAAAAGCCCACCAGAGGGCAGCAATGATTCTCTCTGATCCACCATGTAGAATCCACGGGGCGAAGCAACACAGCGGATACAAAGCCGACTGGGGAAAGAGAACCACAAAACCAAGTCTGACACATGAAGAGTAACTGAGCGAATGTTTCCTCCTCGTTCATCCGCATGACGTCTCACACCAAGAGAACAAACTGTCTCCGGTCAACAAGAACACACCTGTTCAAAGAATGAATGAAACGGAACAATGTTTGAGTTAGTAAGTTCATTCATTCACACTTCTTATTAGGCTACACGTGTTTAGGCCGTCTGATCGTGACAATCGTAAGCCATTAAAAAATGAAAACCAGTGAAAACAATTGGCTACCGGATGTCTTCATTCAGCAACAGCACGCTGAATGATGTGCAGATCAGAGACGTGACTTTAAGAGCCACACCGCGTCATGAATATATTGTGGTCAATACACTGATACCTCAGAGATATCGATCGGCAATGATGATTTATGGACGAGGCTAATTAGGCAAGAGACCCCGAGACACCTGTCAAATGAATCATACCAAGAGATGAGGGAACGAAATGAGGCCTCAAATAGAAAAGAGAAAGCGTGCTTTGAGAAATGACTCTTAAACGTGTCAGGCCTTCTCAGATGTTTGTTTGTTTGTTGTTTCGTCAACTGATAAATGCATTTAGCTCACTGCGCATGTGCACATCAAGCTATAAACTCTAATTTTCTTTTAACTCCAATTTTGAGACGGGCTTTTAACTTTAAGAACTTTAGTTCCCCGAGATGCCTGACACGTAGACACGAACACAGACAACTGAATCCGATGTCATTTCCAGAGGCGGTGGTGACTGATGTGCGGAGGGCCCATGTTTGTCACAGGGGGGGTCGTTGGAGTTTCCTTGTAACCGGAATTAGCTGTGAAGTGTGACCTTGAGGTGTGAACAAGGAATACGAAAGATCCTGCTCGCTTCAAGAGAAAGTCTCTCATACTGTGCAGCTTGTTTGCAGGTGAATCTCTCAACAAATAAAACCGGACTTCACGTGTAAAGCGTGGTTGAGAAACCGTGTGACTCCAATAATAACAACAACAACACATTTTAAACCTAAAATAATTTGGTAAATGTTCTGGATTTAGTTTGGAGAGATAAAACCATTGAGCTCATGTGAACAATACGGAACCGTCTGTATTCTGTGTCAATGTGAAACCTGCTTCTATGAGTGAATCCTTCCAACATTCCCAATACTATCAAATATATCCGCGCGCAATTACGCGCGGGGCCTTCTCCTGCGCGGCGCGCTTGAGGACGTGCCGCCTCGGTTTATGGCCGGTGTGTGCAGCTGATAGGCCGCGGTGTTGATTTATTCATAGCGCGGAGGACCCCTGCTCAGGATAGGCCCGCTGCCAGGTGATGACGCGCTGCAGGCAGACGCGAGGGGACAGCTGGGCCTGCCGCACCGCTCACTCTCATTCTAATGCAAAACTTCAAGAGTTTAGGAGTTGGCTGACGTCAAGAAGGCCTCAGTACCTTTTACCATCTTGTCAACAGAGACACATCATGTGAGAGTGGAGACAGACTGGAACTACGTGGCTTTTCTTACTTGGAACCCATCCGGACTTAAAGAGCAGGAGGATTGTTGTTGTTTTTAAACACTTTCAGGGAGACGATGTCGCCTTGAAATAGGCTACATTATTCCCTTTGCTGCGTCGTTACATTCCAGCGTTTTTGTTTGTTTTTACAAGTCATGTATGTGGGATACATTCTGGATAAAGAAAGCGGCATGTATCACCAGGGTCCAGTGAGAAGAACGAGCATCAATCTGCCTCCACAGAACTTTGTTTCTACACCTCAGTACGCTGACTTTACTGGATACCATCATGTGCCGAACATGGACACGCACGCACAGTCTTCGGGCAGTTGGGGGCCCACTTATGGCGCTCAGAGGGAAGACTGGGGCGCATATAGTCTGGGACCACCTAACGCCATTCCCGCGCCTATGAACAACTCCTCTCCTGCACAAGTTCCGTACTGCTCACCTGAGTACACTCACATGCATCCTCCGGGGTCTGCGGTGCTACAGCCGCCGCCGGAGAGCGTAAACGTCGCACAGCTTTCCCCCGACAGGGAAAGGCGCAATTCGTTCCAGTGGATGAGTAAAAACGCACAAGCATCTTCTACGGGTGAGAGGCCGTGTTTTTAAATATTCTTGCACGTCGTTGGTTGTGTTCCCGCTGCGCTCTGTCTTTATGGCGGCGCTGGATCGTTTAGGAAACGAATTTGTTAGATTTAAATCAAGGGGCGAGCATCGACTTGCCAGTTATTATATTTTGAAAGGAAATGTCCAAAGAAGAGTTGACTAACAACAATTTCACATTTCGATAGAATGATTATCGAAATGTGATAATTAAATACTGGTAATAAAATGCACAAGTCTGGCAGCGGAGAGTCAGTCAAACGCGTTCATAAAACATTTCCATACGTCATAATTGTGATGGTGGAATTGGACTGAAGGCCAACAGCTCTGTCTACTGTATTCCGTCCTGTGGTGGCTATGAAACAAAAAAAAAAGGTGAGAGGAATCGGCGCCAGGCCCAGTTGTGATGTTAATGGCATCATTCCTGGAGATGTGAGCTCGACTTCCCTGTCACATTGTTGGCTGTTTTGAGTGTTATCCGTCATATCCAGGCGGTGGCCTTTGCTTTCATCACCTCTTCACTTTGATATGCACCAACCTCCCTTCCTCTCCCAGAGTTATATTGCCGGAAAGAGTGACGCTTTTCACAGCCCGTGTCTCAAAGTACAAACTGTTGGCCTTCACGGAGGCCTGAGCTGCAGCTTTAAATTGAATGTGGGTCAATTGTGCGGATCTTCGATTACACATTTATACCAATCAAGATCATTTAGCTCTGAGTTATTGTCAGGATCAACTTTTAATTTTATCTTGATGGGATTTTTCGGCCATTTATTGTGAAATTTGCAGAGAGTAAAAGTTATGACAGCTCTAGGACAAATCTAACGAGGTTTGTCTTATTGTCCTTGTCTCATGCGTGTCTTTTTAACTTGTTAGTGCAAACTCTGTGTTGTGTTCGGGCTATTTGAAATTCACTGTACTGCAGCTGTCATCAAAGCGAGATGAAACGGCTCAATTTGCGTATCAGTGGAGAAAGCCGGGATGTGGATTTAAGAGGCAGCTAATAAAGATGTTCTGTGCAGATAGGCCGGTGCTGGCATGCAGCCTCCTCGGCGTAAATCTTCCAGTTCCACCGCCTCGCTGCTCCGATGAAAGAAAAGCGTCACATCAATATCTGATTTTGTTTTGGGTTTGTTTTCCCCCCCCCCAGGTAAAACGAGAACGAAGGAGAAGTACAGGGTAGTTTACACCGACCACCAGAGGCTGGAGCTGGAGAAGGAGTTTCATTTCAACAGATACATCACCATCAGGAGGAAATCCGAACTGGCCCTCAACCTCGGTCTGTCAGAACGACAGGTACGTCCGAAGGGGGATTTATTCCCGTCGCACACACGCGTGACCATTGATGGAAACCTAAATTACAATAGAAAACGTGTCAGTTGTATCTACAAAATAATGGTTAGTCTGCACACTTGTAGTGGTCATTACCTTTGACTGGATATATTTAAAGACTCCTCATACATTCAGATATTTTGGATTAGTATTATGAATAACTGTACTAATTACGGACACGTATTCAATATACTATTCATTTGATAATAGGCAACGCATTACGTTTTATTTGGTAAGGAATGGAATGTAGATTAAACGAAGAATACAACCAGTGTTCATGTACTTTGTATTACCTCATAGGCATTTAATTTTATGTATTTAATTATAAAAAATAAAAGGAGTAGTACGGAGATTTAACGAGCTATTGGGATCTAAGTAAATGTATTATTCCTTCATAATAAAAATATATTTAAGGTTCATTCTTTCTGTTGATTTTTTTTACTTTGAGTGTCTATTTATTAATTTTAATAATGGTTTATTAAGTCTCATCGCATTGCGTGGAGAGTAAAATGTGTCGTCAGCACCCAATAACATTGATCTAATTTCCTCTTCCCGTGTTTCACTTCAGGTAAAAATCTGGTTCCAGAACCGCAGAGCCAAAGAGAGGAAACTGATCAAGAAGAAGCTCGGTCAGTCCGACGGCAGCGGGGGGTCTGTGCACAGCGACCCGGGCTCGGTGAGCCCTCTGCCGGTCCCGGGGTCCCTCAGTCCCTCGGACATCCACAACTCTATGTACCCTCCTCAGGGGATGAACACCTTGCCATCCATCAGGAATATACAACAAGTGACTGTGACTCAATAGTGGTCAGTTCACTCTGCGCACCATCCGACATAACCGAGCACTCCGACGCGCGACAGGACGCTAAGGCACAACGCCGTGGATCCACATTTCATCCACAGCAACCACGTGGAGGCTCTTCACATATTGCTTTTTTATAGAATAGTTCTAATGACGTGGGAAGTAAAAAAAAAAAAATAAGAAAAGAAAAAAGAAAAAATCGACGTGTTTCAAACTTAAAAGCTTTTGATTGTTTGTGAGTTGATAAGATATAAATATCCTTTTTTTGTGTATGTGAATAAAACGATAATTCAGGGACATTTGAATGAGGTTTTAAACTAGATTGTATGTAGCTCGTGTCACACAAACTGATTTGAATGGACAAATCATTTACTAAAGTTTTTCAGCACAATTTTATCCGCTCCAGTAAAGCGGGGACCAGCTGTTGGTGATACGGGTCGTGTGATGGCTAAATGTAAATAAAATGTTGCTTTTTTTTGCAGTACACCTGTCATTTTTATCCTTTCTGAGTAGCAATGCTTGGTTAAGTTTTGAATTGGAAATTATCCTATGTGCTGATTACCGACACAGATAAACATGGGAGCTACTTTTATTGGAATTGCGTTACAAATTCAGGCAAATAGAAATGAACATGTCAAAGAAAACGTATGCCTTTTATTCTCTTGCTTGTTTTAAATGTGTATTCCCAGTGCTCCACAAGATTACTTTAAAAATACGCTATTCCCAGTTTAATTAACATAAAGATCTGTTGACAGAGTTTTTAAAAAACCCGTTTGTACCGTAACAATAGTTTATTTCTCTCCAAAGTTGTATAATGAAATGCGTGTAGTGACACGTGACGTCCATCTATTTTCCCTTTGGACGAAAAATGCTCATTTACAGAGCAGCAAAGTAACCTCACGTCTAATCACATTCACACAGAGAGCCTCACTTTGGGCTTAAAAACGACCAGGAAGAAGTTTGAACAACTGAAATGATCTTTCTGTTTTATTCTTGTTAAAAATAATGACCTTTTATTTTAGCTTTTTATTTAACGCACGTCACAACGGGTAGTATGTCATTAGCAAGTGCATTTTAATGTATTATTCGATGTCAGATAATCGAGCCCTCATCGGCTTCATCAGCACCTGTAGGCTGTGAGGAAGATTCACGCTGATGGAGCAAAGTGGACGTTCATGTGTAATTATTTGAGGTGACGTGCTAATTGCCACGTGGCTAGACTAACTCATTTTTGTAGTGACCCTTTTCCTAACTTCCCACCGTGTCCAAGTTAATTCTGAGACCCCAAACTCCTGGGATATGTTATATATTATACACAGACAAGGTCGTTCGATCACCATTATCTACATATGCGACCATGTCTCACTGGTATCAAGTGTCGTTGATGCTCGTGTTCCGCCCCGGTGCCCCAGATCACCGGCGCTCGCGCACGTTCAGGCAGCGCGCGGCCCCGCGAGAGACGTCATGAGCGTCTTACTGCCCAACATGGCGGACTTTGATACCATTTATGAGTTGGAAGACGAAGAGGATGAACGCGTAGCGAGCGAGGACCACTTGCCCAGATACTGCCCGGAGCCCGTGGTGATGCGAGGGGCCGGGCACATCACAGTGTAAGCAGAGTCGCGTCCGTCGCTCCGGCGGCCGCTTTATTGTTCTGGCGTCTTCATCCTTTAGCCTGTTTAGCTAGCCTGCTAGCCTAGCCAACGCCAGCTGACGTTAACGTTAGCTAACAGTTAGCCGCACGCTCCTGTTAAGCGGACCGCCGAGTTGGTGGTGGACGCAACGTGACATAATTTGGACAAACCCTAACGTTAACAGTTATTAATCCCCATGACAACCACAGACGTGGTGGACTAGCAACCGGTATATGTTTTGTTAGCTGGAAGATGCTAACTGACCAGACAGAAAGTTAACGTTATTTTACCAAGTCATCACAATGTCACCGGCTCAGTTATTATCTGAAGGGTTTTTACTGCCGGTTTGACAATTCTCTACACGGGGTGTCAGCTTCTTAACTACAATATATTCATCTCTATCAGAGGGGGGGGGGGGGGGGGGGTAACGTTAATTACACCTTAAAGCGAGTCACCCTCCATCCCCTCCTCCTCCCGTATGACGTCATGTGGCACAGTAGTGAGGTCAGTTTAATTTGGGGGAAAATAAATGCTTAAACGCTTAATCACTGTCATCATCAGATCCTCCTTCACTGTGAGCGAGTCCCAGCCTTCTTATTCAAGTTTGCATCTGGATTCTCACAGATTAGAAACATTAGAAAGGAAGTTGACGTTGCGTGTTTAAATGTAGTAGCAGGTGTATAGTTGCGTTATGGGTTTGACATTTCCAGGTAAGACATCCAGACGTGAACAATTTTCTGGTAAAAGTAAAAACCAGGAACAGCAATATTGTCCACTTAAATTACTTGGAGCAATCACACACACACACGCACAATGCATAAGAAGTTCACACAAAGTCTGCGGTTTTAACTGGGCGGTTGCTGTAAAAATACGGCATCTGTGGCTGATGGGAAGTTTGTTTGCTTATCCTAGTGATTTTTGGGGATGTGTAAGTTGAAGTGATTTTGGAGATACTAATCTATTGTGTTGATTTGTTGGTCATATGAACATAGTCATCTGGACTCTTGCCTGTTTAGAAGAAGAAGAAAAGGAAGAAGTATTTTTGCTCTCCTCTAGATGTGTGTGTGATGCCTCGTAATCTCAACTAAACCTTTTAAAAAACGCTGCAGTGTGTACATCACCATGCTATGTCTCCTCATCGCACAATCAATATGAACATTTTTCTGCTTTGCATTATTTTTGATGTAACCTGTTTATTAGCACATTTCTTTTCAGTTATTTTTCAGTTTTACTTTTGTATAAATGCTCCCATTTTATTTGTCTAATTCCAGGTTTGGACTGAGCAACAGATTTGACACAGAATTTCCCTCTGTTCTCACGGGAAAGGTACAGTTGCTTTTGAGCTTTCTTCAGCTTTTTGTTCAATTCCAAGGGGGAAGAATTAAGCAGTTAAAACCACACAGAATCAGTTGTTCTTTTGGTCCTTTTAATAGCCCTTACTTCCCCAACCCCCCCCCCCCCCCCCCCCACCCCCCCCCCCCTGTATAAAAAAATTTTGAAAAGTGTTTTTATTTATACGTAGCCTCTTTCCAGCAAGAAAGTACGGGTTTGAAATAAAGCCCTCCAAACGCTTCAACCCCAATTTCACAGGTTTCCATGTTAAGTGGTTGCTCGGACCGGCTCGACCCGCGGAGCGTCGTGTCGGTGACCCCTTTCTTGTCTTTGAAAAAGAGACCAAAACCATTTTTAAATGCAACATGACCTAAAATAATATTAGCGAGGGAGGCAGTACGCTACATGTTTAATTATCGCAAGGAGAAGTCAATTAGCAACGCGAGCGATGAGACACTTACTGTGCATTTAGCCCCATTTACGTCTGCTAACAGCCGGGTGCACAGATATGCAAGTGTAAACGTGAGGTTAGATTCTGCAGAGGATGTTATTCGGAGGTCTTTGGCTGTTTGCAAAGAGACCTTTGCATCCTGTCATAAAAGATTACGACCCCGGTTTTATGGCGTACAGACTCGGCGAGGAATGAGCATCCATTCAAGTTGTTTGGCCGCCGCTGCCACAGGCTCTGGGCTTATCTCTCCTTTGAGTCCCTCTTTGCCTTGAACAGTCTGGAGCTCGGTTAGCGAATCAGAGGCCCACTATTGAGAGATCTCATCTCTGTACAACATCTGCAATTATCTACCTGTTTTCTTCTGCTGAAGCTCTTTGATCCTTGTGCACAATTAGGGATATTTTATGTCAGCGCCACTCACGGACACTAGAAAGCCCCCTCCCCCCATCGTGTTTTTAGCAATCGCTTTAATTTTCTGATAATTCCATCCACTGCATAGAGCCCCCAAAGGAGCTGTGCATTTTGGTGTGTGCGCATCCAACCTTCCTCTCTTTTTATTCCAGGTAGCACCAGAAGAATTCAAAACCAGCGTCAGCAGGCTGAACGCTTGTTTGAAGAAGAACTTGCCGGTGAATGTGAAGTGGCTTCTTTGCGGCTGCCTGTGCTGCTGTTGTACAGTAGGCTGCAGTCTATGGCCCGTTATCTGCCTCAACAAGAGAGTAAGTTCCACACTGCCGGAGACACACGTTGGGCAGTTTTACTGTCCCTCACATCGGCGCTGATTACGCAGGGGGCTGTTGCGGCAATACAGCCGCATCGCTCCGAGTGCAGGCGGCAATAACGACTCGTGTTCAATTGGTGGCCGTGTGCAGAAGTAGGTGTTACGCTGCGGAGCTCCTCTCCTGCTCTGCTCAATGGCGGCGTGTCGTTTGAGGGTTGTGTTGCCACCCAGAATTGATGGCAACAAAGTGGAAATTACTAGCTGGTAAATTGGGAGTTCAGTCCATAAATCCTAACACTGTGGCCGTTTTACCGTTTTCCGTTAAAGTTTTCACTCGAGTGATGAATATTCTGCTACATACATTTTGTTTTCTATTCCAACAGACAAGACGGTCTATCCATAAATTGTTAGAGTGGGAGAATAACCGCTTATACCACAAGGTAAGGACGTCAAATTGTCGATTAGCACCTGTGTGAAAGTGCTTATTTGTCTGTGCCACTGTGCAGTGCAAGTTGACTATTATCCTGATGGATAATGACAATTAATCTGACTTGTCAACTTCAACCTGCCACACAAGTCCCTTTAAAGCTGAGTCGGAGCTGGTGCACGAGGTCTGAGAGGTCCGCGAGGTCAGCAGTAAAATGCTCTGTTAATTTTGTTTTGTCTCTCAGCAACAAATTACAGCTAGTAGCCGTGCGAAGGTATAAAGGAAGCTCTTCAGGGTGTCTGGCCACAGTTTGACCCCAGCGAGACCAGACAGCCCTGCTCCTAAATTCCCCCGACACTGAAGGAGAGATTTCAGACAGATTTCCCTTTGTTTGTTTGTGTGTGTGTGCGTGTGTGTGTGTCTGAGAGTGAGGGAGATGTTCATTCATTGTGTCTGTGTCGTTTCTTCTTTCAGCTGGGGCTGCACTGGAAACTCAGTAAACGGAAATGTGAAAGCAGTAACATGATGGAATATGTAAGTGGGTTGTCTCAACCAAACACATATGAATCACCATGAATGTTGCACAACTCAATAAACCGTGTCAGTGCATTCATCTGTGATTTATCGCACAAATTGATCGATCTTGTTTGAAAATGAATGAGTCCAAAACACAACATATTTAGTTTGCTGTTGTACACTTTGTGCATTTTTCATGCATGCATTCCACTCTTACACAGCTTTTCAAATAGATACGCTCTTCATTAGGTGTCCTTTAGAACTTTACACTCTGTTGCAAATGATTTGGATATCCACATTAGCTTTAGGAAGCACGGTTGCTTTATTACAGTTGTGTCCCTGTTAGAGCTTTTGCATGGCTCTTTATCCATAACTTTATTTAAAAGGACAGCGCTCGTAAAATAAAGCATCATCGCAACGTTAACACATCTTGCAGTTGATTTAATTAAACCAATTAAACCCCATTTATGTGGTATTTGTCTCCCCTAGGTCATTCTTATAGATTTCCTACCGAAGTATCCTATATTCCGACCGGACTGAGGCGGCTGGCGAGAGAATGGACGCGTGGCCCTTGAATCTCCTCCTTAGTGCCTTGTATATACATGTGTTGGAATGAGGGTCTGCACCGGTGTCTCCCAGGACGACCCCGTACATCTCCCAGTATCTTGTACATTAGAATTTGCAACACTGTCACTTTTGCTTTAGAGCAGATTTTGCACATTTTCCCAACAGAACTATACATGCCCCCCCCCCCCTCCTTCCCTCCACATCCCCTTGTTGCACTCGGATGTGTTTTTTGTTACATGTGACAAGCAAGTGAAACTCTCAAAGTGCATTTACCCCAAAGAAACCATCAGCTTCTCCCGTGGCAGTAATCCCTTGCAAAGGATGTGATGCCTCCACCTTCCCCACCTGCCCTTGCCTTATGTATGTCTTTCTCTAGAAATAACTCCACGTGGGAAGGAGGGGCACCGGGTGATCCGACAGGGCGGTAGATTTAAACGCTGTTTGTTGGTTTACACTCTTTGAATCCAGTTCTTTGCAAGCAGATGGGACGGTTGAAATTGCCTAACGTACAGTACGTCATGTTATTTCTTTACATTTCACCCCCTGTACACAGGAACTAGCTCGTAAAATAACTTGACGTGTAAATACCATGTTAGAATAAGCTGTACAGTGGTTTGCCATTGTTTACATAAAGTTACGTAGCTCTTTAGATTTTTCTTTTGCCAATATATTGCTGTACCATAGTTTTGATTAATGAAAGATGTCTATGTACCTCTAGTTTGTACGGTCCTGTTTACCTGGTAAGCCATATAGTTACAATGTACACGATGCCAGAGTTCAGACCAGTTATTGCACTTGAGCCCAGTAGAAAGTCGGGACTGGAGACGATTCCTCCACAGCAGCGTGTGTTAGCACGTGGTGTTTGCCAACCAACATGATGTCCAATCGTTTGTCATCCATAAACCTTTAAGTTCGAAATGGTCGCATCTCTGTTATGCAGTTGGAAGAGAAGGATTTAAACTCTACTCTTCCACCACGCATTTAATAAAAAGTCGTTTCATCCCAACTTTGCATTTTATAGTCTTGTACCTTTGACTTTCCTGTGCTGTGTTTGTGCCTCCTCTGCGTCTACGTCACATGACGTGTCGAGCAGATGGCGCTTTGGATCCGGTCCTTCTGTCCAGTGTTAGCATTATTTTCCTGAATGTTAGTGAAGAGATTGCTGCGTTGCACTAGAGTGCCTCTGGAATAGTTGGTGAGAGAGAAGACGGATTGAAAAATGTCTTCTTGTAAAAAAAGGAGATTTGAAATCCTCCCCCGTTACAATTCCTGTAAGTGTTCGTCATGGTGACCTCGTCCCTACGGAGAGGAAATAAATACTCCATTTTTAAATTTCTTTGCTTCTTTTTGTGTCATCTTAGTAAAAACAGATCGTTGTCCACCCAAACCTGCTGTGCCTATTTGTCACGTTTAACAAGGTGTTGAACCGTTAACTTTAACAAGACAGTTTGAATTTCGTCGACACGTTGGAGGAAGAACTGAGGAATGCCATTACTACAACTTACTGCTACTTTCTGACGTTATGGGTCAAGGGTCAGAGAATACTGCGCCACGTCTACTTTATCTCTGCACAACCCCCGAACGCCGAGGCAGAGGGCTTCACTTCAGTCCGCCTGCTTTTATGGTCCTTTGTTTCACGTCCAGTCTCTCCCCGACTAGTTTCAGCAACCTTTTACTGCACCAGTGCTCAATCCTTTTAACTTAGTAAAATAAATCAGAATCGCATCGAAAGAATAACTAATATAAGTTGAGAGAACTACTTTTACTTGACTAATTTATGGTTTTACATTTTAATCTAAATGAATCTTTTGCAGTTCCTTAGGATTCGTGAGGTCACAAGAAGGAATGAGAAAGTTGGAGATTATACATACTGTATTAATCCCCAGGGGGAAATTGGAATAATGTGTTTTACTTATAAACTTGAAATGCAGGAATTTGACCTGAGTTACTTCTTCCTCTACTCTCATGACACCGAGCAGAGCGGCTGTAACATTCCCATTTCTACGTTTTACATTTCTAGAAAATTGTTTTTCGCGTGCTCAAACACGTGCGTGTTTGTGTGAGCAGGAAAGGTCGTAAAAACATTACAGCGCCTCTGAACCGACCGTTCCTTTGTACTCAGGCGGTGTGCGAGTTTGTCCATTTTTAATTCTGCATGTAAATAGCTTGACTGCTGACAAAATGCGTCTCCAAGAGACTGAATTAAGGAAAGACCCGAGTCCCTTCTGTACAGCGTCCGTCCACAAGGTGTCAGACGGAGCCGTGGACACACCGTACGGTTGGTTGGACATTTGTGTGGTAAATTATTTCAATCCTTTGCCCTCGTCCTGCTGTTCATGAATTAAATGTGTGTTTTACCAGAGAACTTGGCATAACTACTAAACCCCCGTGAAGATTGGAACAAGTAGCAGCTCGTGAAGTGCAGCGTCGACATGTACGGTTTCACTATTTTATCTTATCACGGACAATTTGTGAATGGAAATATTCCATGTTATACACCACATAAACAGGAACAGTGTGATTTGTAATGACTTTATTGAGCATAATAAAACAGTGGACAGCCTAATACATACATTACCAACTGTATACACTGTATTCCACTGCCAATCTCAAACAAATTCTCAATTAAGTCTTGTCTCAAGTGATGCACAAGAAAGGCCACTGGGAACGTGTTGACACACAAAAAGAACGAGGTAACACCGATTTATCTGAACAAATCTGTCCTTTGAAATTCCATTTACGTTGTGAGAAAATTATGATGGGAAACACATTTTGGTGCAGTGGAAATTTAAGGCAAGTATACATTCTGGTTTGTCCTTCAATATCTACAAGGCACACACCTATGGAAGCCATTCAGCATAAACGCTTCTTAAGATCATCAGCTCACAGTTTTAAAACAACAATATAAAAGTATTTCCTGTTGCAGAATTTGCTAATATAAGAGAAAATGAACCAACGGTTTCCATCCTGTTAAAAACAGAGTCGCTTTATGTAGCTGCAGCTGTTGATTTTTGCCTCGACTTGGACTCTATTTAACTCAATTACTGTCATTGCTTCATCATTCTGATGCACGTTTTAAAAGTGTAAATTAAAGTTAAAATAAAATCACAGGAGGTACAAAAGCTACAGAAGAGGATGGTTGTTCTGTCTTTGGCATGAGTCCATTACAACAGCAGCTATTTTTGTTATACAAGTAATCTACATACTTACACTTCATCTACATACATCGTAAGCGCTACATCTCATCGTTTACAGAAATCCCTCCGATGATGGCATGATTTAAAAAGGAAAGCAAAAATAAGAAGTACTCAGAAGAAGTTGTTCCAAAAAGACCCAACAACCATCTTTCCAGTTTGTCCACAATTCACTGATTGTCATCGTCTTTGCACCCCGATCGATCCCATTTTGTGCATCTGCCCTTCGAGTGTGAAAGGAACGCGGAGACAAACATGCTTCTACAGTCCTCTTCAGCAAACACGCTCTGTGTTACAAAAGGTTCAACAACGACGAGCTGCGCGCCGGTAGAAGCAAATAGCGCCGTTTGGCTACACGAGACTGCCGGGCCAGGACACCACCGTCAGCGTGACTTTGTTTTTCTGCAGCTTGAGCATGGGGATGAGGGAGGAGTTGTTCATGCCCACCGTGGTGGCGCCGTTCACCGCCACGATCTCGTCGCCGCACCTGCAGGGAAGCACGGAGCGTTAACGCCCAGAGGAGGCGGACGAGGAGGGGGGACGCCGTGCGGCGGGGAGTCAAAACCGCCGGCTTCACTTACTTGAGGCGCCCGTCGAAGTGAGCGGGCGTGCCGGGCACGATGGTCTTGATGAAGAAAGGCTGCTGGCCGTGGCTCTCCTCGTAGCCGCCGACGATGCTGAAGCCCCAGCTCTCGTTGTTGGTCTTCTGCAGGACGATGTCCCGGCACCAGTGCATGGGACTGAGACGAGACAATAAATAAAGAGTCAGCCGTCTCTCACGCATCCCAATCACCTCGAAACGCGCTTGAAGTGGTGGAGCGGAGTCCACGCCGTACCTCGGCAGTCCCAGCCAGCGGGTCCACAGCGGCGTCCAGTTGAGGGCGTCCTCTCGCGGGTCGTCCGCGGCGTCCTGTTGGTCCTGGTTGGCGGCCTCGGCGTCCTCCTCCGGGTCCTCCGAGTGTGTCTGGATGACTCGGAGTGCCACCTGGGACTGAGCCGTCTGGGTCTTCAGCGCTGAAACCGCCTCGTTGTAGGTCAACTGGGTCAGGTCCACGCCGTTGATGCTCAGCAGAACGTCGCCTGGGGAGACACACGCACCAAGGGGTGACCAGGGGGAGAAAAACGTTGTGTTTAAGAAGAAAAAAAAAAAAAAAACAGAGGGACGAGATGGACATAAAAAGACTGCATCTACAAATCTAATCCAACGTGGACATGCGAGAACTTGCAGTTCCATGTATTTATTCCCCACAAAATGAAGAACCACACTTCGTCCTGTGTTAGTTAATCAACTGATCTTTTGATGGAAGGACAACTCCTTTACGTATTTAAGTATTCCGAAAATAATTGAGTGTATATCTTTGGTCGACAAACTGTACAAAGTGTTAGGGATTTAAGCCAGAAGTGCACCCCTAGTGGTGGAAATAATAATAATACGTGTAACAATGTTTAGTGTTATAATTGTAGTTTGTGATGTTAGATATTAGTTATTACATTAACATGTTAGATTAAGTGAATGCAATTTGAATCAGCTTTCAGTACCAATTCCTTCTTCAACGTCAACATCACACATCAGCAGATGCGGCTTCGTACCTCTTTTGATGGTGCCGTCCCGGTGCAGACAGCCCACCGGCTGCACACTCGTGATGTAAACGGGCAGTCGGCTGCGACAGTCCCTCCCCCCGGCGATGGTGATGCCCAGGGAGAGCCGAGGCTCCTTCTTCAGACTCACAGTCTTCTCCTGGCTGGAAAACCCACCCGGAGGATCCTTCAGGGACAACGGAGAGGGTGAGCGCTCGGCGCGAAGAGACACACCGCTTGGAGTTACAACGGAATGCGGCTCCTCGTTAAAAAAAAAAGTTTTATCACGGCCTCTTTAATTTGAAATCAGTTTTATATTATTTTGTTCGACAAAACACACACTTCCGCCTCTCCAGGACTCTTTGACTGAAGTGGCTCCTACAACAAAAAACACTCGTAGAAACAAATGTGAAGCATTTGAGAAGGAGCTGAGAGGACGGCGCCAACGTGCGAGGATCAACACGCGGCTCTCGTAGTGGAAAAGACGTGTGGGAAATGACAGCTCCGGCCGGCCCCCCTTGTTTCTCCGTGGGGTCTGTAGACCCATCAGAGGGGAAGCCCCCTCAGCAGGGAACCCCCCCCCCCGCCCAGCAAGACGAAAAGGCCCGACTCTCCAGGCGAAAGCTAACTGTCACCAGCTTTGATCCTCGGCCACCCGAAGCAGCGAGCAAAAAGGAGGAAAAAAACAAAAAAACAACAAGACGGCGGCCCGGCGGCGGCAGAGAGAGCAGCACCCGGGGCCTTTTGATCAGGCCGGAGGGCGCGCAGAGGGGCTTTCATCTCCGCTCAACGACGCAGGTGTCTGCTCTCAAAGCTTCTCACCCCCAACCGGGGGAGGAGGGGGGGGGGTTTACTGGCGTTGAATGGTACAACAGAGTGTGACTGACAGCAGGAGCGATCGTCACAATCTCGCCGCGTGAACACAGACGTGTTAAGCCGGTGGTTCGTGGCGTACGAGGGAGTCCGGTGGGGAAAACAGCTGGCGTCGGGGGGGGGGGGGGGGGGGAATAAACGCGCATTGAAAACGTTGTGCTGGACGTCGCCTGCGGTACCTTCACGTAGGTGGACCGGCGCTTGAAGTACTGCGGCTCAGGCGCCCTCCTGTTGGCTCGGCCGTGCGGCCCATCCCGGCTGCTCGCGCCCTCTTCCTGAGCGTCGGCGGCGGGTCGCATCACCACGAAGTTCACGCGCACCTCGCTCCCCTGAACGCACACGGCAACAGAAAATACACACACACACACACACACACACACACACACACACAGCGCTTCATTATAGATTGAACGGTCACTCATTGTGGGGGATGATAAACACAGCAGCGAGCATTTTACAAGCCAGTTGTTGGATTGACGATTGATTTCTTCATAACAATGCATTTGAGTTACTGCATTTTTATCCTGCTGGAAGTGCAGTCTATGGGAGTATTGAGTGTAATTGGCATATTTTTTCGGTAAACCCACGAGATATCAATCTTGTTCAATTTGAGGCCGAGGCCTTTTCTAGTGCACGACGCTCAGCACAATCTCACACGGGTGAAATCAGTTGGACCGCTTGGAATATTCATTGGTCAGCATCTTGTTTCCTCTTATTGATCACTTTTGCATAATGTGATGAATGCTGCAACTTCTTGTGTGTTTTTAATGATAAACCATTGCAAACTTTTTTTTCTGCATTTAGGTGCTTGAGAGAAACAAAGAACTGATTGTTGGGAAAATTATAACAGCGGAATAATCTTTTTATGATCCATATCTACATATTAACACATTTAATTTTCAGAATGCTCATGTTTGCATACGGCGCGTTTTCTTTGATTTTCAGCCTCAGTTTGATTTAAAATAATACAATATTGTGCCAACCATAGACCAACATGTGTCTGTAATTCTCTAAATGTACCAACACAACATCTACATTAACAACTATTCAGTATTTCCAACATACCCAAATGAACTCGGTCTTTAAACACATGCAGGCTTTAGAAAATGGGCCTTTGCTACTCGGCTCGCTCTACCTGAATGATCTGGGCTGCGCTCTCCGGTGTCCCGTGCCTCAGGTCGTGTCCGTTGATGGCTAAAACCTTGTCGTTCTTCCTCAGCTTTCCATCTTTGGCTGCCAGACCACCCGACAGCAGGTCCAGGATGAAAACCCCGCTCTCCTCCGACTTGCGGATGAGTTTGATGCCGAGCGGTTCGGTGCGCAGGCTCTTCATCAGCGTCACCTGGAGGACCGTGCCGGGGTTGTGATTGGAGGTGGCGTTGCCGTGGGGATCAGGGAAGGGCTGCGGGGCAGCGGGGCAGGAGGAGGCGTGATGGTCGGACTGTCGCTCCCTCGACTTGAAGCCTTTCTCCTGCATGACTGTGAGGCGGAGGAGGGAGGGCAGGCGGAGCACAGCGATGGCTCGGGCGTGCGGGACGGAGGCCAGACTGACATCGTTCACCTGGAGGCGAGAAACGGATAGCGGACGCGTTTTCATTGAGCAGAGATTAACAAGTTATGTTAATACTAAAAGCTTTATTTCATTTGCCATCCCACGTATCTGACTTCTACGTGTAATTGTATTTCCTGCATCAGAATGACCAGAACAAGAGCAGGTCAAAGTTGCAACGTATCATCAGCTCGCCCGTCCGGTTTAAAATAACAGGCTGTCAAAACTATACATTTGCCTCTAAAAACTAATGTAAAATGAAGCCTTTATTAAAACCTACAGATGGATTCAGGAGTACGAGAAGAGCAACCTCCAGCCAAAACAACTAAAACTGCAGCTAATGTTTCACACCCTGAAGGCAGCATTTTGGGTGGCAGGTTTTGGTTTTCATTTCTGGCTTTGGGATTGGTTGGCTCTGGGGAAAAAGCAACGTTTTGGAGGAGGTCAGTTTACCGCGGTGCCACATTCCAGGAGAACCGGCGGGTCGACACACGATCAGGGAGGACGGGGTTGTTATGAGGAAACCACAACTGAGTAAACTCTTCAGGGAATAATCTGCACTTCCATTCTTCTCTGAGGAAATCAGTGTCAGGACCACCGGTACCTACTTGGAAAAGTTAACCCTTGTTGGGCTCCGGCATACGGGGTGTTAAAAAAAAGAAAAAGACGGGTGAAGCCAGGAAGCAGCGGGCGGCGAAGAACCTATTCAATAGTGCAGCGGATCCGAATCGGGGGGGGGACAGGTACACGTAGTATTTCTAGCTCGAGGTGTGCCCGCGCGGTCACAACAAACCAGGCCAAGCTGCTTACACGTGATAAACCCGGGAATATTTACCACGCCTCGTTGCCATGGCGCTAGAACTCGTTTTTCTTGAATATCCACTTTCGCCGGGGGCCCATTCCGTGACGCGTCTGAAACAAAGATGGAGACCGCTCTCACCTCTAAGATGTGGTCCCCCGGGGCCAGCCTGCCGTCGGCGGCTGCCAGCGTGTCTCGGACGACCTCCTGGATGACTATGTTCCCCAGCGGCGTGTCCTTCCCCCCCACGATGCGGAGGCCCAGGTCCTCCTCCGGCTCCCCTCTGAACAGCTCCACCACGATGGCCTCGGCCACCAGGCTGGACCGCAGGGGGGTGTTGTCTGGAGGGAAGAGGCGCGGAACAAACACAGCTGCTCATTACGGGTCCGTGGAGCAGATGGTCGCGCTGCCTCAGACCTCGTCGGCCGACTGCACAGAGCCTCAGGAGCGACGTTCGCGCCGTAAACCCTCCCCACACCCTACTTTATAGACACACGGACTCCTTCGACTCCCAAAACACCCGGCGTTTCCGCGCAAGGACGGATCATTTCAGAGATTCTAACCCAAATAAAGTGGTTTGGCTGTTGTTTGCTTACTTACAATTTACTACATCTGACCGCTCGGGTTTCTCTGGTCATTGTGACGACGTCTCAGTGCACCGTGTATCAAATCACTAGAAAAGACGTTAAATGGAGTATTCTAACCTTTAGGTCCATCATTCTCTTTACCAATTTATTAACTTTCTTATCAAACTCCAGCAAAATATATATATATTTTTAAACTGTACACAACAACTCTACTACTGGAATGTACAACGTTGTTTCGACCAGGAACCAGTTTTTAAACTTGAGGTGCCTTTGTCTCTGTTGCTGTTTACACCAAACAATGAACAGCAACATTAAACAGGTCATCGAAATGACGTCGCTCTAACACACCGAGGATCTCGAGCTTGGTATTGATCGGCGTCAACAGGAAGATTTTAAAAACCACAGATAACTTGAAACTTTTTAGTAAAAAAGTAAAAAAAATAATAATATCGTAACAGCAAACAGGGGTCATCTGATTAAAACTGAGATTCTGATGACACCAAAGGCAAACTTCTCTGCAGACACTGGTTACCAGTTGCCTGGCAACCAGTTGTTTTTGGGAGATTTTGCCTCTGGTTCTGGCTTGCAGGGTGCTTCAGAGGAGATGACACCACATGTGAGCTGGTACACGAGCCGACGACCTGGCTGATGATTCACCCGTGACGGACTCGGAAAAAACAAAAAACCTTGAGGCTAAAACATCAAACATCAATTCCCGTCTGTGTGTCTCGACCAATGATCTAAGATGTATACTATCACCGTCTCCATCCAACCTACATACGTCTGTCAAAGAGTTTAACAACCTCCCATTGCAGATCATTTACATGAAGGTGGCTTCATTTGTGTGTACAAAGAAAACAGAAAGCTGCTTGTTCACCTTCACGAAAACACAGAGTGGACGATACAGTGGCTGCGAGGAGGATAAAAAGAAAAGACTTCATACCATCCTCACTCTCTTCGTAGGCGGGATTAATCAGCCCCGGCTCAGGCGGATCTCTGGCAGGGTTTCGGGACTGTGTTGCTGAATGTTTGGCATCGCCAGCAGTCTCCCCCTCGCCCTTACGCCCCTTCAGCTCGTTCCACGAGGGCCTCTTCCTCTTCTCTGCTTCCTCCCTCAGTCGTCTAAAAACAGGACATCTGAGGCGAGATGGGGAAAATGGAGGAAACTGGTAAAGAGAACGACATGGCGGATAACCGACCAGTGATTTTAAAAACAGCGGGAGGGGGTTCTCGAATGTTGAGTGTCAGATGCAAAGAAACTGAGGTTGAAAAGGCTTTTTTGAGAGGATTCAGAGGGGACAAGAGGAGACTATTTATACGCAGGATTCAGAGGGGAAGCACAATGCAGATGAGCGGACGGCGGTGCTGCATTGCAGGGTGTCTGGCCGAAACCGGTGGAGTCTGATTAAGTCAGTCAGAGTGCTGGGACCGCTGCTCGTTCCGTACGCCTGAACTTTGTCTCCTCGCTGTTTGCACAGAGAGGCTGCAGCAGGACTACCCGCCCGCCGCCTGCGTCACGGCCGGCCAACGGGATGATAAGCACCACGCCGGCCGTGTGGAAAAACAAGTGGACTGAGCTCAATCATTAGTGGTTTATGTGTCCACAGATGGGACTGAGCTTCCAGGGAGGAGGACAACAGTCTTTGAGGGGACTTGGGGAAGGAGAATGACCATAACTGATTTGTTTATATGCAAACAAACCGATAATCAAAAACGTTTTTCCCCCACTGCTCCTTTAGGGAGTCACGGTCTTATCCTGGTTGAGGAGTGCAAGGTCAGAAAGAAAAGCAGAGTGCCAACCAGGCACACGGGTCTGATAAGGATGAGAGGCACGCCAAACACCATACAACACCCACGCTTTGTGCCTTATGTTTACCTTAATGTTAGGAGACCACACATTCTATGTGATTGGACCTGCGCTGCTTCTGCAAACGCAGCGCTGATACTTGACCGGTGCTCTAACCAATAAATCTACCACAACGACAGAAGTTGTTTGGCTGAATTCTTCCAAATATCCCCAACTGGGCTTCCAATTTTGATCACGTTCTTTCAGTGTTTTAGCTAGCTTTAGTGGTGATTAATTTTTCGGCGTTTCAATCTACACTAATAAAGCCCGTGACCGATCATCTCAGCCGCGTAAAGGTCTGTCCCATCTCCGCCGAAAACCGTTCAGTACGCCACCGGGAGTCTCACCTGTTGTGCAGGTGAGGCTGCAGCTCGCAGCGCTGCATCTGCTGCTGGCACTCGGCCGAGTGGGGGCACGCCACGCTCAGCTTGTCCAGCAGGTTCCTGACCAGCAGGCTGGAGGGACGGCACTGGTGCAGCTGCAGCCGCAGGCGGTCCACGGGGCAGAAGTCCTGCTCCTTCAGGAAGTTGCTGAGACAGTGAAAGCAGTACGTGTGGCCGCACGGGGTGTCCATAGGTTTGAGGAGGGGCTGCAGGCAGATGTGGCAGATCAGTTCATCGTCCACCTCGTCCTGGTACTCGTACAGGTGGCAGTCCGAGCCCTCGTGCTGCTGGCCGCACTCCTTGCACACGCGCGCCCACGAAAGGCCCGCCGCGCCGGCGCCGCACGCCACTTTGGTGTCCGTCGTCGCCATCGGCGGGAGACGGTCGCACCGGACTTCGCTGGAAACAATCAGCGGCCTTTTATATCCTTAAAAAAAAAGCCCCGGGTCGTACGTCTACATGTCCGAATCCATTCAAACTGCGAAAATGAAGAGACGATCCAGAGTCAACAACGCCATCTTCCCGCCTTCATTTTGGGCTTTTTCTGTTGAGGAGAGAAACACGGTGAGGTTGAGTGCAGAATTTGGGACTTCCGACTACTGCCGGCTAGCTGCACAGGAAATGACAAATCCACAGAGCAGAAGCAACATGGCAGCGAGCCGCAGCTGCTTCCCCTCAGCCGACTTCCTGAGGGACAAAAGGAATTCTCATCTCAGCTAAAAGTCAGCATGCTTCACACTGAAAGGGGCCAAACTCTGTGAAATGAGGCAGGAGAGAAACAGACTGAAGTCAAACCCCTGCTAATGTGAGGGAACAAAGGCACACGGCGCTACACCAGTGAGAATGAACTGGGCAGAAATGAAACCCCCATCGCTAATGACCCCTGGCGCCCAATCGGCACTGGTCTCCATCCCTTTGTGCGGCTCCTAATCTCCTTTAGTTCTCTCATGAGGAGAAAGCTGATTAGGATCACATTCTTTGGAGAAACGTTTGGCCACAATTATGAATTAAAACATCCACTAAATAGACACATAAATTATGCCAATACATTAAGTTAACATCCTATACAATCTAGCTTGTAAGAGGAATTGCAGCTTTTAAAACATCAGTATGGATTTATTAACTGCTCACTACGGCCGGCAGCAAAAAATGCCATTCGCTTGTGATTAGTAGCTTTGATACAGCAGGATGTATACACACATACATCTAAAGAGAGAACACCTCTACACGGCCCAGAAATAAACAAAACCCCACCAATTACCACCTCAATGCAAGATTTTGTCCTAAAACACAAATATAATCTTGCACATTTCCAGATACAAAAAAGAGAAAAGAAAAACACAAAGCGACCACGATGAACTCACTACATCTACTTTCCTCTCTCGACACAAAACCAACCCAAAGTCTCTTGAGAGACGGCTTCACCTTCACGTGTCGACGGCATCTCTAACGCGATCGCCTCCGAGCGGCTCACCTGAGACGAGAGCTCTGTTGTCAGGCGCCGAGTGGCCACCGCACGCAAACACCACTCTTACCTCGCAGCTGCCTGAAGCCTGAATGAAACCAGAGCCCTGCCTCCCCAGCAGCACAGCGTCACAATCGTCTGTGTGTGTGTGTGTGTGTGTGTGAGTGAGTGAGTGAGTGGACACAAATGTGCACGCCCGTGGATGTCTATGCGCTATGACTGCACCGGTGTGAGTAATGCAGTGGGGAAATTGGTGTAACTAGGCAGAGTGAAAGGAAAGAGTGTGTGTGTGTGTGTGTGTGTGTGTGTGTGTCTGTGTGTGTGTGTTTGGGGGGGCTGCTCAGCCTGCTGACGTTGCATCACTACAGGTAAAGTCCAGTAAGAAGCCGGACGACTGACTGAACACGAGAGATTGTGTGTGCAGGTGATACCGTGTCTCGTAATGGATCGGGGTTCATGGTAGAAACAAGGCTCTGCTCCACGTATTTGGAAACCAAACAATGTGTGAAACAAAAGACAAACCCCACAATGCACTTTCCTCACAGGCCCTACGCCTCGCCGGCCTCCTGCAGAGCGCCCGGCTGGCTCTCCCGTCAACAAGACGCTCCTGGTTTCATATCGCGTTTCGCATGCAAGGAGTCTTATTTGCTTTGTGATGATGTGGCGCGCGGCCACGTCGGGTTCCTCTGCGAGCGAGAGGCTTCTTTAGAGCAGAGGTCGTCTCCGCAGGAAGACACGCGGCGACCCCGAGCGGCTGGTGGCCTCCCGCTCGCCGCGTCCGTAGAAGGTCGTCTCGGGGGGGCCGTCCGTCACTGCGTCAAGGGTACGGCGCCACGTCGATCGACGTCCTTCTTTCAGGTCCTCCGCGCGAAACGGAGACTGGGATCAGCGGCTGAATCGATGAGTTGATTTATTATTGAGAGCCTTTTAAATCCGAGCTTTGCAGGGGGCCTTTTCATTATTTTACCATGGGGCAGTTTGTAGTATCTCGATTGCAGCCCTCCAAAACCGTTAGGGAACTAAATTTTACTCGACCTACAGTTCAGCCTTGAGTTTCCCTGAGAAAGTTTACATCCATATCACCATTAATCAACCTCGACATCACAAGTACATGTATTCAATTTAATCCTAATCCTGCTCAAGGGCGAGAAAACGAATTCACAGGAATCCCACACGTAAAGAAGCACGTTTAGACTCTTGTTAAAGTTCATGAAGGTGAAACCAACACAAGACAGCGTTACAAAAGGCAGTGTACATGTTTTTACAAGTTTACAGCCAACCAGAGGGGCTCAATACCGCCAGCAACGCAAACGCTTCACCCAAATCAAATGCCTCGTGACCATGTGACGATCTAAGCTCCCGGGGTGGGGGGGAGGGGGGCGAGGATAATTCCGCGACCCCCCAATGTCCTCCGCCCCCCCCGGAGGATTACAAGAGGCGGCGCTCCCTGGAAGCTGAGCCCGAAATCACTCGCGGGTGAGTCACATGCGCCGCGCGTGGGCCACACCCTCGGCGAGCGCAGGTGAAGCCTCGCCAGACAAATCGTTCTTCCAAATCATCCCTCGAGACCGGAGGTGTGTCTCCGTCTTACACCAGCGTCTGGTTCTAGCGTCATACCGGGAATTAGTACGTGACACACGGGAAAAAAAAGGATCATATCGCTACCCAGAGGCGATCAAGACTTAATCGTTACTGTGTGTGTGACATAATCAAGATAGAACGCTAGGATTCATTACATTAAAGTAGTTTATGGCGGATTTGTCTTGGCGGCATCACACAACCCACCATCCAACAAGGCCACGGTGCAAAGACACCCGGCGACGACCCTCCACCCGTAGGAGCCCCGTGGGTGGAGATCTGGCGGCGGGGCTTTAATATAAGCCGGTGGCAGTGGCCTCACCTAGTCTACTACCACACGGGCTTCTTTTCGGTTAAGACTCACGTGTGGTCGCCCCTCCTTTGTCGACCCGGACATCCCGGACAAATGGCAGTAAAAGCGTCAAGAATCGTTCTCGGGATCACGTCCGTGGCTCTCAGGGGGAAACGGCACTACAGCGACATCCTACCAGTAACCCGTGAATAGTTAGCAGCAGGTCAGATGTTTGAGGTCCTTTGGGAGTGTCGAGTGGTTGACCTCAACTCAAACTACGGTCTCGTGCGTTGCCCCACACGCGTGGTTTCGCTTTGCCATCAACTGCCACAACCTTGATCGGCTCCCCCGCTCGCTCAGAGACGCTTCCTCCAATGCCAGAGCCCCAGGTGTCTGATTGTGGACAAACGTCCAGGTTATTTTAAATAAACAACTTCAGTCAGAGCTCTCGTGGGGTCGATGGTCTAGCTGGCTTGGACTTCACAATCAGCGGCTTCAAAAAATCAATTCTGAAGATGGTGATGCAACTTTACTAAAATAGTACACTTGAGTATAAAAGTGGTGCGTTTGAAGACTGATCTTTGAAGTAACTGCAGCTGCGCGCAATCATTACAGACATGGCCAATTTTAACATTTGTGCCTTTCATTCTACCCCAAATACTAAAGTAAAATAACTAAGTGGCTCCTTCACAGAACCAACAGCATCAGATCGAGGTGGAAATAATGTAACCTTCACTGTTGGTATAATATAAAGGATGTATTTGATTGTTACATATCTCATGTTATATGTCGCTTATATATATATATATATATATATATATATATATATATATATATTCAATATATATATATGCTTCAATATAACCGTCTGTTGTGCTACATAAAGAGACGTTGACTTTTCTACCATTTAGACACAATTCCCCACTATCAGTTTTCTCAATAACTAGTTTTATTTATAGAAATAAGTGTGTGTGTGTGTGTGTGTGTGTGTCTGTGTGCGCGCGCGCGCACGTGTCGTGTTTGTGTATGTGTGTGTGTGTGTGTGTGTTTTATGTCCCCCCCTCTCCCTCCCCTCCGGACTGCTGGTTCGATCCCAGTCACTCACACCACGACGTGTCGCACCGCGCTGACCGGAGAGCTGCTCCCGGTGGGCCGGTACCTGGTCGCGTGGGCCGGTGTCACGGCTAAAAACATCCGACGTGGCTTCACCTTCACGAGGCGCCGCGCACCTTGTGCACCGCCACTCACTTTGCTCACCGATACCTCCGCGTTACATTAAAAACGCGAGGGTTGTTTTTTTCCCGTTTGTTTTTTGTTCTTTGTAAACACACACACGACGTAAAAGCAGCCGTGTTTTCCCGGTAAAACAACCGGACGAAATCCGCTCGCGAGGAGACCGAAACTCTCCTTACCTGCGCGTGAAGGTTGTCTCCCGGAAGCAGCTAGTTAGCTAAACGCGGTTCGCCTCGCTAGCTTCAACGCGACGGAACACACAAACATCTAAAACAAAGCAGCGCGCTTTAAGAACACCGGACGCCTTTCTTCGCCGTGGAGGACGGCGGGCGTTAGTTTAATTATTTCATTTACCGCATTGCTGTCCCGGTTCGATGTCCCCCAGGTGTGGCTCAACCTGGCGGAGAGGACTGGGCGACTTTCCCAGTTTCGAGCAAACACACTTGGAAGCCAGAAAAAAAAAAGAAAGGCAGTTGAGTAGCACAGGAAGAAGTGCGCGCAGGTGAACACACCGTGCAGCATGTACCATACGCCGCTCATACATGATGCATATTATCTTCTTATGCATAATAATGTGACATGCAAACATTTATGTTTCATGTTTGCATGTCGTATATATGTGCTCGGCCCAAAGGCATTATGCATTTACTTCATCTGCAAGTATTTGCACCCAGGATTAGAAATACAAACACTGTACAAAATATCACATTATAAAAAAAGAAAATCCTAATTGCAAGTAATGCAATTAAAATGTTATTTAAGTAACAGTTCAGTTCAGCAAACTGTAGGCTGGTTATAATCTCCTATTGCGTTATTAAGAGTGGTGCATTACATTAATGTTGCAGCTGGTAAATTTGCGGTTACACGGTTTGTATTTCGTATAATATATCAATGTATTTGTTTTCATTTAAATGTGCAAACAAACTCTAGCTATTTAGTGAGGTTAAAAGTAAAATATTTATTTTCTTCACTTGTTTTAGTAAAAAATTACCTCAAATTTGAGAACAAGGCTCATTGCTTAAATGCCTGAAGTACCGATTACAATAATACAGACTGATTGACTAATAGCCAATATTACTTTAAACAACTGTTAAATAGTAAAGCACGTGTATACATACCACACACTTTTATAATACTTCTGCGTTAATCCCAAACCTGTTTGTGCTCTGGTTTGTTTTCCTGTGTTTGAGATGTTTTTCTGTGTTTTGCTGTAATATAAAAGGGACTGAATCATGTTATACATGTACTACCGTGATGGTCGACACTTTAGCAACAAACAAAAATAAACTCAGACAGTTAAATGTTGTTATTGTGAAATTTGTCATGAAGCTTTTCAGGTGTGTTTATCTGACTGTGTTTTTGGTCCTCGGTCATTTAAGCAGCAGAAAGATGTACATTTACTTGAGTACTACATTCAAGTTTGAGGTGCTTGAGCATTGTTATTTCACGCTACTTCAGCTACACCTTGGAGGCAAAACGTGTTCTTCTTCACTGCACTACATTCAATTGACAACTTTAGTTACAGGTCAAGAGACCCACTCGTACGTCGAGTAGTTTGCCCCACAGCTGCAACACTTGAGTGATGAACACATTATTGCACCACCAGCTGTGATCCAATACTCGAAATAAACCATAATGAGTACTTGTAGTTTTACTGAGCCAAATACATTTGTACTTTATTGCATATTTTGAAGCCAGAGCTCTTACTTGTAACAGTGTATTTCCACACCCACTTGTTTTGAAATATCTGAAATAGTTTCAGGAATTTCTGCTCAATACTTTTCATTTCAAACGTCTTGTCTCAACATCTGTGTGAACACCTGGATCATGCTGAATAGAGAAATATCTCCATAGTTTTGGTGCCAGTAAAAAGGACAGTGGCACGCGAACACTCGGTGTAAAGCACCAAACCCCCTGCAGAATAGAAGGGAAGTCTCTGTGCCATAAAACTTCTCTGTGAAAGCCTGTTTCCCCCAGGATTTATAACGGTGGTAAGAAGCCTCAATACAAAGGGACATTTGCCGATACAAGCTCCCAGAATGAGACACTCCATTGTCTCGATACAGAGGTCAATTGGTTCTGTATTTTATAGTACAGCCGGGAACTTAAAATGTTTTCCTTTCAGTATTACATGAATTATAGAATTAATGGGCAGCGAAATCATTTGCTTGTTACCTGATTACAACGGTAATTTGATTGGCATTGACCATCATAAAACAATTCATTTCCAAAGAAGTGTGCCAATGCTTCTAATAAAAATGCATTTTCAATAGATTTTAATGCCAGTGAAAAGATTTAGGATACTACAGCTTTAATATATAATATTTTAAATCACCTAAAATGCCAATTTTGCCTGAAAGGGTACATGGGACACACTCGATGAGCAAAAAATAAAAACTTTAACGTAATCTACACCTTTTTGATTGTGCAAGTATGCCAATAGAACTGTTTTCAACCGGTTGGATCCAGATATGGAGACTGGACGTGAGGGTTTCCTCTTAGCTTCATGCAGCTTAGATGACAAAGGGTGACACCGTGTGTTCAGGTGGGAAATCTGGTCCGAGACGCTGCAAATGCTCACAAATGGCAGCGTTTAATGTCAAGTCGGTAATGAATGGAATTGATCATGAGAATGACGTTAAGCTTTCACTTGATACGTCTAATGACTTTTTTTAGACATCTGCTGTGTGTAACTTTTTTTGGGTATAATTTGAATTCCTACTGTAATGGAGGGGGGGGTGGGGGGGCAAGAGACAAGATAAACACGGACCCACAATACAATACATCCTGCGTCTCCGTCTCTCTCGCGCACACACACACACACACACACACACACACACACACACACACACACACACATTATGTTTGAGCTGCGATACCGACACACAAGAAAGAGCCTGTTTGTCTTTCCTGGGATCAGTAAACATCCTCAACACAAACAAGTTCCTCCGGAGTGAGAGAGGAGAAACTCACACCGTCGGGGCAGCTGCACTCTCACTCCGGCTCGGCCTTTGATGTCCTTCAGAGGGAGCTGATAATGGAGGCCCCTTACATCTTAATTCTTTTAATTGGAGCGTGGATGTAACAGGTTGCTGATACTTTGCTGACGCTGTCTATAGGCTTGATGTGAACTAAGGAAACTCAAATAAATCATATTTTGTATTTAATTTTCCGTGAGGAGAAAACACGGTTCAGTTTGTCTAAGGAACGATACCTCTCCAGTTGTCTCTCCAAATAATCAAATTATTCGTCCAATATGCTAGAAAACAACAGTTTTTTTCCCATGTTTTTTTTCAAATTGACTGAAATTGCGCATTAATAACCTGAAACCACAGCGCACTGTAGTGTACAGTCAATGGAAGTGCATTGTGTATTTTTTGGGACTATTGTTGAGTATTTACTGCAGCAGGAAGATGTTAAAGGGAATTGTCATTGAAATGAGGGATGTCATTGAGGTTTTTTGGACAACAACTAAGGTTTATGGCACATAGCAGGCTCAAGACAGTCACAGACGATACTTTGATTTAGGTCATTTCCATCATACTGACACTTAAAAACAAGTGGTGGAATATCATCAAACTTGTCCTTAAACTCCAGATTGCTACACCACAGTGAGCTGTGTTCTGTGAAAGAGTCTCTGGCTTTAGATACAAATACACGTGTGTCAGCTCTTTTGTTTTTAACTGTTGCTAAGATACCGAGGACACTTAAACGCTGCAGCAGCTTGCTAACGTCCCCTCTGGCCACACTGGGCCAACAAAAAAAAAAAAAAACCTCCTCCGCTTTGCCCCGGGTGAGATAGCGAGGCATTTGGCTCAGGCCGCAGCTTGCACCGCGGCCTCGGGTCCCGTCTGGCCTCCACATGACGGCTTTAATCGGGGACGAAAACGCACCGTACCGCAACGCGACATTTGCCCTTCTCTTGGGTTTGGGTGTGATCGCCGGATTGTGGCTTCAACATCAAAATAGATTTGGGGGATTGGCTTTTGCGGGAATAGTATTATCTGTGCTTTCTGTTTTTTATTAAAAAGACGCTGGACGTGTAAAGGATGCTGTGTGTGTGTGTGTGTGTGTGTGAGTGTGCGCATCGGTAGAGTCTCTCCAGCCGTCCCTGTGTAAATACGCTCAGCCCCAGATGATCTTCAAGGGCCAGCTTGTTTGTACCTGCCGTGTCGTTCTGCTCGTCCGCCCAGCATGACACCCCGTAGCCCAGAATCAGCCCGTCCCACATCAAAAGACCTCGGCGATTCTTATCTGATAATATTCTTGTCCACCTTCCCTCCCCTTTGACTCCAGCCTCCACACACTGTTGACCTGAACCATGCACGCTGTTCCTCATGGCCCTTTGGCCTTTCCTCTTCTTATCACCGTGATGGCCAGGCCGTGATAAGGCCGTCCAGCCTCGGGACACCGTCCACTCTTCTAAAACTTTACCGTTGCGTAACTCGGACACTTCAGGGCAGTAAAGAGGTTATCTCAGCTGTGTGTGCGCGTCGCTGTGTTTAACGCACTCGTCGGATATCTCTCGCCATGCAAATCCTAATAAACCATCAAAGTGTTCTGATCTGTACAGTGTACATGAATTTAAGTGCATGCACAGAAAAACAAACACCAGGTCAGAGTTATTTTGAGCGTCATGCTTCTTGGTTTTTTTGAGGCTGACATCTGACCTTCTCGCTGTCATCCTGTTGGTTCAAAAAGGCACTTAAATACATTTTTTACCACTGACATGTGACACCCGGTCATCCGTCTCCGTGTTGGATGCATTTATTAAGTATGCAGGCCAAGCAGACAGACAGGGAGGACTGGTGTCCAAAGTCACGACCCTGCCCTGACCTGGATGAAGGAAATGGTCACGCTGCTCGAGACAAAGCAGGGCAGAAGAGAGTCTGAGGGGCTGGCTGGTCAACCTCCAACAATGGGTCCGTGCTCTTAGACCCGCGGTCCACACAAAGGCCAGAGAAACCCCCTCCTTCCCACTCCCACATTGCAATGGAGCCGGCATTTCACACTGGCCTGTGAACAGCCATTCAATCAAACTACTGTTTAACCTGACCCCTGGCCTACACAGAAATCCAGATGAGTCTGGCGGGACGTGTTTAGGTAACTGACCTCTGCGGCCTTCCTCCGAGACAGCTGTCAGTTGGCGCAAAGTTCTGCCTCTACTGTTAATTATGCATTAATTCCAATCTTCAGATGCAAGATGTTTCCTATGAAGATGCCTTAAAAGCGTGTAATCAATAGGCCACCCAATAAAAACAGTGTCCAGTGATTGGTTTAAGGGGCAATAGCTCCCTGGGGAACCAGAGACAACACAAGACCCTTCGTCTGGGTCAACCGCCCTCGAGCCGGGGCTGAGAGGAGCTGCCACATGACCCTCTCTCTACTCAATGGACTGCTCCTCCCATCTACCTGTACATGGCACGGATCAAGGTGTGGGGGCTGCATATCAAACAGACCGAGGCTTTTGATGTGGATGGAAACACAAACACTGAAAGGAGGAGAGTCGTAACAGCTTATTTGTTCCCTTTAGTCATTCATTGAGCTGCTTGTTGAATGTGTGTGTCTTCAAAGGGCTGCGGCATGCAACCGGCGGTACAGTAGCCGAGGAGGCCCTGAGAGCGCCCTGGCCTGGTGGTTTGCGGGAAGGCCATCTGGCTTCCTGTTCCTTAGATTTGATATTGATTTATTGGCCGTACATGGGAAGATAAGGGGGCACCAGCTGCCAGAAGTTCTCCGCTGCGTCTTCCCAAACAATGGACCTCCTGGTCATCTACATCCTGACTAAATAGGTGATGCATCATTCCTCGTTAAATTATTTGTACAAATTCCAAATCGGGTTGTTTTTGTTGTATCAGTTATTGTCCCTCACAGAAAGCTTTTAAAAAAAAATCACATCTGCTTTTACAAAGGATGAAACAACAACTCCCATGAAAATGTGTCTGCAAATGGGGTAATATTAATCCGACAAAGTCTAATAATTTATTTATCAGCGCTTGAAATAAAAATGTAATTAAATCCTTGACCCTTTGTAGGCCACATTTAAACACATGTACTGGTCTGTAGGCTGAGACAACAGAGGTTCTAGTGTTTGTTGTAATAAAGACTGTTCCCAGTAATGAGGTGCAAAATTGCATTTACTATTCCTAACAAACCCTGACAACCTTTCACAGTTTAACCCATCACAGAAACCATTAATTCAAAGTTAGGCTCCTCTGCATAACAAGTCTCCCACTCCTGTGAAGTGAGCTGGGGAGGGCAGCAGTTTGGCCTCCACCTTGTTGGCAGAGGTGTCAACATGGTGCCACAGTGAATTGTACTTATGCTGGATTTTTCTCACCCCCCAACCTCAAAAAAAGACGCACTCACATACAGACAGACTCTGGTGTCACCCATCCCAGCCTGTTCCCCACCCCCCCACCGTGTCTTCCCTCTCCCCTCCCCTGCAAACACAAGCCTGTGATGTGACTGTCTCAGATAATGAGGTGAGATTTTTATTGCGCCGGTCTGCTGCGGGGACGACGGCGCGACTCGGGGTCTCCGCGGTACCGGGCGCCCTCTGCTGACTGCTGGGGGGCGGGAGGGGGGATGGGGAGGGGGTGGGGGTGGGGTTCCTGTCGGTCTCCTCCAACGATGCACTTCAAAGCGGGAGATCAAGGGTTGAGTTCCCAGAGAATGACAATGCCTCGGCCCGCCTACACCTACCGCTACACGCCGGTCCTGGAGACACAAAGGCACGCAGGCTGCTCCTGCAATACCAATACTTTGCAGCGCGGAGGAAGTTCTCATTGGGGGGGGGGGACATACATACAGGAAGAAGGCAGTGCTCTATGTGTATTCTCTATGAATACTGGTGGGTAAAGGGCAGAGGAAGGACAGCACAGGAGACAGAGTGGCAACAGATTTGCTGAGGTGTCCTGTTTGATTGCTGAAGCATTAATTGATAAGATACAGCATCACACCAGTTATCTTTAAAGGACGACGTCTTCTGGGATCAAAGATATTATAAGGCAATTTTAAATTGTTTAAAATGATTGATGTTTGTTTCCACGCTCCTACAAGCTCTTTTATTGAGGGACATTTTTTTTATTTTGGTATTCTTCTGATGGACCACAGTTATGACTTAGTTATCCATCTTCTGGCTCCTTAGATTGTATTGATTTACTTTTACCACGATTCATATAGTGGCCGCCAATATGAATGCTATCTTTGTTGTCCACACATCTACTCATGAGTTCTGCACTTGTTTCTCCATCAGTCCAATTACTTCCATTGCACATTGGTTGAGTTTTCAGAAGTGAAAGTTGTAATCCCATTCTCACACACACACACACACACACACACACACACACACACACTTTTTACCACCGCCGGTCGGCAGCTATAGAGGGGGAGTGAGGGAGACCTCTTGTGATCAGGCTGTCATTTCCTCTGCTTGGCTCTGTTATTCCAGATAGCCTTTGTGAAGGAGCCAAGTGGTCCAGCCGCAGACAGAAGGTGGGCTCCTCGCATGCATCTGGGGTTGTCAGCCCGGCAGGGGGAGGGAGAGAGGGAGGGAGGGAGGGAGGGAGGAAGGCTCTTTCGGCGGGCCAAGACGAGAAGAAAAACAAACATGTTGAAACCAGACAGACAAATCCCTCATAATGAAAACAGTTCAACTGCAAATCAGACCTGATGCCACTGCAGATGATAAACTAAACCTGGAAATGTATTTCACTCAGAGCCTCACTGAACAGGAGGCCCGTTGGATGTGCAGTTTAAGATAATGTCATGTCAAAGTAGATATTTGTATTTCAATGAACCAACCATCATAAAAAAAAGAAATTCCCACGAGTAGCCTGCAAAGAACACACTTGTATCATTTCAGTTGTGCAGTTTATTGCCTGTGTGAGTATTGCGGCACCCATAGAGACAAAGGCCTTAAGAGGTCACTTAATTCCTCAAGGGCAACCTGAAAATAGCAGTAAGGGTTTAATGCAAATGATTCACTGTTGCCTGTTGACTGGGAATATGACAGGAACATAAATTAAAACAATAACTGCACTGAATCTCAAGTTTGTAAAATAAAACAGTATTTATTATATATTCACTGAAAGTCATGTTAAAAAGAAGCTATATTCTCACAAAATGGGAACACTCAATGTATCAAGTGAGATACTTGAGGAAATAAAGCTGTAAAATAAAACTTTGAAAAAGTTAAATATTCGTCAGAAAAACGATGAATAAATAATGATCCTCCGACTTGACCTCCCTGGACGTAAGGCCAAATCCCCTTTAAACCACACAGGAATGCATCTCTTCACAGGGCGAAACTCTCTGATTAACATCACAATGCTGCAGAAACCTCCAGCAGAAACCAGGTGCCACAGCGCGCCCCAGCGTCCCAGAGACGCGACCACAGCGGCCATCCGAGGGCCGGGCTTCGTCCCCGATCACACCGCTGGGGGACGGGTACCTTCTCGGGATGACAAACAGATGACTGGCCAGGCAGCATAAATAAATCCTCTCCCCTCCGCCGGACAAGACTCGGACCCCCCGCAGAGAGCAGAGACAGGGGGGGTCAAACAGTGATGGCCTCGGTTAAAAAAGACGACAGACTGACGAGTTCTCAGAGCTCTATGTGCGTCGGTTTCGCCGGGATTTTCAGTAAGAGCGTCACGTCGCCGTTGGAGGTGGTGAAGATCAAGAGTCAGGTGGGAACCTTTCACTGCAAGCGGGGCTTGAGGCAGAGTTTTCTCCTCGTCTACCAGCATGAAGGACTCCGGGGCTTCTGGAAAGGAAACCTCGCCTCTTGTCTGCGGCTGTTCCCCTACACCGCAGTTCACCTCGCGACGTACAAAAAGTACGTAAAGTCGGATCTAAAGTTTGTTTTGTCTCACGTCGTGTCGAGAGTGGTGGGGTTTTATTCTGTTTTGGATCTGTGTTTGTGTTGATTAGCATGTTAGCATTCTCGGTCAGCTGACGTTGCAGGTTTATGTGGCGAGCAGCATAGAAAGCAAAGAGTGGAGGAAGTATTAGTAGAATCGTGAGTGACCTCTGTGTTCTTTATTCGTGAATTGTAACGATGAAATAATGTGAAAGGGTTTGTTCAATAGGTCTGTTTACTTTTATCCGAGCGGTTAAAGATGTACTTCCGGTTTCACCGGACCGACTCGCACCTTTTATTTCCAACCAATCAGAAGGCTGTATTTGCTCAGTCGATGTACACAGTGGGAGGGGTTGTTGTCCCCCGAGTTTCGTCTCACAGGGTGTGTTGTTTTGTTTCCTTACCGAACAATTTCAAAATGCAGTATGTTGAACAATGTTTTGATTAGTCAATAGATCCCTTTTTATTGTTTGCTACTTTTGATCAGCCTACCAACTATTTGCTTGATTAATTGCAGTAAGTTTGATCTTAAGTTGAACAAGAAATCGGGATCAATTCTTGAAGCCCAGTTTGACACATTCATATGTTTTGATTTGTCTTAACTTTGTGCTAAGACTGGAAGAAAAAGAGAAGCGACAAATAATCACAGTGAAGCTGCTGCCTGCTTTCAAAATGCCATGAATGATTATCGGATCGTCAATTGTTGCTGTACGTTTTGAATATTCTAATCAATAAATTGTCCAGTTCATAAGTGACAAAAATGTAAGTCACTATTTCTTTCCTGCCTTATTTGCCCCCTATGATTGTAAAATGGCCAGGGTGTAAAACTATTAATGCAGGCCTGTCTGTCGCTCGCCTGTGAGGCTGAACTCAGGACACATCACACAACCGTCGAATGCAGCCCCATGTAAACCACTGTCCTGTACATTTGTACACCGTGTTCCAGGAACATAATGCCATTTCCCCTTTTAGTCACGCGCACTCACACGTGGCCATAGTTTTTCACTTGCTGACAGTTCAATGTCCTTAATGTAGTCGATAGACGTAATAATATATCAGTTTGTTATGACTGAAACAGCAGGACTTGTTATGACTCATTTACGGTTAATCTGATTTGCAAATATTTATAAAAATCTGAGAACGTGGACATTAGGTGAATTGATTCGATTACATTGAAGTGGCTACAACTTTTTTGTTTACGAAAATTCACAATAATAACAATAATAATAATTTAGTATATAAAATGTTAAAAACAACAGTGACACATTCCCATTTTATTTCACCTGAGTCCAAGATGATCAATGTCTATATTCAAATGTTAGCTTCATAACCTATTTTGATTATTCATTTTTGATAATTTAGTCTTTGGACTTCTGCTCATACAACAACCATGTTTAAAGTGGGTGAACAAATTAATCATCAAAGATGGAATGAATTCCAAGAAAAACCTGCCAAATAATGCTACGATGAAGTGTCATTAACATTGACGTTGTCTGTCCAGGATAGTCCACCTTCACATGGATGAACTGGGCTTCATCTCTCAGTGGAGAGCCATATTGGCTGGAGGACTGGCTGGCTTTGCTGCTGCTATGACAACGTACCCTCTGGAGGTGGCGGAAACGAGGCTCATCATTCAGAGCTGCAGGCAGCCCACCTACGTCGGAGTAGCTCACACGCTCTCAAAGATCTACAGGAATGAAGGGCTGCCTGCTCTCTACAGGGGCTTTTCTCTCACTCTGTTAGGTGTGTCCACTTATTCATGACGCTCTGGAGTTCCAGAATATTTTAACATCGAGGCATTTCTGTTCTTTCGGATGAATAGTTTTCTACCCTTTAGACATAATTTGGCCTCACATATAATTAGTGATGCATTTTTACTGTAGCTTTAACTCAGTTAATTTGTCTACAGGTGCATTTCCCTTCTCTATCGGTTGCTATGCGGTTTACATGAACTTGGACAAACTCTGGCAGGAGCCTCCTTTTCGCTTCAGCCCCCTCCAGAACTTCATTAACGGCTGCCTCGCAGCGGGAGTGGCCCAAACCCTCTCCTACCCTTTTGAAACTGTGAAGCGGAAGATGCAGGTAATTCTATAGATCTCTTTAATTGACTTCTCATTCATAATGCTGGAAATAAATCCAATAATACAAAATAAATTAAACAAACTAATCCTTACCTATGATCAATCATGTTGGCAATGATTAAATGAATTATGAATACAATTATTAAGTAAATTCTTTTTTTATTTAACTGTAAACAAAAACAAGTTTACAGTATTTTACGTATACTGGCTGTATTACCAGACTCCGTCCAAAAGGGGGCAGTCAGCGTGTTCCTACATTAAGTTTAGCTGCTCTTGATCACTCAACGTTTCAATTCTTGAATCCAAATGAAAGATGTTACAAAATTTAAAAAGACTAATGATAAAGTTTATCCACACCGTGGACACGGGAAGACGCATTTTACTGCACTGGTTGCTTTGCATTGAATGCTTTGCATTGAATGCTTGAGAAATCCTCTTTCGTGAAGGGCACATGTTAAACAATAATACCACATCCGGTTTTATCATCCTATTTTTAGCCATCACAAGGTTCAACAGCAGCTGGGAATGTGTCCCTGGTCTGCAGGAGCTATAGATACAGTTCTCTAAAGATAGCTGGTCACTATCACACAGCAGGCAGAGGGAGAGTTGTGTACGTCCAGTTCGCTTAGCCGCCACAACCGTGTCACCTGACCTTAAAGAGCCACGTTACATAACCGCTGCTTTTGGGGATTCAGCTCTGCTCCATGTCTCCGAGTTGAACATAAAAAAAGCGGACAGAGGTTAGATGACAGCTGAGAATGTTTGCAGAAGCTTTGTATTATCTTGCTCACGGATTAACTTAACATTAAGTTAATTTAGCCTCAGATTAAGGTAATCAGATGTTGCGTGTCCCTTTTGGGGATCTTGAAACTCCTAAATTATTATCTGAAATCCAGCATGTGTGCTTCCCGTGTAGAAGCAAATCCTCAAAGCATCGAGTCCGAATGGGTATCCTGCATGAATGGGGAAAATCTCACAGCCTTTTTTATCATATAGTGGTGTTTTTTTTAATTAAGCTAAAAAATAATTGCATGACAAAGTGAAAATATTAAACAAGAGTAGTCTTATTTGGCTTAGCGTCATAGTTCAATCTTGACAGTGTAGATCGCTGAATATTGAGTCCCTGGGATGTACTGGGTTGACGGTCCCTGTTCTAAAGATACACTTCCACTGTCACCCTGTGGAGTCTAGTGAGATTTAACATACGAATTCCATCTGTGTTGTTATGCTTCTCAGGGCCTTTCCGATTATTACTTCACGTGCACGTAGTGGCATTTCGATGATTCTCCGCGATTCACTTTCCTGCCTTTTCCCAGGCGCAGAGTGCCCGTCTTCCCCACCTCGGCGGCGTCGACGTCCATTTCAATGGAATGATTGACTGTTTCGTTCAGGTCGTAAAGAGCAACGGCGTCCTCTCGCTGTGGAACGGCCTCACCGCCAACACGATAAAGGTACCGTTTTACTCATATACATTACTCATTCATATCTGAGCCATGTCATAGGGATCCAGCGGCGTCTACCTCCGCTTGTTTTTTGTCAAGCGAAACAAACTGCACGTGCTCAGAAAACATGAATGACTGTGACGCCATAGTCGCTCGTGACTCCATCACGAGCGAGGCGAGCAGAGTCCGAATACAGCGTGCTCCGCTCTCCTATTTCAGCTGCAAATGTCACGGTGGTCGGATGCCGTTTTTACAAATGCGAGGCCCCCGTCACAGGCAGCTAAACATCCGCCTGAATGAAAAGCCCCAGGCGAACTCGGCTCACTTTGAGTGACAATCAAACCAGACCCCGTGTTTGGATTCATGCTTCATCGCGTCTCCGTCCCCCTCACAGATCGTCCCCTACTTCGGTCTTCTTTTCACCTGCTTCGAGATGTGCAAGCGGGTCTGCCTTTACCGCAACGGCTACATCGTCTCGCCGCTGAGCTACAAACTGGCGCCGGGCGTCGACCAGAGCCTCGGGCCGCACGAGCTGCAGGAGGCCAAGCGCTACTTGAAAAACAGCAGCTTCGGGTCGGGGGGGTCGTCCCTGGGAAACCGCTGGTGAAGCTTCAGAGGAGAAGATGTCTGACTGGGGGACCACGCTCGAAAGGACTCGTGTCTGTAATATTTAAATTACATTCGTGTCTCCGTTGAAGGTGCTAACATGCATTCGAATGATGTCCAGTCAGCAACAGCCTACCTCCTTCAGAGACTCCTCTTCTTCTTTTTCTACCCGTAGCATTTGTTTATTAACTGTTTATTCACCCTCCACGTGTCCCCATGACTGTCTTTTAATCAAATATAATGCTCCTTAAGCATTAACTATTTATTTTCATTGTTATTTTAGTTATTAACATCAAACAGTGCCATACTATAGTGTATCCAAATGGATTACAAAAAACGTATTTTACTCTATTTACCTGACAGATTTTATCGTCACTATGCAATGAACGTAAAAAAATGTGGATACTTTGTAAGTTTGAGTAGGTTATGATCAGAAATGTAAGTGTGCTAACATAGACTGTGATGAAAGAAAAGTGTTTAAAACATTAAACATTTCTCACTTTTACATCAGGAGTGTTCTTTTGTGGATACCTTTGAGATGTCCTCTTCATGTGCTTCAGTGAATGACTCCATTTTGTTCTATACTTACAATGCATTTTAATGTCTTCACCATGCTCGTGTTTACGGGTAATTTATGACGACGGGCAATGTTCCTGGTGAGATTTCAATCCGTCTGACTGCATAGTTTAGTTAGTTATTGAGATTGAATCAGTCAGCTAATTCAATCATGACCTCCTCCACACTGTGGGAAACTGAGTGACAGCCAAAGGACATTAGCAGATGGGATGACCTTTAAACACCGTAGCCTTCAGGCCTCGGCGACATCTGACTTTGAGCCCAATCCCATTCAGAAAACAAAACAACTCAACAACAGTTCCACTGAGATGTGACCCAATCACGATATAGACACCTTAGAATGATAAGATAGTGGAACTTTTTGGTCTTTAAGAGTTCACTTTAGGGATGAGAGAAAGGGCATCACTTAGTCCCGCCCACCTCTGCAACACCCGACCAATCAGACACAGGAGTCGAAGTTCACACTCTCTCGCGTTCGGTCTTCTTAAATCCCCTCTCCTCTAGGTCGGAGTCGGCCATTTCAACTCCACCGACAGAGTAACGGGACGGTGACTGATAATACCCGAAGATGAGTGAGACCGCTATCTCCTTCGCCAAGGACTTCTTGGCTGGCGGCATTTCCGCTGCCATCTCCAAAACAGCTGTAGCCCCCATCGAGAGAGTCAAGCTTCTCCTCCAAGTGAGTGTTTAACATCTGTATTTCTCACGGATCGCTTAATCAAACGACTCCCCCGGTCTGCCAAGTTAAACGAAACGGGTGTCGATCATTCACTGCGTATTTTCCGTGCGGGTCATTTCCGAAAGATGGAGGGTGAAGCGGGTGAACTGTGCACGGTTGTGATGCGTTGCGGTAAAAAATAATAATAATAAAAACCATAATGTCAATATGCTGCACCGTTATGGGTAAAAGCTGCAGTCTCGACAGCCCGTGTCAGAGATTGCTGCAGCCGCGGGTGATCATATGCGGAGGAATAGGAGCGAAACCGATGCGCACGAGAACTGTTACGCAATGCACCTGCCAGCGAGCCGCTGTTTTACGCGCAGTGCGCAACGAAGCCCACGCATGACCACGGACTGACTGCGAATAAACGGGTGAAAACGCCTAAGTCCTCCCACGACAGGGCCTCCAGGTCCGCGAGACAACACACAGCCAAGGTCACCGCAAGGGTTGCGCCATGGTGGCACTCCGCTGCGGCCCGCAGCGCGGAGGAGGGGCGGAGGAGGGGTCAGGAGAGGAGGGGAGGGGGGGGGGGGGGTGTTGAATGGTTGCCATGGGAGTTGTACTCTGGCACGTGGATGGGTCTGTGTCACGTGGGTGTCACGATGAGACGAGTTACAGGGTCAGGTTAAAAGGGGTCCTTCACGCTGCTGGAGAAGTGGCGCTACGTCACAGTCCATGTGCATTTTCTCTTTCATTCTCTTTTGTTCTCTCTAATGGCCCTGTTGTATCTCTCCTTCGGTTACAGGTGCAACATGCCAGCAAACAGATTACAGCTGACATGCAGTACAAGGGCATCGTTGACTGCATCGTCCGTATCCCCAAGGAGCAGGGCTTCCTCTCGTACTGGAGAGGGAATCTGGCCAACGTCATCAGATACTTCCCCACCCAGGCCCTGAACTTCGCCTTCAAAGACAAGTACAAGAGCGTGTTCCTCGACGGGGTGGACAGGCACAAGCAGTTCTGGAGATACTTCGCGGGTAACCTGGCGTCCGGTGGCGCCGCCGGAGCCACGTCCCTCTGCTTCGTCTACCCCCTCGACTTCGCCAGGACGCGCCTGGCCGCTGATGTCGGCAAACCCGGACAGGGGCGCGAGTTCAAAGGCCTGGCCGACTGCCTGGTGAAGATCTCCAAGTCTGATGGCATCAAGGGTCTGTACCAGGGCTTCAGCGTGTCAGTGCAGGGCATCATCATCTACCGAGCTGCTTACTTTGGCGTCTATGACACGGCAAAGGGTAAGTGCTCATTGCCAGGCGTTGCAAAGCTTGATGTATCTCTCAGGCCTTTTGAGACCCCCTGACTGACTTTTTTTTCTTTCTTGACAGGCATGCTCCCTGACCCCAAGAACGCATCCATTCTAGTCAGCTGGATGATCGCTCAGTCCGTGACGGCGGTCGCTGGTCTCGTGTCCTACCCCTTCGACACCGTCCGTCGTCGCATGATGATGCAGTCTGGACGCAAAGGAGGTAATGAGCGCAACGTATGAAATGTAACTTTTGTGTTGGCGGAACGGTTTTGTAATTCTGTGTCCCCCCCCTCCTCCCCCCGCCCCCTTCAGCCGACATCATGTACTCCGGCACCATCGACTGCTGGAAGAAGATCGCACGTGACGAGGGCTCCAAGGCCTTCTTCAAGGGGGCCTTGTCCAACGTGCTCAGGGGCATGGGAGGCGCCTTCGTGCTCGTCTTGTACGATGAGCTTAAGAAAGTCCTCTAAGTTGTTTTTGTATGTCCAGTGTTAATGTTGTTTAACTGTAACATATCTTGTACATTTGGAAGAACTTAAATGCCAAGTTATATTTATAGGGACCAACTAGTATTTTCTACTAGTTGTACTGGGGGAATCTGTCACGCGCTCTTCTCTTGTCCCCTTGCCTTTTCCTTTTTTTGTTTTGTCTCTCACCAGAATGTCATTCCCTGAACACAGGAACCTTGCCGGAAAAAAAAAAAAGAACAGAAATAAACTCCCTCCTACTGAGTGAATCTCCCGACTGGTTTTGTGATAAGGTGTCATGTCTGACGGGTGAAAGAAAGCGACGCAGCGGCGGAGTGTCCCTGCTACTCCGTTGTGTTGCTTCAGGAAGCCATTTGGCAGCACGCTGCGTGAAATGTAAGCTTAGAGCTCCAGAGGTCTCCCAGGTTGTAGTTGGAGACGAGCCAAAACAAGCTGAGAAAATTGACCAGCTCGCAATATTTCATCCAAGCCACGCTTTTGGAAAAAACATTTGTCAGAAGTCTGACCAGTGCATTTCACATTTATTAGCAGAACATTTGCACAAAGAAAAAGCAACCAGCATTACTTGTTGCCAGGTGGATTAATGCAACCTTCTAAATACACTTTTGTTTCCTTAAAGGGGACTTTTAACCTTGAGCTGTTTGATCATTACCCAGTTTGACACACCTGTCCCAGGTATATATTATCCTGGTCATGTGATCTAAGTGCACAAAAACTAAATTGTATCTTTGTATTTGGGATAAGGGGCACCTTGGAAGATTTTAGGCTGGTGTTGGTGTTTATTTTTAGGGTGGCCACACGTGAATACCTCCTGATACGAGATCCTGTCGGCAGTAAAAAAAAAAGCAGGGCGTCATGTACTTCTTGAAGTCTATAACCATGCTGTTCCTTTCAAATTATACAAATTGTAATTGTTTGTCTGATTAATCGTATGGAAAAGTTGTATCGGCACAAATTTTCCGCATGAATTGTTTTCTTAATCTGCTGCGTTGCGCTTAAACCACGTGGAAACATTGATATCTCACTAACAGACTTGTCTCTTTGGGACATTCGGAAGCTTTCATCAGTCTCCAGACGTTATCGTTGTCCAATTACAGAGCTGCTGCCCCCTCAAGGTTTTTACTATCCGTTTCAGGATTTAAATAGATCAAGGCGTTTTAATTATAAAGGCACTGCTTGGTCTGACATTCTTATTAGCAGTGACTTGGAAAAATATCAGCACAGACAACTTGTGTTTCTGCTGCTGACTTTTACCCTCACAGAAATCCTCTCAGTATTCAGTCAGTTAGTGTGGAAGTGTGAATGGAGTCAATGGGAATGAGACTTTATCAAAAGTTTAATTCCGTCCTGTATTTTTCTCAAGTGACTCATCAGTTACTGTGCGGATCAAATTAAATGTCCTAATGGATTAAGACAATACAAATTCCCTCTGTATTGAGGGTGATATATGTTAAGATTTTCTCATAGTCAAATTCAGATGTTAAAAAGAACCATTTATTCTGATATATTAAGATGAAAGCGGTCCTCCTGTGGACTTAAAAGTCTTTGTAGCGCGTGGACACAATTACTATGTCTTGGACACACAGACTGATCTCCAAATGGAGGACACAGCTTAATTTTAGCAACACTATCAGATTACACGATTAATCACAGCTAGCCGTCGTACAAAGTCTTTGACTTAACCACCAACCCAAGGATATCAGTTTAGTCCCCAACGGCAGTCTCAGCAGGTATAAGCCTCTTTCTACAGCTCCAGCTAACAAGCAACTTTAACAAGCAAAAGGGAACTCAGCCTTTGACACACTGTCTGTCTGTGTGGCTTTTGATGCGCCGCGCCTCCTCGAGGTCAAGTCAGGGACACGAGAGTCGTCTTGTCAACGTGCTTTTATTTTTTTAAGACATGTAAAGACCAAGGCCAAAGGAGACACACGGTAGTGATTTTAAAAGGACACGCTGACTTGACAAGATTGAGGTCAAGGGGAGTTTTCATTTCCAAATCAAGACGGAGAAAAAGATTTATAAAGCCATAAAAGTAAGCATTTAGGCCTGAGATTAACGGACACTGATATTGGTCCGATGCCTTCTCAAATAAATGGATCGGGTATCTGTGACAATATGACAAATTGCTTTGAGATACTATTCTTTTATTAAACTAGAAGTCAGTACGCTACAGTTGTGTAAGTTGTGTTAGATTTAGTTTGCAAAGTAGGGAAAGCAATGTTTAGGTCAAGCATGATGTTATCTTGAGGTACTCTTCCGTGTCTGCTGATACCCAAAGGCCAGGTGTCGGTATCGGTACTGAAAAAATCCAATCAGAGCATCTAGTTTAAGCCACTCGGGCAACATATTGAAATAAAGATCGAAACATCAAAACTGTAAATCCTCATAATTAAAGTATCAAATCTAAAAACATGAATTAAAAAAAAAAGGATATCATTACATTACTGTTACTAACGCATGCATGCAAATCCATAAAAAAGTTATTTTATTAACTCATGATTTGGATTGTATATCCAAATCCTCAAATTCTAAATTACAACAAAAATAGATTGTAAAGCTACAATATTTACCTCTGAATGGAAGTGAAATAATAATTAAGCAAGTATATTGTACATAAGGGACGTACTTCCCTCTACCAGGGGCTTCCTAGTGAGAGTTTTTATCCACATGCACCTCTACGGATCTCCGGAGCTTCCGCCCTTCACATTAAAAGCCTTGTGTTGCGTAATATCAGCTGTCGACTGAATTACGTCATAAATCCACCGGGTCGTGACCCGTCATTTCCACTCATAATGAAAAAAACAGATGTATGAATTATTTGTGCAGATGTTTGAAGGACAGTAACATACAGCCTATTCTCTGAACACAGACCTTTATTAGTACACAAGCTTGTCATGCTCATCGTGTCATCAAATTACAACAATGTCTTCATTATCGTTCAGTTTATTGATAGATTTGGTTCCTGTCTGTTGTTGCTGAGTAGTGTTAGCGCCACCTTGTGGCCTTTGTATGTCTACTTCTACCATAAATCAGAATCAGCAGATCAGCAGAGAGAGAGAGAGAGAGAGAGAGAGAGAGAGAGAGAGAGAGAGAGAGAGAGAGGGGACCGCTTCATCCTCGCAGTAACCTCTAGATGGCATCCCGTCATAATCAATAACAGGCACGCGTGCGTTTCTTTCAGCCAATCACAGCTGCGCTACCACCAGTTCAATAAATACCCCCCCCCCCCTCCCCCCATCCCCTCCTCCCGGTATCAGTCCTCGTTAAACAGCGGCTCGTCCCCGCTGAGTATGCGGACGAACAACACCGACGCCGACGCGAGGGCCGCGGGCGGGCAGCGCCTCGTGTAGGGGAAGCAGCGATGTCTCTGCGGCGCCTCTCCGTCGCCGTGGCTCTGTGCGCCGCGTGGTTCCTGTCCGACTGCACGCCGACTCAGTGCGTCTTGTGCGGCCTCTTTTGTTTCGCCGCCCCGCTGTGGCTCGTGAGCACTCGGCGCGAGGGCAGCACTCAAACCGACGAAGGGTCGAGTGCACGTCCGCTCCAGGTGTGTCGCGCGTCTGTTGTTGTGACTTAGTCTTTAGTTGTCTGACGTGTGTGTATTCATATATATATATATATATATATATATATATATATATAGATTTTTTTTTGGAGTAATGCGCACGTGCGGTTTCGAAGGGGTGATGTGTTATAGTTTTAAATATTACCATATTTCTAAGGAAATTCGATCATTTTTAAGTCTGTTAAAAATTCCAATAGGAGAAGATAACAAACTAGTTGTCTTCCAAGGCCACTTTACGCAAATAGTTTAACTATTGGGTTAACAGAAGTACTCAAATATTAAAGTAGCCTGCGGTGATTTTTGTGTTTTTTACCCCCGTGGCCTTGAAGAACTTGTTTCCACTCGTCACATATCTCGCTGTCACCCAGAGTTCAACGTTTGCTCTGTGCTCTTCGTGCCTTTGCTTCCCGCTGTGTGGCTCAGTATCTCGTGTTTTCCAGGAGCCCGTGGTGGGAGAGTTGTCTGGTGACTTGTCCCAAAGGCACCCTGAACCACCCGAGTCCCAGTATCCACTCGTGAAGGCGTCCCTGCAGCAAGGTGAGGCAGATGTCCCAACAGCAGAGAAACGCATCAGACTTGACGGTTCAGAGGAGTGAATATTTAATTAAAGAAAGAATTGCAAATAACCAAGGTTCTGATCTTGTAGGGTGTTTGCAGGCCAATCCTACGTCTGTTTTGACTTGACACAGGCGAAAAGGACATTTTTGCATAGAAGCAGCTGTCTCGTGTTACAGGATGCTAGGAGGGGCTTGAAAGAAGGATGAAAAAAAACAAAAAACATTCTGAATAGATAGACAGGAAATATAGTGACCTTTTATGCGTCATTAATTATTTCCTTTGTGGTGCTGCTTTTTTAAATGGATTTGTGTTTTTCTTTCGTCTGCATTTGAAATGTGTCGTGGCTCAAGTGAAACCATGAAAAGGTTACTTTTTTTTTTGCACAATGATTTTGGTTGTAGAAGCACTTTATATTTCTGGGCTCCTCTGGAGTTGAGAAGGATTGCGTTTTATTACAGCGAACTATGTATTCCCTCTCTGATCTTCATGCCTTTTTTTTTCTTTTTTTTTTTAAACCATCCGTACACCACAAACTTAATATTTGTTTTTCCAGCACAAACTTGGCCAATGTCTGTCTTCTGATATTGTACAAAGTACCTGTGTTGTTTATTCCTGCAGGACAAAGAGGGAAATCCTGTGGACTTGCGTGTGTTGAACGGACACACAGCCTGAATTTTGCCAACAAGCTTTTAAAGTTGCTCCACAGTTTGTTTGTGTGTGTGTGTGTGTGTGTGTGTGTGTGTGTGGGAGTTTTGGTGTGACTGTTGAATTCTTCCTTCTGCGACAGTGTTCGAGTGCGCCTACGCCCAGCTGCTCCTGCCTTGGTACGGCGTCGCCGAGCCTCGTCGGCGCCAGCCCCTGCACCAGGTGCTCGGCGGGGAGTTCGACTTTGTGATCGACCGCATCGTCGAGCGAGCCGAAGGCTTCGACGTTTGCCAGGCGGTCGTGGGCTGCGTTCGTATTTTGACTCAGCACTTGCATAACGCGAAGCAGTCTGACAGGTGAACATTGCTCCCTATTTCGAATTCATGGGGCTTCAGCTCCTCGTTGCACTCTGTTAAGTGTCTAACCCTTTTTTTTACAAGCTATGAATATATATATTTTTTTTTACAAGCTCATGCCGCAGTCCTACAGTCCTTTATGGGTTTTTGCTGAATGGGGAAATCTATTTAGATCAAGTGACTGTCAGATAGGGGGATAAACACCCATGACGAAGCACCATAATAATCGCCTCTCGATGGCTTTGTTTCAGAGAGCCCTCGTTGAGCTCGAGAGCGGAGGAGGTCGCGGCTCTCCGGAAGTGTTCCGACGCTCTATTGCGTAACCTTTTCCACGAATCTCTCTGGGGCCACGAGGTCAACCGCTGTGCCTTGACTGAGATCATAGCTTTAAAGGGTAAGAAAGCTTTAAATTCACTTTTTTATAGGACTACACTCTTTCATAAGAGCTGAGTCTCCGTCGACCTCTTTCTGCAGTGTGAATCGTATGTAATCCCTTATTGTTGGAATGCTTCAGCATCCCTTCTATCCACCTCCTCAGCATCTTATCAACCCCCCTCCCATCCCATCATTTCAAAATAAAAGCCTCAATGATTATCTGTACCGTAACTATGAAGCTCAGGATAAAGCTGTTTCGTTGAATACTTATTGCTATTCCAAATACTACAACCATTACTAGTATTAATACTAAAATGACTTCTACGTCTACTAATACTACAAGTAGTAGTACTACAACCGATGCTTCTACTACAATCATTAACACTACTACTAGTATTTCCACTGCTATTAATACTAAAATGACAACTAGGAGTAGTTCTACCAACTACTAATATTACCACTACAAATGATACTACCATCATTACTAGTAGTTCTAGTGCTATTAATACAACTAGTATTGCAGCTGATAATACTAGTACTACAACTAACACTACTACGTCTAGTTTTTCTACTGTTATTGATACTATTCTACTGCTATTGGTAGTACTACTACCACAATTGCAATACTTTATTTTTTTTTAAATTCTTATTTCTGTATTTTAAAAAAATAATGAATTCCAGCTCCTTCAACTTCTATATTTTCAGCAATTCTTTAAAATATTTTCTGATGTATGTATTAACAGCAATGTTTTAATATTCATTTAAGCTTTTCTCATTTCTGCATTTTCAGCAAATATATTGAAATTACCATCAGCTTCTTCCATTTTTGTATTTTCAGCTATTTTTAAAAATTCACTTCAGCTTTCAATGCATTTCTCAGTGACGTCCTAGAACTGAGGACCCAATTCTCGGCATCAAACTTCTGCACTGAATTGCCATTTCCTTTTTTGGGGGTTTTGTAACTTCCCCTAGAGCCAGATGAAATGTCTTGTCTCATGCGAGTCTTGCTGATTTTGACTGTTTTGGTTGAAACTTTCATGCATACGTAACTGAGTGTTTTTCATTAGTCTGGAACGGTTGCTGAATTATACAAGGCTTTGCTTTTACCGGTAAAACAATGACTTCTTCAAATACTGTGACGTGTTTAACCACTCATCCACACAAGACTTCTAATAATATTTTGACATTTTGCGAAACAAGAGTCCTTTCCGTTCTTGCAGTAATTATACAAACAAGTTGCATGTAAAGATAAATTGCTGCGCTTTACATGTGCTGTCATCCTTGTGTGGAAGTTTCCCGACTTCTTCGCTAAGCTAACTGGCTACTGCTAGCCTGTGGAAAATTAGCATAATTTGAAAAATGTTTTACTATTCAAAACCTTTTCTATTGATGATCCTATTACTGATTCTGCAGGATCATACACAAATACATTTAAAGTGAGCAAGCTTCTTGTTACAATATGCTGATGTGGCTAAATGTGAACATCGCGCCTGCTGCTTTTAGCGTGTGTGCGTGTGTGTGTGTGTGTGTTGATGCTGCGATGTTTTCTTCAGGGCTCGGTCTGCTGGTGACGTGGCTGTCGGACCCCGACACGCTCAACCAGCTGGTGGTGAGCCAGCTGGACAGCGTGACCCCCACGGGCTCCGTGGAGGAGCTTTGTGGATCCGACTCGGATCGAACCTCTCCGGCTTCAGAGGAGGGCGAAGGCCGGGACGAGTGAGTGTCAGAGTGCCGGCTCGGCGTTCTTGTAGTGAGCCTCAAAGCGACGGCTCTGGGATCCGCCTTGGGATAGAAAACTGACCTGGTTCTGTTGGATGGCTGGCTTTAATGTATTTTTATTCATTTCAAGGAGCTTGGAGGGAGCAGCAATTTCAACCGGCAAAGGGATCACAACCAAAAGAAAAGGTGGGGTTTTTTTCTTCTTCTTTTTTTAGATTGTGATTTAAAAGGCTCATTGATGCTGTAACCCGAAGGATGTGATTTGTTACCTGATGTTTAGCTTTGATTGTGAACACATTTCAGATTAAGATCTCTGAGAAATGCAGACGGAGGAGTTTGTGGGTGTTTGGAGAACGCTCACAAACAGGCCTTCACTTGCATAACATCTTGTACGACAGTTTGATGAATAGCAACGAGTTATCTGCTCTCTACGTGACATTATACTTCCCTCTACCAGCCTGCCTGTCGCCACATAATTAATCCCCTGTCTCTAGCTTGTTGGATGCCAAATCCTTTTTGTGTTTTCAAGCAGCTTCCATCTCTTTAACATAAAACAGGCCAACGGTGATAACTAAATAAAACTTGCATAATACATATTTGTTGTTGTAATCTGTAATAATTTAAATCTGTTGGGATATTTTTCATAATTGGGCCACGGTGTTGATTATGGCATTAAATGTTTGATTACTAATCACGCTTACGCTTCCTACGTGCCTAACAAAGCTGGTGAATAGTTCTTCTGGCATTTCAACTATTGCAATGCTTAAACGCTGATCCACGGTGTAGAAATTCAAATGCTGGTTCAGAGTTGTTGAAGTCTGCGTGAAATGCATTGCTATTCTCTCTTGCTATATATTGTTTCTTCATTGCCGGTGTATAAACAGTAGAGGAAGTCTAAAAGACGGCAAAACATCAATACCACAAGTTGTGTAAACTTCTGACTTTTGTCACGTTGTCTTTTTCAGCTAACAAGTTGAAAGAAGGGTGGTCTAAATTTGTGCACAAAGTGAAGTGCAAGACGGAAAAGGACAAGAGGAAAACGAAGAAGAAGATGAAGACCGTGGAGCAGGAACTGATTCTCAGGGTAATGGCGATGCAGGGAGACGCGTCCAGCGAGGGCTCCGTCGGCAGCAGGAACGGCTCCGTCCTCGGCCTGCAGGACTCTGACAGGGTGAGGCCCGCCGCGCATGTCAGGCGAGTCATCGAAATGAAGCTTTGTGAAACACAACATTCTTCTTTTTTTCTTTTTTTTTTTTAAAATCACCATCAGGACGACAGTGATCTGGAAGACTACTTGACGGGCGTGCAAGAGAACATGATGGAATTCAAGCTCTCGTATGAGATGTGGCGCGTCGGCCGCTGGGCTGTCAGCATCCCTCACGTGAGTCATAAATGTCGGTGACTCGGGGGAATGTTCTGCAGACCGGAGGGAACGTCTGCTGAGCCTCTGTTAAGAACTTTAACCCCTTGTATGGTCCGATAATGTCTGAGCCGGAGTCTACTGTGTTGCAGGCCGACTGGGAGGAAGACGAGCTTATCTTCACGGTGCACCTGGAGGAGGAGGAAAGCCCTGAGAACCTCCAGTGGGACATCAGGAAGACCTACATGGATGTTATACACTTCCGCAACAGATGGCAGGTAAAAGGCAAAGGGAAGGACATGTTTTGTCCTATGACTCACTATTGGAGTGAGCAAACAGTTTGCTTTAGTTGGACCAACACATAAACCTTTTTGTTATGTTTCTGAGAAGCCACATTGCGCTTATTTAGACTGTTGTTTTTGGCTTTGTGTTGTCTGCTTTGGACAAACTGAACTGCACCAGTGACTACAGACTTTTAAAATAAACAAATGACCTACTTTGCTTGTAATTTGATTTAATCAACCAAACGTGATACGCCAGGTAGATTGTGTTATTACGCGGAACTCATTGTAGTTATTTTGATTGAACACGTTTAGGGATTATTTGCAGTCAGTTCCAGCCCGGTGAACAGATTGGAGGAGCGTGAGTCTGAATGATGAGAAGGCAAAGTGCTTCTTCAAATGTGCATGAGGTTCCCTGATCATACGAGTCCTGCGCTAATGGGGCTTTAGGGGTAGTTTACTATGATATTTTTGATTTTGTGATCCTCTTTACTAGTTGGGATACCAGTACAGTCTTTTTTTTTTTTAATGTATTTTTATTTACAATAGGAGAAAGCCTTGTTGCTTGTATCTATTCAGCATGAACCAGAGGAGGATGATCGGTGAGAATGGGATAACAAACTACTCCCGTGTGTGTTACTTATGTTATCAGGACTCAACTAGTTTACCTACAATCCTGGCGCTCGAGGGGTCCAAGGGTGAGTGCGAGGAAGAAACCAGAATATCAGTGGAGCAATTTCTTCAGGTGAGAGAAACTCAAATCTTCCGATGAGTCTTCTTTCAGATCAACATTTGTCATTCAACATTTCTTTTTTTTTTTTTTTCCCCAGACGTTGGTATCGGATAATCTCATCGGCCTCACCCAACCAGTTTTCCAGTTCCTCTGTCCTCTCGACAAACTGCTGAATGAGGAAGAACACAATGGGGGCGTGTGGGGCCTTCTGAGCGGCTTGGCTTACTTCCTCACGCCGGGTCAAGAGGAAGAGGAGGTAAACATTAAAGTCTGCGAGGGTTGGGTTTACTTCTGAAATCTGTGAACAGTAAACACGTACGTGTGTGTATCATCATAGGACATATTTACCATGGTTGGGTGCACAGGCAGTTTCCCTGATAAACCTTTGACTTGTCTGATTATCTGGTTCTTTCACTGTGTTCTCAGATCTCATCTTTTACTTTGTTTTGTTGGTTATGTTCCATAATGACAAATACTATCAAACCCCCCCCAGCTGCCATAAGATGATTGCTTTGTTTTCCTCTGCAGAACTTGAGCCCTCAAACGGAAGCGCCTAAAGAAATGGAAAGACCAGAAACCCCCGATGCCTTTACCGAGGCATCGGTACTCCAAGGCTGTGAAGTTCCTGGTTCTTCGATCCCAACTTTTGTGATCTCCCAGCATGGTTCTCCTCCGGAATGGCCCGAAGAAGCAGGAACTCCCTCCGCTGTCTGCTCCGACTCTTCCAACGGAAACGGTTCCAAAGATAAAACTGAGGACTCCGATAATCTCTTGACCTTTCACCTAAAAAACATGTTCAAAGGACTGACCCGATCCAGGTCGCTGGACTCTCTGGCCTCGACAAAAAACGCCAGCGACGAAGGCTCGCCCGAGTCCGACCCGTCGGCTCACAGCGGCCGGAATGGGGACTCTCAGGAGAGGCCTGAAGGCCTGTCGCTGCTTCACTTCAGCAGCTGGTCCAACAAAAAAGAGCGACCGTGTTTCAAGATCTCAGGTGGAGCCGTCAAGGCGAAGGGGAAGCACCCGGGCACTTTGTCAAGAGGCGAGGACTCCCAGGGTCAGAAGAGCCAAGTCAACTGGGAGCAGCTGGAGGCCACCAAAGCCATTTTTGATCTGCTGAAAGAAATATCTGGTTTGTTCAGCGTTGCAGTGAACCGCTTCACACCAGTGTTTTTGTAGTTGTTTTTTTACATAGATTAATGTTCTCAAAGATCAGCTTAATACTCTGTCTCTCTTAACAGGGAACTCCATCCTCATAAACATATTTGATGCCATTTTGAAACCCGTAATGCCAATCTTGAAAAAGTGAGTTTGGCTCGGACTCACAAACTCTGACCTCAGTAGTTCCCTTGGATCCTTTTCCATACCAGTGAGTTTTTGTTATGTCCTTTTCCAGAAAAGTGAACGCTTTCCTGAACAAGATGAACCCGACAGAGGTGCAAATGGCCGCATTAATAGACGCCATGCGGGGAAAAACAGTGGCCAGATATTAAGCCGGCAGCTCCTCCTGCTCCTCTCCCTCCTCGTACTGACGAGCAGAAGAACGAGACGAGGGAAAGGGCGCACAACCTAATCAACGCCAAATGTAGGGAACTCTGCACCTGGTGGGAAATATCCACCTATTTCCTGCAGTTGATGATCCATTAAACTCCATTTTCTCTGTAGATTCAAACTACCTCGTCCTGAAGAAGACTGACGTGGAGACGGTTTTTAATATTTTTCAGAACAGAAAAGAAAACAAACTGCTGCTCCATGTGAGTATAAAACATTTACACTCTGCCACCGTGCCTCCTTTTATTGTATGCGATTTTCCCTTTTGATTCAACATAAATTAACAAATGTTTGTTTTTCTTTACTGTTCATCTCAGATGCTCCTGACATTCCTATTGAAAGAATTTCTCCCCAATGAGAATTCCCTAAATGTGAGTGCCACTGCCCCATAGACAGTGATGTCCACCAACTGATTTGTGAATGTCTTTTTTAATGGTACTTTCTCAATTTGTTTTAGAATGTAAAAGTATTTATTAAACATTTCAATGCCTTAAAATATTTCTGATTATCTGTATCACTGTCAAACATTACTGTAATCTTTACCTCGAACATTCTGTCAATATTTCTGGGAATTTTGTATAGTCGAACTGAAGAAAACCATATTTCATTTTTACTTTTTGAATTTCACTGCTCACATCTCGATGTAAAACATTTTTTTACATTTTCTAAAAACTTGTCACTTTGAGCACTTTTGCGAGGTGAGTGTTTATTTTCTAAATTTTAAGGCATAACGTTTTATGCAATATGTTGGTACCGTTATCAAAAGACTCAAGTTTTTCAAATAAAATGTTTTAATAAACACATTTTCCCCTATCGTGTTTTTAAGCCAGTTAAGACTTAATTGTTGCTTGTACAACAAAACAAAAATTAAAATTGTTTTCCGTCCCCCTGGACAAAGTATTTAGCCATCAACTTTTGCCATATTTAAAAAAAAAAAAAAAAAAAAATCTTATAACCCTTGATTTGAAATTCTCGTGATATTTCGTTGTTAGTGCAACATAATTAATTACATGATTAATTGATTGGAAAAATATTATTAAAAAAATGTCCAAATCATGATTGAAATCTCAGCCAGCAGGTGAGAATGTAGTCATACCAGACTTAAGCGTACTCATCTTTTCAGGTTGTCTCAAGTCTTAAAAGCTCAGCCAATGACCCATGAAGTGACTGTTGTGCTTTCAATAGGACCTCATTGAGATGTCGTCCTACTAGTTTTCATGGAACTGCAGATTTTGTTTACCAGTGTAGATGCACAATACTTGTGTTTACCAAAAGTACCTCTATGCTAACCACAAAAGGTTGGAAACGGCTGTTGGAAACTGAGATTTATCAAAAGCAACTGAATCTATCTGAACATTAGTGGTCAGCAAATTAAATCAGTGAGCAACTACAAAAATGTAAATACACTAAACAAATGTATTATTGTGGCAAGAAATAATGTAAGGGTTACTTGGTTGACGTGTGGATAAACTGACAGGACGTAACCCAGGACTTATGGTGTTGCCTAGCAATGCAATTCCCAGGAAACCATGAACAAGAAGACTGTATGACAATCGAATAAGCAGAGCTGTCAAAGAAGTCCCTCGAGGAAAAGATGACACCAGGGAAAAAGAAAACCAGTAAGGCACCATATGAAGTCATTTAGAAAGGTACAAAAATAAAGGAGCTAAAGTGCAAAGAGTAGAATAATAAGCAGCTTACTGAAAATGTTGTGATTACCGATGAAGTGCTTTTGGATGTAACTATTCATTCAACTGCTGTGAGACCGGGTTGGCACAGTTAAATGATAAACTGATCTTGAAACCAGGGCTGGACAACAAAACATTGTGATGGGATTGCTTTCCCAACCACAGAGCTTTAGTATAATTGGATATTCCGAAGTTTCCAAATATACATAGGTCAGACAGAAATTTTTTATATAAAAAGATGCACGAGACATCTGGAAATTTGATGGAATTTTTCAACAAAAGCCAACAGTCTGGTGTAGATAAGTGGTACTAATAATTTAGTACCCCATATATGAAAATGGGAAGAAATACACATTTTAACACCTCCATTCACACGTACGTCTCCATGTCAACTGGGTGATATTCTCAACTATTTGATAAAATACCGCCACAGTGGAAACTTAAAAATTGTTCAACACCGTGCCGCCTCAGTCGCCCCCCTGCAGCTGCTCCTCCGCCCCAGCAGGGGGCGACCCTCTGATCCGCCGCAGCGCGCGCGCGCGCGCCCCCGCGCTCAGGAATCCAAGATGTCTGCGCCCTGTGGGATGCTGCTAGCGGCGTGAGGCTACGGAACAAGTGTCAGGTAAGACACCGCGAAGCTCCGTGTAAGGTTTTTCTGTTGTCTTTTTTTTTGGGAGAGAGTTGTACACGTTCCCGTTTGACGGCGTAAAGGCTGTAAAGCAGCGGGGCGCCGGTGTTACGGGCGGTGACGTGCTCGTAGCCTTTACGGTTCAATGTGACTGTGGACAAAGTATCTCAGCTGTGACCTGCTGGTGTTTTCAAAGAGGAAAATGGTTTTCTGAGTAAGACTGATGTAAAACATTTTGTTAACATGCATGCAGGATTTTTTGGTTTCGTATTTAAATCTAAATCTTATGACAACGTCTTGTCTGAGATTCAGATGAGTTACCTAAGATCATGAAACTAAGAGTATCCAGAAGCGTTTTCCTTCATTGTTAATTTATCATGTTTTTACTGTCAATTAGTATTTAGGATATTCTGTTACGTCGACAGTGAACTGGAGAGATTTCATTGATGTATTTGTTTTTTTTTTTACTTTTTGGTCAAATACTTTTATATAACCACCTCACATCCTTAAAGAACTGCTGTTTCCTAATCATTCCCTCATGAATCAACGTTCACAGACATTATTCACAGTGCATTTGACATCTTGATTCTAACCTATTGTAACCGGACATCCATAAAGAATATATTCATTTGAAGGTCAAGTCGATGCGCTGATATTGGAGACAAAAGCATTTGAAGAATTGTACTTGTGCCTCGTGTGATAAACATCTGCATTTTGCTGGCGCGTACATCATTTGTTTTGGAAGCGATTTGAAAGAAAGTTGTTTTTTTAAATACAGCTGTTTGTATGATGCATTGTAATACAAATTCATATTGATTTCCAGATCTATGTTGGTCACGTGGCTCCTATTCACAGGGAAGCTTACTTTGATCAACAAAGGCTGCATTCAACTTAATCTAGCCGAAGCTTTAGCTCGCTTTGTTTCACCCTCCAATCTAAATTCACATACTGTTGTCGAACCACGTCTCACAATACATTTGATAAATATAATTGACAATTCAACTGAAGAAGAGGGATAATTCAGAATAGTCTTTTTTTTAATCCTTTCTAAAACTTAAAATTCTCTTACTCTGTTGATTGACCGGCAAGTGTTTGGCCCTCGCTCCGTCACCATCCTTTTCCCTTTTGCTGATCTTTCCCCGCGGACTGTAAATAACGAGGGGACGTTGTTGTGATCTGCAGTTCTGAAGGCCGGGCACTATAATGTCGGAGCCTCGTGCATCCACCTCGAGGCCGTGTGTGTAATCCTCTAAATACGTCCCAATACTTTTCCTCCTCGTCCTTCACGTCGCTCGTTGTTTGTGTGTGGTTGCTGACGACCAGACCAGCATGAAGGAGTCCTATGATGCTGTGAGCGATGAATGACTCTTTATGGTACATTCACACTTTGTAAGTCTTTTATCCAGACTGCAAGTTATAGTTGAGGTGGAACTGCTGACGTAACCGCAGCGGCAGCGTGTGATTCACGCTCAGACTCCGGAGACGACATGCTGCACGTCTGCAAGATGCATCGGGAGATGATCCAACCCGGGGGGTTATTTCCCCTACTTTATATTTCACAAATCTCGGGTATCTGCTGCGTTGCGGCCTGTTGCTTTTCTAAATTTATTCATGATTCAGCCGCGTCTGTAACGCATTTTGTATCTCACCATTCAAACATGACAGGGAGAGGGTAATGTATTCAGGGGAGCCGGAAGGAGGGGGGGGGCACCTCCCTGGGATTTGATCACAGGGAGGCCGTGTTAATACATGCGTGGAGTTTAGACCGCGAGTCATCACTATTCAAGTACAAGGTCATGGATTGAGGCCGGGCGTCAGTGATGCATATCCGCTGCCTCCGTAGTCTGCACCAACACACACTTCACACCAGAGGTGTTCGGAGGGAGGGCAGGTGGGGGCAGTTGTGAGTGCTGCCTTTACTGTGGTTCAAGGAACTGGTCGTTGTGGTTTCACTGTATTGTTGTTAAACCCTTCAATAATATAATCGTATTCAAATAACCTCAAACCAAATGGGGCACATGTGGTCATATGTTCATTTTTGTTCATTCTGAGCAATCGCAGAAACCAAACAAGCAGGTGCCAGAAGAGGCCGAGTAATGCTACCTCGGCTCATATGGAGCCAATTCCAGGGAAAATGTTTTGATCATTTGAAAATACAAATGTGAAACTTTTGGTCTTGAACATTGACGCATTCCAAATAAAAATGAGTGGATAAAAAGTATTTTTGGGTTGACCGTAGTCTTGACTCAGTTCTTCAATTGTTTTGAATAAAATACTCTTTTTCACTCACCCCTGTTTTGATTTAATATTTTGGCATGAAAATAAACACCAGCTTAATGCAAAACCTGAATTTTAATTGGTAGCTAATTAGATTTTATTTTCCCAAGATCGTTGCACCCAGAAAATTCGTGTGAAGCAGTTCTTGTGACTTGCTGCTTACTCTGTAGTTTAAAACTAATTAACTCTGGTGTAACATCTGGCTATTTGATGCATTTGGTTCATTCCTGACGGTGTGGAAAGGACGCTTTACTTCTGAAGCCATCGCTTAGCCGCGAGCTCTCGGAGAAGACGAGACCTGTAAGACTGCGGTCTCGGGTGAAACCGGGTCACGTGACTTTCCCCCCCCTTTTTTGAGTCTTGTGGGATCATTGGGCCGCTCCTCGAGTCCTGCGTTTGTTTGACTGGCCTTCAGCACTTGGCGTTCATCCGTCGATGGCGCCGTGAGGGGAGTCCGATGGGGTGAATACTGATGTAGTGGCATATGACAGGCTCTCTATGAATGTACATCTGCAGCTTTAATCTCTTAATCCCGTCCCGCGGGACTCAGGGACATTTTTCTTTTCTTTTTTTTTTTTTTCTGTTTGGTTGCTGCGTCAGAATCATCCAAACAAATACGACGTCCCAGAGTTCCCAGCTGCCGGTGAAGGTTCTTCCGCTGCTGTTTATTGTGCTGTCAACAGATTTCGCGTCTCTTGTGTTCAAGGACGCCACTTATTTATTGCGGCTCTAATGGTATTCAAACTGTTTCTGCGACGATGGGCAGAAACATGAAATTGCTTTTATTTTTTTTTATTAAGCGCATGCTCTTTTTCTATTAGTATCTCGGGGCTTCAGTTTTGTCTCTGGGGTTTTCTTCTATTCGATCTTCAATTAGTTTGGTGTCAGATTCTCGAACTCGTGCCAGAAGTCCAGAAGACGTGACCAACCGCTGACTTCTGGGAATGAGTCTCTCGTCTGTTGTCTTACATCTACTGTGAAGGTGAATGCAGCCTCTGGATGGACCGCTAAGAGTTTAATGCAACTCCAAGTCAGAATTTTAATGGAGTTTTGCAGATGGGAATGAATTCTGCCCCCTTTTAATTTCAAAGAAATCGGATGCCGGGTTTCTGTTTTGGTCTCTGGCAGGTTTTTAGATGGAAGGCGAAGTGATTCGTTGAGCGTTGAGACCAGAGTAAGAACCGTTCAGTAAAACAAACGTACAGCCGTGGCCAAAGGTTTTGACGATGGCACAAATATTCATTTTCACAAAGTCTGCTGCCTTTTGAAACACGTGCAGTCATCACTGCTTTGCACAAAAAGGGCTTCACAGCCAAGGATATTGCTGATAGTAAGATTGCACCTAAATCTACTATTTATCGGATCATCAAGAACTTCAAGGAATGCGGTTCAATTGTTGTGAAGAAGGCTTCAGGTCGCCCAAGAAAGTCCAGAAAAGCGCCAGGATCGACTCCTAAAGTTGATCCAGCTGAGGGATCGGGGCACCACCGGTGCAGAGCTTGCTCAGGAGTGGCAGCAGGCAGGTGTGGGTGCATCTGCACGCACAGTGAGGCAAAGACTTTTGGAGGATGACCTGGTGTCAAGAAGGGCAGCAAGGAAGCCACTTCTCTCCAGGAAAATTATCAAGGACAGACTGATATTCTGCAAAAGGTACAGGGATCAGACTGCTGAGGACTGGGGTAGAGTCACTTTCTCTGATGAATCCCCTTTCAGATTATTTGGGGCGTCTGGAAGCAAGCTTGTCGGGAGAAGAAAAGGTGAGCGCTACCATCGGTCCTGTGTCGTGCCAACAGTGAAGCATCCTGAAACCGTTCATGTGTGGGGTTGCTTCTCAGCCAAGGGAGTGGCCTCACTCACAATTTTGCCTGGGAACACCGCCATGAATAAAGAATGGTACCAAAACGTCCTCCGAGAGCAACTTCTTCCAACCATCCAAGAACAGTTTGGTGACAAACGTCGCCTTTTCCAGCATGATGGAGCACCTTGCCATAAGGCAACAGTGATAACCAAGCGGCTCGGGGAACAAAACATCGACATTTTGTCTGAAAGTCCCCAGACCTTAATCCCATTGAGAACTTGTGGTCAATCCTCAAGAGGCGGGTGGACAAACAAAACCCCACAAATTCTGACAAACTCCAAGCATTGATTCTGCAGGAATGGGCTGCCATCAGTCAGGATGTGGCCCAGAAGTTAATTGACAGCATGCCAGGGCGAATTGCAGAGGTCTTGAAAAAGAAGGGTCAACACTGCAAATATTGACTCTTTACATAAACTCTATGTAATTGCCAATGAAATCTTTTGACACTTATTACATGCTTGTAATTATCCTTCAGTATACCATAGTAACATCTTACAAAAAGATCTAAGAACACTGAAGCAACACACTTTGTGAAAACCAATACATGTGTCATTCTCAAAACCTTTGGCCACGGCTGGGACATAAAATATGTATCGGGTAAAGGATCACACATTTTAAACCAAACCCAAGAGAGAAGCTTGTGTGAATTTATTATATCATCTAAAACCATCCTAATTAGGGTTGTGATCTATTTGTTATGCTATAAATACCATGTGGGGAGAAGGAAAGTAAGTACACGGGGAAGAATTGGGAACACCCTTCATTTCCCGTCACATCTTAACTGTCCACATTTGAATAAAAGTGAAAATATCTTCAATGGTCTAATACACAGAAATAAAAGGATGGACCCGCTATGACAAAATATTCTTCCTTTCCACTTGGTGGAGGAGGAGCCCTTGACTTTGGCGATAAGCTTGTATCAAAGTTCCCCACAAGCGATGATTTAGTTGTTATTACGGTTTTCCATAAGCAACAGGTTCCCGTGTCTGTAAATAAGCTTTGCGAGCACAAGTCTGAATACTCTCCGTGCGGAAGGATATTTTAGGACGGCCATCGAGGGAAAGCTGCAGGGAAACATGAACCAGGCACATAAAGCTGCTGCGATGGAAATAAAATGTGGGGAAAAGGATCCAGTGAAGCGCCGTTCCTGGTTAATACGGGCGTTCATGCTCAAATGTGTCTTTGTCAGAGGGCTGAATGAGGTAATAATCTTCTGATCATCTTCATTATTATAATCTTCATTTCATGTGGCAGAACCAATCGGTTTCATGAGAAAGTATTTGACTTTGTTTTCTTCGCTGTTTGTCTTTTTTTTTTTAATTAGCTGAGATGTGAAGATGAGAACCAACGAAGTGGAACAAAGATTATTGAAATACATTCATATCCGTCCTTTATTTCATCAGACTGCAGGAGAACGATAGCAAGAGAAGAGGATGTCTCCAGGTTTTTTTGTTCATTTCTTTTTTTTTTTTTAAGATAATTACATGTTTTTCACGGTTTGTGACCTTGAACTGTAAATAAAAAACCTATTTGGCGGATCGAGTGTCTGATGTGTCTCGTTAATGAAGACCAAAGAGAGCCTTAATATCTTTAATAACAAACAGCGGTGGGCTTCGCTGGTGCAAACGAACGCACGTTTCTTAAAAGCAGAATGATCAACCGCTTTAATCAAAGTGGTCGTTATCTCTGAAGTGCAGACCGTGTTAAATATGCAGGAACAGAAGCTGCTGTCGCGTTTAAAATCAAAGAACTTTGGTTCGAGTGGTCGTAGCGCAGAGCCGATGAAAGACGAAATGAGTTTTTGCACAAGAGGATTTTCAGGTCATTATAATTGCAGGTGATCTTTTCCACCACGTGCACATTTCAATAACGGGCCCGTGTGCCGCCTTGTTATTGACGTGTTTACCCGCGCGGAAGGCTTTGTGTTTGCATCCCAGGTGGTTTTGCCTGACAGGCAGCGGGATGCATCTCACAAACCAATCCAGGAATCCAGGACTGGCTCCCAGTTGGAGTTTTGGGATTTCGTGGCTGTCAGGGTGAATTTGTGCGCCAAGATGATAAATATATATATACACATCTTATTTATTCTGTCACCGATTCCTTCTGTCTGTGTGAACAAATGTTAAAGAAATGAATTACTTTCCTCCTCTTGATGCAACCAAGCGGAACAATCTCAATAAAAATAAACACGTTACACCCTAAAAATGAGTAGGAAGGACATTTCTTTGTTGAACGTGGAGAGCGCTCGAGCGTCTTTGGGGGGGTCACTCGCTCTGTTGTCGCTCGCCTCGCACCTTCTTTAGCTGGTAATTCAAACAGCGGCTCTGCTGCACGTCATTTATCAAGAATGTTTGAACAAAGTGGATTTACGATGCAAATCCATGCCGACTCGGTGTTATCGGAGACGCTGTTGCCAGTAATTGCTGAATATAATATTCAGCCTAAAGAGCAGCTCAAAATTGCGCCCGTTCCTTTCAAATGACTGCGCCTCTTGATTTGATTGTTCACGGCAGCGCATTAACCCGGCTCTGATTTAGGCTTATTGTATTCGCACACAAATGCTCCTATTTATTCCAGCAATCCGATGGAAACGGCGCAGCGTCTCATGGCGGTCAGTCCTCCTTCAGCCTTCGGCCTCGTGAGGAGGGATTTTTCATTTTGAGGTTTCATCATTCATGTTCCGACAGCAGATTGGAGTTGCGGTGCGTTAAAGCATGACCTTGTCTACTCTTATTTCCCTTTTTGGCCCAAATTGGAATTATACCCAATATTTGATGTTGGCTCGAATTGTTTTTCTCCAGTTAAATCTCTCTCTCACGAGATCTCTTTTGTCTCTGCATTTTCTAACCGGCTCCAAAATTGATCTGCATCAATAAAACATTTGAACTCGTCATGCGAGTAGCGTGGAACTGACCTCTGAGGGGTCGACGTGTCCGAGGGTGACATTGTAAAAGAGGGAAGTCAAACTAAATGGGTTGCATTCGGGTCTCTTTCCGCAGCACGAGCACCGCGTTGCTTCCCTAAATGTTGCCCGTGGTGGTTTCACTTTGACAATCGGCAGCGCAGACAGAAGCATGGCTTCTCCTCGGGAGCAGTTCCTCCCCGCGTGTCGCTCTAAAGCGCCGCGTTGCTGCTCTTTATGTGTTTTCGGGTGCCGTCTCCTTCTCTTGACCTAATTGGATCTCCTCGGTTCCCCACGATGAATCATCGCCGGGCCTCCCTTCAATCATCGCCCCTCAAGTACTTATTTTTATTGAATGCATGGTTCCCCTAAACAACAAGCCTCAACCTTAACTTGTATTTGTCCCTCGGCCGCAGTCATTGATCTTTTCCTCTTTTTTTTTTTTTTTTTTAACAACTGCGTCAGTATCACTTTTATTCCAGCCGAGGATTACAGGCTGGCTTTTTATGCCTTTCTGCCTCCCCGGAGGAAAGCCGGCAGTTCATGCTGTTCTCCCCACTCCACTAATTGACTCCTAATTTGGCAAATGGATTTTAAGGTGGAATGAGAAAGCCGACCCCTCTTTGCGTTGGCGTTGGCGCCGCTTCCAGCCCTCCGGCGTGCGTTCGTATTGGTAATTCTCCACAAAAAGAGAAGTTTGAATCCTGCCAGTCCTACAAGTGGGCTACAAGCGCTGATCCACACTGCGAAACACCTCCGGGAAAGCGGCCGATCGAAGGCAAAGATTTTCTTAATTACTCGTCCGCTGCGAAATGGAAAGGCGCGTGTTTCACCCGTGGGTGCTCGCCATCGATTTTGAGCGTGTGACGTTTTAATGAGCCCGCCGTGTAAATGATTTGTTGCGGCTGTGTATTCATGAACGGCTCATTTGTTTTTGTTTTTTTTCCCTCTTCTCAGTGGATGGATTCGCAGTTTACGCGGAGGCAGATTTAAGATGTCGAAGATCTCCAAGGCCGCCAAGGTCGTGAAGAAGGTGGACGCCGGCAATGTAATCCGGGCCATCGTGAGGTCGGGACAAGCGACCCCCGGACCCCCGCTGGGCCCCATCCTGGGACAGGTAAAAATGACTCCCCTTCTTGTTCCTGTGTTCAGCTGACCTTCTGCACACCGCTCTCATCCACTGCAAGAAAACCTGATCCTCCCCTATTTCCACTTTGACGGTCACAGAGCTGCTCCTCTCTCTCCCAAGTCACATGATCCCCACCTGCACTTCCTCTCATTGCCCTATTCATATTCCCATTCTTATTCCAGTCGCGCCGCTCCATCGTGCAGGTGGGTGCTGCACTCTGCTTCCGTCTGCAACTGTTTTCTCTCCCATTTTCAAGGCCAGAGACACGAAGCGCCTCGCAGCAGCTGTCCTCCTACATTAGCTTCATTCTTTACCATTTCCTTGAGATGGGGCTGAACCTGTGGAGGTTTTGTCTTCAATCCTTGTATACTTCTCCCCGCTTCAATTACTCCAGAGAGGCAGCTGAGGTGTGTTTGTTTTATTGCTCGGGGACGCACCGCTGCGACTTCTTCGCCGGCGACGCCGGTCGCTACTAGGAAAAATGAATGAATCTGCTGGTAGAGTAATAAAATAAATCAGCAGGCCTCAAGCGTTGAGCAAGGAACAAAGATGGATTGTGGTGAGCGGAGAGAAAAGGATCACGGACGGATTGTTCGCTGTAAATAAAGTTTATCCTCCCAGTGGTGTTGAGAGGTGCGTGTCCCTGACGCGTTCGGATCTGAGAGGACGCAGTAAACTTTATCATAGACGCGTTGTCTATAATGAGAAGCCCCATTTTCTGCAACATATTTGTAGTTTTTGATTTCATCACCAGACTGTCGGTAGACTGTCCGATTCGGACCACGTCTTTGTGTCTGTGCGCACCATAAACGCACAATCTGCTCGTGCTTTACTGGCTATTCCGACATTTGACTTTGCGATATCGAATGGAAGAAGGTTGTGTACATACAAACCATCCCGTTCGGCTCTTTGGGAGGGATGCGTCTTCACGCATGGAGACCAGATCGATTCTCAGTTAATCCGTCTGACTTGCTGACACTCAGAGAGGCGAATGGGAAAGTGGACACGAGAGCTACGCGGGATTAATAATGTGAGGGACAAGCAGACGGTGGGATGTCACAGAGGAGTTATGTGTCTGCTGTCACCGCCGTAACATAGATGCACTTAATTAATGGGAATCTGAATTCGATTTAGTGCTCACAAATACTGGTTTGTAAGGTAAGGGTTTAATTAAACACACATCAGAATCCGATCAATTTATTTATGCGTACATGGAATTTGACTCCGGTTCCATGTGCTCTATAATATAATAACATGGATATACAAAAGAAATGAAGAAAAATAAATTATATATATATATATATATATATGATAGGAATAAAAACAACAAAAAAACATGTGAATTTTGTTTTAAACTTTCTCTGTATTGCTCCACATCTACTTGATAATATTTCCCTTTTTCTATTAAAATGACGCATTTTTTTGCGTATTGCGCGCACACACACACACACACACACACACAATATGTTCACAACGTTTGGACTGAACGTTCGACAGTGACTTCCCTCTGAAGTAATAAAACATTTCTATCCAGTGATTAAGAGGCGGATCCATTCTTTAATCATCCGACTTCAACATATTTTATATTAATTTTATATCTGCTGCCGAGTGAAGGAATCGTAACAACCCGATTTAACCGTCCCTGCGCTGTTTACCAGTTAGATGTATAATTGATTTAAGGATTTCCACTGATCACATTTAAGTCTCAGCTGAAGCTTCCTTCCCCTCAGCTACACTGGAGACCAAGTTCTTCAGATCCTCCAAAGCTGAGCATTAAGGGCTCTGGCTGTCACTCAACTCTCAACCCTAAAGGTTATTAAGTCCCGCCTCCGAAACTCCAAAAATCACTTCAAATGTAGTTCTTTGTCTTTACCCGTTTCAGTCGTTTTGCACACCAGCAGCAGAAACATGTTGTTGTTTTTTTGCATAACTGCGTTACCTGACAGAGGGATTATTTTTAATGGCAGCTCCCGCAGGCACACACACAAGTTCAAACGGAAGCACTCATACATTTTTTAACTCCTCTGTGTCTCTCACATCACATAAGACCCGTCACAGTGACATGGCTGCTTATATGTCAGCGTCAGTGGTTTGTTTGTGGTATTTTGGGCCGTTTTCCCCCCGAAACCTGTTTTTGGATGGAATTTAATTGTTTTGAATAATATGCATTATACTTTTTACTCCATTACATTAATTCATCTTCATGAGTTAGTTCACACAGTGATAGAATACTTTATCATTAAGTTTAATCTACCAAGAGTATGTAAAGTGGTATTAATAGCTTAATATAAATCTAAAAAAGACCCATTCTGCATTTGGTTATATCTAGTATATTTTATTGCTATATGATCATTTTGATGCACGGCTTTTGCTTTAAGCAGTATCACTACGCTCTGGTATTTTAAGATTTAATTATGTAAGAGACGAGAGTACTCCACCTCTGTTAAGCTTACAAAAGAGTGACTGATTCAAATAATTTACTTCATTTTCATTTAAAAGATTTACCTCGTCTTCACATCGTTCAACCTGTGGTCTGCTATAGAGCTCCGCACCAAGCACCGAAACGCGGAGTCATCAGAATATTCATTTATTAGTGGAGCTTCTTTTGTAGTGGGATATTCCCTATTTTTTCATATAAAATGAAATAACAAATTACAGAACACAAAAAACAATGTAACAAAACCAGTGTTTCATTAACCGGTTACATTTGTTAACAACCATCGCTCACAAAAAAAACGCACAAAACGCAAAACTTTGTCAGATAAAGACTTAAAACATATGAGCCAAACCATGATGCAACTTAAGTGATTTTTATTTGCCTAAAGCAGACGTGCTTTAGTAGTGCGGGACGGGAGGCCTTAATGCTAAACGAGCACGTCCCAGTCAGTGATCTACCTCAACTACAGGAAAATCAGCCAAAACGACTAAAAACTTGTTACAACCTTTTCTAAGACTTTATATGTGATCTTCATTTCCAAAAGCCATCAATCAAAGTGAGAGGAATCCAATTTTAATGTCGCTGCAATGCGTTTCTTGAATTTAATTTATCAATTAGGCCGTTGAAATTTCACAGTAAGCAAATGACCAGAATCTCACAACTCCTGTGATCTTCTCCAGGTCCCGTGCAGTAAAGACCTCGATACCCGCTTACTTCTGACATTCGGTCCGGCTCCACGTCCGTCCTGGGCAGTGAGGTGCAGCGGACGCAGGACGTGGCAGTGAGCCGCTTTGTGACGGCTTATTGATAGAAGATGAGAAACGCGCGTCTCCACGGAGCTGTTCATCTACTGTGTTCGGATGTTCATGCAAACCGGCTTTGGGCCCCTAATTCAGCAGCGAGGAGCACATTTTACAGATGAGTCAGTTCCTCAGGAGGCGACACAGGTAGAGTCGTTCCAGGGCATAAAAGGCTTTAATTGAAAAAGGTATTTTAAGTTACGTCGCTGTCCTTTGATGGACTTCTGGAGGGGAACGAATGCGACCACTAAATGGAGCATCAAAGCTAAAAAAGCCACGGATTCAAACGGCATGAGAGTAAACGTTGTTGTTCTGTTTCTGGATCCGTTAGCTGCACTGTGAGATGTTTAAGCTCATTTGCGGTGCTCGTGTTCATCATCGTTCCTGTGTGTTTGTGTGGCGTGACAGAATGCAAAGGCTGCATCCCGACTACCATCCATAATTCAGACAAAGACGAGCGCCGTGTTTAATTCATCACCAGCTATAGGACATGAAGAGCAACAGTTGCGTGAGCGGACTCGTGAGGTTTCTTTAAGAGTGCTTAAAGAAACGAAACTGACCTCCCTATGAATGGATCAATATTCAACCTTGCTAAAAGATGTATTGACCCGACGGTTTAGATGACCACTTCTCACCTGCTTTACTCCTGATGCTCGCCCGGTGTCTCAGGCTCTTTTGCCTCATTTCTTTCTCCCTAGAATACACTCTAAAGGTGTGCGTGTGCTCTGATGAATGATTCAGACATCTGTCAGACCCCCGGGGGGGACGGAGGAGGGGGGGCGGGACCTCCTGAGGCATCTTGTCGCCGTGTCAGGGGGTAATGAGTTGAGATGGGTTGTTACCAAATGCTCGACGAGAGCAAAACAAAGCCATATGTTTTCTGTCTAAAGGTGCCTCCTCCCGGACCCTCCTGGTGGGGGGGGGGGGGTCTGTGTCGCTTTGCGTTTGTCTCTCTGGCTTCTTGAGCGACGTCGAGCCAAAAACGCCGCGCGTGCGGCGGTAAAGGAATGGCGGTCGCCGCCCCGCTGCGCTCGGGGCGGAGTAGCTGAGCATCGTAACACATTCTAGGGAGGTTTACGCCAATGCAGCGGCTGCTTTCAGTGCAATAGAAGTATGACAAGTTGCCCGACAGGGAGTGCATCCAGAAGGCGTATGATTGAAATGTGAAGCGAACCAGGGAGCAGGAGGAATGAAAGAAAGAGGTGGGGGGGGGGAAACAAGGGCCGGATGCTGTCTACTTCTCTCCTTATCCCTTTGTGGTTTTCCCTTTAAGAGTTTTCCTCTGAACCAGCAAGAACCGTTGCCACTGAAAGCCTGGATTGTGAGTGCGCACATTAGTCTTAATCCATCCCGTTAATAGAGCCATGCTAGAATCAAGCATAATGCACTGAGAATAAGGGCTGCTCTTTGACAAAAAGGGCTCCAATTTCAATTATTTGGGCCCTTTTGGGCAAAGAGGGGGCGGCCCAGGGGCACGTTTCACTATACGGACCGAGGCAGAGAGACGTTTCCTCCTCCCCCCGCCGGACACGCACATCTCATCTGTCGTTCAACACTACACGCACAGCACAACAGCACACTCTATGATCAGTGCGAGAGGATCCCAGCTGATGCTGCCGCCGGCGTAATTGTGATAAACGGCGCCCTTGTGCCGCACTGTGAAGCAAAGGGCTCGCTTTTTGGAGATAAATACGTGGGGGGGGGGGGGCGCTACTTCACTTCACCAGCTCCGGTATGGGATAAAAATGTGAAATTTTCTCTCACAGCAAACGGATTGACTTTGATGTAGTTTAAAAACCCCAGAGGCGGTTGTTTGACCCCGTAGCCTCGGGTGATTGGGGCCGACTCCTGCCTGCCAGTGCACTCCGTCCCGGAGGTGCAGCGCACGGGATAACTTCAGTCTACACGTGGCACACGTCCAGGCGCCACGTTCGCCGCGTGGCTCCGTGAGGGAAAAAGGCACTTGACTGCGATCTACATCCTCTACACCTGCTGCTCTGCTCCGTGATCCCAACAACAACAACAACACCAGCAACAACAACACCACACGTTAACATCCGTAATGGTAATAAAAAGGTGATGAAAGGTCCCCTCCATCGTTCAACGGGATCAAAGAGGGAACTTTCATCTGCAGTGAAAAGGTGGATTTCGGGTTAGAAAGGCAGCTCGGCAGTTTTTGTTTTTCTTTTCGTTTCCTTTGAGACGAGTACAGACGACATCGAAACATGACAGAAAAAGTGACCGAATTACCTAAACCGCTGTTCTATCTTTTTAAATAAAAACAGCTGTACTGTCGTGTACAACAGGATTAAGATGATGCATAAGGCTCATCTTTAAGCTCCACCATTGGAGTATCTTATTTATGGAAACGGCGTCTTTCATAGATAGTTGGCATCTTGGGTTGAACACATTCTGTTGTGTTCGAATCGCTGTAGGAGGGTTTTAAAAGCAAAAGCGTAAGTGGTCCCAAAATAAAAGTGACTGTAAGGTTTGCGTCTCTGAAAAGCTGCTGTTCACATTCTGCATCTAAATCCAATAAGATGCGACATAATACCAAGTGATTTCAGAGATTCACTTTTCCCTCCAGGTAACTAAGTTGAATCAGCCGGTTTGGCTTCTTGGTTTGAGTTGTGCTGCCCGGTGTCGTCGTCGGGAGCCTCCAGAGGGTTGCAAGATAAACCTGCGAGTTGATGAGAGCAATATGGAGATAGAATATGGGGAGGAAACATCTGCCACACGTTTTTATTTTGTTCTTATATTTGGCTTTTTATTGTGGAAAAACTGGACATGTACTCCTTCAGAGCTGTATAATATATTTAAATAAGGAACATCAAAGAAGGGAACATCACTTTAGATCGTGAATGGACTTTGATTTAAAGCGCTGCAGACCTAAAAGATTTGGATCCAATTGGTTCGACTCAAAATTGAAATTCTGGAGCACCGTGAGGAGAGTGTGAGTTCTACAGGCAGACAGCTTTTGAATCCCTGTACGGGCAAAATAAATCATCACTCCTTTTGTATTAAACTTGTCTCTGTAAAGTGATGGAGGAAAAAACAAATCCTACATTAAAGGTCACAATCTGTGTTTGTCATCTAATGGCAGAAAATCTCTCATTGATCCGATGGATATTGAGTAGCAATCTGTGGCAGTTTGGGCGTCTGTGCGAGATGAAAAGAAGGGAGACGCTACTGGACGTCCAAATAATAAATAAATATGTTTTCAGTGTTTTCAAAACAAATAAAAAAAATGCGAAAGTTACTCCCGGCACAACAAAATGTGCGGAACTCCCTCGCTGTTATCTGTCGATGCGACGCCGCCTCCGCTGGTCTGAGTCTCCAGCGCGGCCGTGGTCACGCGTCTCCGCCGACTCTCTACAGTTCGTGGGAGATGAAAGAAGGTGCCAAGGGCGTCTCTGGGGGCTCCAGGCTGACGTGGGAGAGAGTGTGGCTGTGTGAGCGAGACAGCGTGTGATAGTGCAAGGGGGGCGGAGCTGTCCCCCGTGCCGCCGCCTCCCCCTGCTCCTCCGCCTGGCTCGGCGGCGTCGAGTCTGGCGGTTCCGCCGCCGCCAGAGTCTCGGCCCCCGCGGCGCCGCGCTCGCTCTGCCTGTGCCTCTCCCAGGCTGAGCTCAGCTTCACCGCCAGAGCCAGAAGGTTCTTCCCCAGGACACGGTGGAGACACGGGGGTCCCTGAACCACAGCATGCCCGTGCCCCTCAGGACCAGGGTGAGGATGTTGATGGCCACCAAGCTGAGCCAGGGGTACAGAGCCTCCTTCCGGGGCCCGCGTTGCCCCGGCAGGCCGGTGGCCCCCAGCTCTGTGAGGGCCACGCAGGGCAGCAGCAGCAGGAGGGCGTAGCAGTAAAAGAAGACCAGGCCCTCGGCCCAGATGGGTAGCTTCTGCTCCACGGCCACTGCGCTTCCCGCCGCGGCCGCCGCCGCCCCGCCTTGGGCTTCCCACAGCCCCGCCTGCAGGTCCAGCACATCCAGCAGGTCCACCACCACCCACAGGAGCCGGCCCCGCACCTCCTGCTTCCTGCGCTGCGGCGTCATGTGGTCCGCCCCCGTCAGGATAAGGAACAGGGAGGGCAGGCAGATGGACAGCAGCAGCGTCAGGGTCTTCCTGGCCAGCGGGTCGAGCGGCCAGCGCTCCTGCCTGTAGTTATGGCAGACGAAGAAGAGCTTGAGCTGCAGCAGGGACAGGAACAGGAACCACAGGGCGTTGGCGAAGCCCCGGCGGGGCGAGCGGGCCTCCGACACCACGCCGGCCGACACGAAGCGCAGCGCGAGCAGGAAGCCGGCGTCGCCCAGCAACACGGTGGCGCACTGCCACGCGCTGGGCCCCGCGGGGCCGCGAGCCCCCAGCATGCTCTGCTCCAGCAGGTAGAGGTCCACCACCGCCATCGTGCTCACCGTGACCAGGGTTGATACGCACACCTGGGGCGTGGGCACCATGCCTGGAAAGAGACACGCAGAGAAGCACGGTGGGAAATCGGTTGCTGCAGAGAGACTCCGGACCTGCTCGTTCCCCCCCCCCTCGCACTAATTCAAACCCGAATGCAAAGAAGTTTGTCGCTGGTTGCCGCGGTTAAAGACGCCGGCTGCCTGGTGAGCGCCCTTCATCTTCGCCCGGCTGCTCCGGCTGAGGAGCCGGGCACCGCGTGTTCCCGCGGCTTCCTGAAGTAAATAGTGTTCGTTCGTAGCTGTGCTTCTTTCTGATACTCTGACTTCCCCCCCCCTGAGGTCCCTGCTGAATTACTGTTGCTTCTGCCCCCTTTTTGTATTCTTCTTATACATTATTAATTAATTGTGTTCAAGGGCGCTGCTAGGTGCGCCGTTGAAGCGCTCCCCTTCCCTCTGTAGTCTGCGGTGTTTATTCTCTTACTGGGCAGCAATCTTTAATCCCTGGACCCCGCCCCCCCCCCCTCATTTCAGATGAATATTGATAACTTGCTATTTGTTTGGGGATATGTTGTGTTTGCGTACATCTGAGCGAGTGCACACAGGCGATGGTAATTCGGCAGAACATGAGGGTCCGTTTCTTTCCGTTTGCAGCTCATATCTCAGCCACGGACCACATGAGCCTCGTTATTGATATAACGTGAGAAATGATCATTGACTTTACGGCGTAATCGACCCAACGTCTCTTTATCGCATTTGGCTGAAAAGCAAACCACGGACCGTCTTTATCTGCTCGGCGCCACTCAGGGGTGTCAACCCTTCAACTGGATCGATGCCATTATAATACAAAATCATTACCGGCTCAGATGTGTTCGTAATGGCAACAATTCAGCGTGATTGAGCGGGAGATTGTTCGCCGCCTCGCGAGAGAAGGCGGCCAGTGAAAAGTGAGCATTGATAGCTGGCCGACGGAAGACGCATCGCTTCCGCGGCTGTGAGACTAAGAGGAGCTCAGCCGTCTCCTCGGCGCCGCTTGAATCATTTGAAGAGCGGCTGAGGAACTCCACCGGGTTAAAAGAAAAAGATGCAGTTTGAGGTTTTGTGCGTCTGTGCGTGTCTGGGGAAGGAGAGCGAGCATATGACCGCATGTGAAAGATTAATAGGCCTCTTGGCTGTCTACATGCCTAATAAAGTGTTACTGTGTGATCATTATAGTTCATAAATAAGCTCTGGGTGAGAGAGCGGTGAAAAGGATGAAGTGGAAGATTCAAATGCGGAAAGAAAATGACTTCCTCCCCCACTTATATGGAGACGAGCCGTTCCTGCGCCGGCACGGCCTAAATTAATCGAAGTATATTCATCACGGGGGCTATTGAAATGTCACAGACACTGGAGTTTGCTCTGAAAAACGATGAATCTAAGAGCTGAGGGGAGAAACAACCTCGACTGATTACGGCGCTCTGAGGCCAGGTGGGAGGACAGGAGTGGATCACGCCAGCGCCTGTGATGCCAGATTGTCAGTGGAGCCTTTTGTCTCCCCGCTTACTGCAACCTGATTACCAATCCCCCACCAGTGAGCGGATCGAGCCAAGCCACAGATTGAGAGGGTATTGGAATTCAAATTTGTTTTTTTTCTGTCGTGCAAACCCTAATCTGCAGGGATTAGCCGGCGCGGTAGAATTCGGGCGGCCGGGGGGGGAGAGGGCAGAAGTTTACAGCTACTGTTGCGGGGGCCTTTTTCTCCACGTTGCGCCTCTTGTTTGTTCCACCCGAGCCTGAAGTTTCACCCTGCAAGTCTCCCTGTCAGCCTGTGTTTGTGCTGTGACTATCTGTCAAGTCCCTGTAATTTATTCTGCCACGAGCGGAGCGGGATGACAGCCCGTGTGTCCACTACGCTCAACAATAACGACCCCATCCATCATTCCTGCCTGTCGGGGGGAATGACACCGCCGATGACGAGGTGAGACGAAATATCAGGCCGTGAGCGCGGGTAACGGCACGTAACAGTGAGCAGGTGAAAGGCTCAGTTTTGTATGGAAGATTGCCGCTAGTCGTCAAAAACAGAAAAAGCTCTCTCATCTCTGCAGCACACACTGACAGAGATAAACCTACCAGTGGATTTGACACATCATTTTAAAAAAAAGAAAATCAATATTGGGTGATTTCCAAGTGGCCAGAAATCCATGTAGAGCAAAGATTAATTTGCCTTTACACCCACAGTTTATCTCCATAAACAGCCCTCGTAAAAAAAAAACCCCAAATCCCATCAAAGCCCAGCGGCTCTAGAAGTTATCACAGGTGCCTCCAGAGCCCCAAGGGCATCAGGGCAGCATCCCTGCCATTGTGTGCAAAGTAATTCATTATTATAGAGCCGGGCCGCGTGATGATGCGCTGATGAATAAATCCCTCCAGACCTCGCGACTGGAAACACATCTGTTGATTTGTGAGGTACTCGCCTCGCCTCGGGGGCTTTATTGTTTCTATCACATTAGTTTTTTCTCGGAGGAAAAAAAAAAAAAAAAAAGACTATTACGAACTACCCCCCCACCACCCCACACCCCCACCGGCAGTTTTAACAATCTCTCTGAAGCCGCTTCTGTGCAACACCTGTTTCATAACTGCCCCATTAAACAGCAGGTGTAGCCGCCGCGCGCAAAGTGAAGCCGTAGTTACCCGAACCATTCGTCTTGCACCTGGGCTCGGTTCCTCCCGGCGTGACGAGCTCGCTCCTCCGAGTGGGGCCGCAGCCGCTGGCCGAATAAAGTCTCTTTTATGGTCGCCGACGAGCCGCGCGCGCCGATAAAGTCCCTCCTCCCGGGGCCGCGCGTGCCGGCGGCTCTCCTCGCGGCCGCCAACAGTTGAAAGCCGTCGCCGCACCGCGCAGACGAGTTTGTGAGGAAGAACAACAAAAAATTTAAAAAAATTTCCTCTCTAGATTTCTCCCTCCATGCAGAAATGCCGACGTCTTCTGTGGTTATGGCAGAGGCTCGATGTGAATCTGTCACCTCCTGCAGTGGGAGGGAGGCGGGAGTAGAAAAGGGGGGAGGGGGGGGGTGCGGGAGAGGAAGCTCTGTCGTTTTCGCTTTATCTTTTGATACTGCTGGAGGGACAGAGGATATTCCGTGCTGCCGCCGCCGCTCTCCGGTCGGACTCCGGCGGGAGAGGGAGCGGGAGGGAGAGAGGGAGACAGAGAGAGGGGGCGGGAGACACAGAGGGTGAGCGAGGGAGTCCGGGTCGTGGTGTTAATTTGTAAGCAGGTTACGTGCTCCCCCCTCCAGACCTCCCACCTCCTCCTCCTCCTCTCCACAAGCAGCTGTGGAAATGGAGCTGGAAGATGCTATGAATATTTGAGAGAGCACCCCCCCCCTCCTCCCCCTTCCTTCCCTCCCTCCTCCCCCCCACTCCCAGTCCCGTGCACTCATTGCTTATGGTAATCGCCATGATGCCAGTCGCAGGGGGACGGTCGAGGTCTTCTTCTGCTTCTCGAGAGCAGGAGCAGAAGACCTTTATTTACTCCTCGGGGGCGGAGGAAGTGGAGCGGGAGATGCAGACGGAGCCCACGGGGGCAGATGTTACAACTTTAATTAGTCCTCTGTACTTACTGTCGTAGGCACACAAGGAAGCGGCCCCTCTGTTGTAGATTAACTCATTACGGGCGGCTTACCGCCGCGTTTAGAGGGATCGGGAGTTTCGGAGATTAGGCTTTTCGGAAAACACTGTTTGAAGGAGAGCCGGCTGCTTTCCTTCGTTCCGGAATTTAATTTTGGCTCCTTTTGTCGGCCACAGATTTGATTTTCAAGGAATTTCGTGGCGTCACCTCCCGCGTTAAGGTCCTGCTCCTTCAAGTGTATCTGAAGGATTCCTGTCTGCGCCTTTTTAGCTCCAGACCTCAACTCGCTGGTTTTCTGAGGCTCTTTGTGTGCCGGGTTCATTTGGGAGTGAGAGGTTTAATCAGACTGCTAGGAACGGGGATGGAGAGTCATCCTTCTTGTCAGATTCAGCTCTGCGCTCCGCTGGATTCCAAGAGAAGAGAGATTTTCCATTTTCTCTCACTTTAGTGTTTTTTTTTCCTTTCATTTTTTTCTTCCTCTTTTTGTTCTTCTTGTTGTCTCGCCCCCCCCCCCCTCCTCAAACCCGTCCTTCTGCTATCCCTCCTCTTTTGTCTCTTCTTCCTCCGTGGGTGTGGTTGAAGGTCACCCTGCACACCGACTCTCTTTCGGAGACGGAAGGAGAGCGAAGCAGGAAGAGAGCGAAAGGCGGTCGGGTCGTCCGCAGTATTCGGTGTGGTCGTCACTTTCAGCCCGGACGGGATCGGAAGGTCACCGACTGTCCGGGAACGCTGAAGGCGTCAACACTGAGTCAAGCTCCACGGCAGGCCTCCACTAACATGGAGGACTGGAGTCCCTTGACCTCCCTCCTCTTGGCCGAGCGTGTTGCATTCATTAATAGAGCCCTGATTTTGGGCAGCAAAAAGAAAAACGTGATGCAGCAGAAATGGATTTATTGACCTCTTCTTCCTGGGGACGCTGTGAGACCACCTGTCCGAGCAGCAAAGGGGTTCCGTTCATGCACGCAGAAGTCCTCCCAGACACCTGTGAACACTCTTTGATGTGTAGCGTCTCAGTTCCCCGTCCGAATAACACATCTTACCGTGCAAAAATTCCATCGGTAGTTGCGGCTGCCTCGCTTCATTCCACCGCCCCCCCGACTCCCTTTTCTCTCCCCTTGTCTCCCCGCCACTCGTCAGAGTCTCGCATATTTCCGGACATCTCCAGTGCGGAGCCTCGGCCGCCTGCAGTCACGGCTCCGGTGTTTCTGCTGCAGCCTCCACACGTGATTAATCATCCGAAGTGGCAAAACGCACAACGCTGTGGAGACCGTGAGGGGGGGACGTAATGGAGTTGAAAATGGGATGTTTTGTAGTGATGCAATCCATTTTGTTTCGGCCCGTCGCTCGCTTCTTTTCACCGGGGCCCTCAAAAAAAAAACAACGGCTATTTTACTCTCCTTCTCGTGGCGGTGAAGAAAAAGTCAAGGCTGCCTCTTTTATTTCAGAGCAGAGAACATCGCTTCTTAGAAGTTTTGTTTTCGCCGCGATGATGATGAGGAGCCGGGATTCGGTGCGCTCGGCGGGATCGGCCCTCACGCTCGTGTGAGCAGCGCTCCTCTTTTGGTGCAGTGCTGAGCACAGTTCACTGGCGCCTCGGGGGAGAAAATAAGTTTTCATTTTCCACTTTTAAAACTAATCCAGCGGTTGCGCGGCGAGGAAATCGAGTAAAACGCATGTCCAGTGTCCCATTTATTCCATGCTGTTTACATCGGTGTGTGTGGGTGTGTGTGCGTGCTGGACCAAATCCGGCCCGCCGTTCTGCCTCCTGGTTTCCCCCGAAGGGCCCAACGCGACACCCAATCAGCCGCATGGCGCTGCGACGGGGTCGAATGTGATAAACCGCCAACAGCGAAGCAGATTAAATGAACACGGTAATGAAGGTAATGGATGGGAGTGTTGCACACTGAAGGCTTTAATTAACCCCGTCTCCCGCCAGCCGCTCACCACTGCAACACCTTCGCCACCTTATCGCGGCCCCTCTGCACGATTTATCAGGTGGCCTCGTGTGCCAGGGGCAATTAATCCTGCCTCTTGGCCCGAGGCCTCGTCCCCGCCTCTTTGTCCATTATCTCCTTGTTTGCCACGCTTCCACAAGCACAATACTTCCCTTGACCCACTCGCCCTCCCGCTCTGTATCCCCCTCCGTTCGCCTCCCATTTATTTTTATTTTTTTTAAGCTCTCACGCGGAGGAACGCCGGGAGCTCAGCCGGCACACAGACGCACGCTTGAACCGATAGTCTCGTCAAATGAGCCCAAAGTTATTCATACGTGAGCATCCAGCCGCTCACCCATATTGATGAGGACGTCCCGTGGCCTTCCGTTGGGCTAGGCCTCCTCCCGGTCGCTCACTCCGGTTACGCGGATCCCTTCGCGCTGTTCAACGTTGAACAATCGGTGGCCACATTCGGACACCTTTAGCACACCTCAGCCGTGCCCCCCCCCCTTTGTCATTCCCGTGTTTCCTCCCCCTCCCCATCCCGCCGCGCCATGCAGGGCCACGTCTTGTTAAAAAGAGTTAGTGAAGCTGAAAGGCCAATCACATTAACGCGAAGGAGTGTCAGAAAAGACTGCGGTGGAAGGGTCGACTCAAAAGGGACACTTCCCCGATTTTTAATTGCAAATGTCTAATTGCTCATAATTATAAGTAATAAGGCTCCGCCGCGCTGATCCGGAATGGATCGCAGAGCAATTACTCACCGCCGTCGCTGCTGCGTTTGATGGTCGAGACAAATATATTCGCAGATTAGCGCTTAATCTCAGAACGTCTTTGAGGACGCTCTGCCCGAATGTGCTCGCCAGCCGCCCGGCCGCCCAAGGCCCCGCCTCCGCAGACGGGCCGCAGCCATCTTATACTGGAGAGCGCCCGGCTCTAATCAGTCATGGTGGAGGAGGGAGGATTTTATCCCGCAGCTCGGACTCGAGGATGATTAGATGCTCGGATGCAGCGAGCGGGGATACCAATTTGGCCGTTGCTTGAATGTTGCCGTTCCAGTTCTCTCTCTCTTTCTCTTAAATGTCGAAGGGGCCGACCTTGAACCTCCCGTTCTTGGCGCACCAGCCCCTCCGACACAGTTAAAGACTGATTACCGACATGATTCAATCCCAATAATTGCTGCAGCTAAACTATTACATATCCAGTGGCCAAAGTAAAGCGTCCTCACGCCGCCGCATTCAGAGGACGAGACGACTCGTCTTGATTAAAATGCGATTACGCGTCTCCGGTGCAAAGCTTCATCGTGTGCAGAGCCGCGGGCCGACTGTCCGCTATCCCGCTGTGGTGCCCCGTCCTCTTATTTGCCACTCTTAAGGCCTCTTTTTAAATATTTGTCCAAGCTGCGTTTGCTCAGTGCGGGATATCTGGTCGGGGTGAAGCCTTTTGAGCAGTCGCGTCTCCTCCGTCTGCGTAATGTCTCCGTGCCTAAGCGCACTTTAGAAGCATCACACATTATCTCCGGCTGATCGGGGAGGATCTTTCGTGACATCGTGTGTCATGAAAAAAGGGGCCACCTGAGTCGGTGGGAGAGCTCATTATCCGCATAGGGGGGCTAAACAGGAGGGAAGGAATGGGAGCTGAACGTGTGATGCAGAGCCCCCCAGGGAGGGGGGGTGGTTGCTTCAGCTAATACGCAACCTCGCAGCCACCAAACTAATCCATATTTAATCACACTCCTTCGGTGCTCCCCCTCCATTTGTGTACCTTGGCCATATTTGTTTTTATGGTTGGCGGAGGGAGGGAAGGGCCCGGGTAGGAGGCAGTGAGGTTGAGATGGGATTACTATTAATAGGCAGGGGGGGGGGCAGGTGGAGCCCAGCGAGGGCTTCCACGACGCCGCTGCATTTCATTTCATTAGCAGCGTATTGTAATTCAAACGGCAGCCATCAGCCCCAAAACAATCGCCCGCCTCGACTCGTGTGAAGTGTTGAAATTTCAATCGCCGTTGTTTTCATTGTGTGAGCGGATGCATGGAAGCGCCGGTGGGTAACGGACTAAATGGAGTGACGGGGGGGGGTCGCGTAGATCCAGCGGCTGATTAACATTCATCAGGTGCTTTTGAAGCCTTTAGTGGAAATGATGTTCAGAGAAGTTTCTGCTCCGTTAAGTTCAAATAAATGTCTTCCCCGTGCTGTCATTGGGAAATGTCTCGGGACGCCTGACTTTTCATCTGAAGCTTTATTTGAATCTGAGGGCTGTGCTCTGCTGTCACGAAGCAAAGCTTCTGACTCCATTAAGCTGACTTTAAAAAAAGAAAAAGAAGCCTTTTCTCTTCCAATCATTTTTTGAAATGAACATTTCAATCAGTGTGTGCTGCCCCTGGGAAGGATGGCGTGTGCAGGTCAGTATATATTCCAGCCCTAATAATCAGATTCCTCGTGAGACTTTGCCTCTGAATTCAGCTGCAAAGAAGAATGGTGCAAAGGAGCCGCGTTGGCCGAGTGTTGACTTAATGTCACACATCCATTTCGCTTTCGCTCCGGTTGGCCTTGCAGGAGCTGGAGAATGGGAGGCTCATCCATCACCGGGCGTCTCCGGCTCTGGGCACCAACATGCATTCAGTCATAGCCGGAGTGACGGCCCCACTGACTCACGGACACTTGAGTGGAACAGCAGAGAGGCTGCAGACACACACACACACACACACACACAAATGGATGCATCTCTGTGGGAATATAACAGGAATAACAAGAATGTATAGTGTGAAGATTTCTCCATCTAAGTGTTACCACACACACACACACACACACACACACACACTCGTCAGATACAGACACTAGGAACCCTGAACCACTCGTGTGGGTAAATACAATCGGAGCTCTGCGAGGTGATTGATTGACAGACGGCAGCTCGGTGTGACACGAGTGACGCTCCGCTGGATGTCTGCAGGCTACGATTTCTCATGAATTTTAAAGTTTTTTTTATCGTTTTCTCCTTCTCGTTTTCTCTTCTCGTCCAGAGAGGAATCCCCATCGGGCAGTTCTGCAAGGACTTCAATGAGAAAACAAAGGAGCTGAAGGAGGGCATCCCTGTCCCGATCAAGATCCACGTCAAGGTGCGTCTCTAACCGCTGCCTGACCCTTCGCACTCGGCCCGCCTGCCTCCCTCCCGCCGCTGTGGTCTTTTCCGAACAGCCGCGTCACGTCGCTGGAGTACTTCCATTATTCATACTCTGCCACTGAAGTAATCCTTCCCATTTGCATTCACTAATGAAGCAATGCCCGGAGGAACTCCGAGTCAAGAAGTATTAAGTGCATGCACGGGATGAGAGTTACTCACAAGAAGATAGTTTAGAATTCATTTTTCTCAACCTCGTATTGTTTGAATTGTCCTCCTCCTCCTCCTCCTCCTCCTGCTCCTCTCTGCGTGTTGTTTCAAATCGGGAGCTTGCGTCCTTTCGGCTGAATAATTGTGTGTCGTAATGAGGCTTGTGATGGAAGGAGGGGAAGCCTAATCCCTTTCAAGGCGTGAATGTACTCTGCAATATGCAGCAACAGCTCCGCCATCACAAACGGGGCCTCGCCGCCGCTCGTCGTCGCCACCTGCTGGTTACCTCTGTTGGTTCTGTGCACAATGAAAAGAATGGTATATTTATATGGAATGCCGTTTTAGTCAAAATTAAATAAATGAATAAATATGTAAATACATGAAATATGCATTTGAAATACATCATGAAATAAATAAATAGGCAATAAACACATAAATATTAAATACATTTAATTATTTCATGGTACTTTTATTTCATAATGCCACTTTTCATTTCATGGTACTTTTATTTCATAATGCCACTTTTCATTTCATGGTACTTTCATTTCATAATGCCACTTTTTATTTCATGGTACTTTTATTTCATTCGTTTTTCATTTCCAGAGACTTATTTCATAATGGCGTTTTACATTTCACGTTATTTGCAAATCAGGGGGCGTGGCTACATCTAACATTCAGAACAGACAACAGAGCCGTGTGCAAAAGAAGGCTGGGTAAGGGACGTGTTGATATAATGGAAGACATCGGTGGGCTCTGAGGTAGCATGCTAGCATTAGCAGATCAAATCGATCAACATGGGTTTTCTGCAGATACGATTTTGACACATATTGAGGTTTTTTTGGAAATTCTAGGGCGGATAAGTGCTCTTCAAGATGTATACATAGTCGACAAAGTTTTAAATTGTTTAAGACTGATTGAGCACCGCGTGCGTGTGGACGAGGTCCAAGTTGAAGAAGTCAACATTAGCGCCCGCCTCTGGATATTGCTGGCGACAATCTGGCTAACTTTGTGTTGTCCGGTCTATCAACCCGAGAAATCCAATATCCAGGAATATCCAGAGGCAGGCGTCCAGGATCTGTGCTTGTAGTACCAGCGCTAATCTCACGTCCCTTAGCCAGCCTTCTTTTGCACACGGCTCTGTTGTCTGTTCTGAATGTTAGATGTAGCCATGCCCCCTGATTTGCATATAAGAACGTGAAATGAAAAACGGCATTATGAAATAAAAGACTGGAAATGAAAAGTGGCATTATGAAATAAAAGTACCATGAAATGAAAAGTGGCATTATGAAATAAAAGTACCATGAAATAATTAAATGTATTCAATATTTATGTATTTATTGCCTCATTTATTTATTTATTTCATGATGTATTTCAAATGCATATTTCATATATTTACGTATTTAATAATAATAATAATTTAATTTTGACTAAAATTCCATTCCATATTTTTAATGTGCTTGTGCAAAGCCCTGGAGGGTTGTTGAAAGCAGATCCTTTGCTGCTCTTAATCTTACTTTAAAGGAACAATTTGACATTTTGGGAAAGTCACTTCCTTGCTGAGAGTTAGATGATGAGGATTGATACCGCTTTGTGTGTGTCGAGCAGCTTGAGTCGGGAGGCAATTAGCTCAACATAAAGACTTGAAACGGGGGGGGGCGGCTAACCTGACGAGAGTAAAATAATCTTCATTATTTAACATGATGTATTTTGTGGTCCAGAACAGAGAGGCTAAGTTAGTTGTTGAAATAAGGAGCTTTAAACCGTAAAGTTCTTTTGTTTTACATTACTTGCGCGTCTCTCAGTCTTTGTTTTCCTCATCGGGCCCTTCAGAAGGAGCTCAGCGGGTTAATGTTTGTTTCATCACGGAGGAAACAACCGCGACTCATCGGACCTTTGCAAACAAAATCTTTCCTGCTTCCCGTGGAAAGGTCACTGCTGTTATATAACATACGGCTGATGACAAATCACCGGACTGTGCCGTCTTCTCAGCTCAGCCAACAGTTTACTAGCCTGCAATTGTTTTGTTATTTTTTTTCATAACAGGGGATCCAAAGTAAACTTTCCTCGGATGATTTATCGGTTGTTTCTGGTCTTCCACGAGAAAGTCGCGAGGAGAGGAAAGAGGTCGGAGTAGAAGGAACTGCGGAGGTTGTTTTCGTTTTAGCCTGGAGGGGAGGGTGGAAGGGTGGAAGGGTGGAAGGGCGAGTGAGCAGATGGCCTCCTTCAGCTCATTAGATGTGTTCGCTTTCACCTCTTTAATGCACATTTCCAAATTGAGCAAAAATACCGTAAGTGGAAGCGCCACAAATCCAACAGAACCTGGAAATATCGCAAAAAAGATTCAACGCTTCGCTGAGGTGGAAAAGTTGTATCATTAAAAGCGCAATTTCAACAAAGTGATCTGAAAAACCAACCTGTTGATGACGACCATGAAGCATGTGACTCAAACAGTTTGCATCACACGATGGGTTGTTTCTCTTAGATGTTGTATTGCTGCAGAAAACAAAGCTCAGTGGCAAACGGAAGTTAAAGATACTTTGTTCAAGATATTCTACCCGAATGCACACTCAGAACTCACTACGTAAGCCGATAGACGACCTACACCAGGGTCACTAACGGCGAAATGATGGATTACCCTTTTTGTTCAGAAGTGGAAACCAACTTATAAATATGCGTTGTTGTGGTTATTCGTTTTATTCCCAGCATTATTTGCAATGATCAGTAATTAAGGAGCGACTCAAGGTTCCTGAAGGAAAATACAGAAGCACTAATTAATCTGACAGGATGAAAGAAAAAGCAGTAACCGCTAATTCACACGGAGCTCCACCACTGGAGGCTGGAACCTCTAATGAAGACCAGCGAGCTGCGATGCGAGCAGCTCCCTCCAGCTTTAATCATACAGCCTGAATTATCAAAGGCTCCTTAACTTTCTGCAGTTTAACAAAGCAACGTGCTTTGAATTTTTGGCGGGGCTTTTATCGTCTCGTGAAAGTGGCTCCAAACTATTTTTGACATTTCACCTGTGAATACAAAAGGATTGAAATCCAGTGTTTCCCCAGGGGACGGCCGACGAGATATATGTTTAAAGGCTTTTAAAATTCAACCTTTGTTTAGTTATTGGCCTCAGACTTAAAGAGGAAGTATTTCTCCTGTCTATATTGTGCTCCTGGCCGCGTGCCGACATGCATTACAGCAGCCTCTAGCCACAGCAACCAGTAATCGGCCCCTTTCATGCTCCCAGCAAGCATAACAGCTTGATCCTTCTGCCTCCTCAGCCCGACCGGACATACGACCTGAAGATCGGCCAGCCCACCGTGTCCTACTTCCTCAAGCAGGCGGCGGGCCTCGCCAAAGGGGCCACCAAGACCGGTGAGTTGTGCTGCTGCACACTTACCTATGCACACGCACACACACACCACCTATTTTGCACCGAACCTTTTGGTACGTTTATTACATGACCGTGTCTTCTTGTATTCACGGTCTGAAATATTGTGTGTTTGTGTGTGTGTGTGTGTGTGTGTGTGTGTGTTTGCAGGCCATGAGACCGCGGGGATGGTGTCCGTGCGGGCCGTGTATGAGATTGCTCAGGTGAAAGCTACGGACGAGTGCTTCAAAATGAGGAACGCCTCCCTGGAAACCGTCGTCAAGAGCATCGTCGGCTCGGCGCGTTCGCTCGGCATCCAGGTCGTCAACGAGTGAGTCCCGGTTCTGTGCTCGGTGCACTTTTTTACATTTTCACAGCATTGGGCCTCAACTACAGCGAACTGGTGGGCGTTCAAGCAATGCAGTCAGAGGCCGCTCCAGTCCTGCACTAGTTGGTAGATGAACAAGGACGCACAAAGGAGCATCAAGCCACATTTGATTTATTTTTTTTCCAGCTGTGGCCTGTAGACGTTGTTATGCCTCCTAACGACCACCAGAGGTCACCCTCAGTGGACACAATAACATGAACACCTGCGGTTCAGGACCTCGTTAAATGTATTTCAAAAAGCCCTGCAGCAGAATTACATTTCAGTCTCGTCATCTGTTCATGTTCGTACTCCCGTTATTGGTCCCTTTCATGTAAAAAAAATAATTAGTAGATGGTACAACATCTATATGAATCAATGAACCCGTAAAAAATGGTGTCTATTTGTGTTAATTCGTCACAGTTTAAATGTGTTGCATTGTAGAGGATACTAAAATCTTTACGCAGTACTGATGCTATAAACTTCACTTGCTTTTGTATCAGAATACGTTTTTTACTTTTATGTACTACGTGCACAGCATGAGCTGTTTCAGTTCACTTATTGTACATTTCCCAGAATCCTTCTCTCCCTCTTCCTTTAAACACAAGTCTCGAGGCTGCAGTGCGTTTTTCTTTGTTGAAAGTACTTTTGTTTGCAGAATGCATCCAAAGAAAGATGTCTAGAGAGTTTGAAGATAGAAATGTACACTATTTCTCCCTCTATATCTCACCGCCTTTCTTCCTTCCTCCTCTTCAGTCTCTCAGCCGATGAGTACAAACTCTTCATGGAGCAGAGAGAGGAGAAGTTGAAAGCTGAAGCAGCAGCTGAAGCCGCTGCAGCCGAAGCTCCGCCAGGAAAAAAGAAATGAAGATCTGCAACATTTTTATTATTCTCCCCCATTCCTGTTTGTATTGCGTCTGTATGTGACCTTCTTTCACACACAAACTGTTCATGTCAGTTAATAAACGTAGTTGTTATGTGAACTATTGTTTTCTGTCCTTATTATATATTATATTTCTTTACAGATAATTAGTTTATATGTTGGCAACAAAAGCATCCGCTCATTTATTACCGCAAGCGTTCGATTTCCTCCGAGCCGAAGCTATTGAAGAGTAATTTTGCATTCTTGGAAAAGATAGTTTCTCTTTGATGTTGTTATCTATTATTAAAACTTGTTGAGGCGGTTTGGCTTCTTGTCAGGTTGTGCAGATGGTTACTTGTACATTTCACTTTGGCACACCTCAATCTGTCATCTGAGGTGATCGGATGAATTATTTCAGAGATCATTCGGGCGAGACGATTGACCACAATGTCCGAGATCAATGTATAGTAGTTTAACTACTGCGGATTTTTCACAGAGTCACAGATTTGACCGAAAAATACTGACTGAATGTAGTCATCCACTTAATTTAATTTCTATTTCCTAAATTACAAACCCTGTCATCATCTTGGACATCCGACTAGTTTGTGTTTTCCTGCATTTGCAAAATATTATCTGTCTTAATGGACTCTGACTGCTGTAATTCATTACACTTGTAATGTTATTTGTTCCAGGGAGCGGTCCACATGGACCCTTCCCCTGCCCTTTTTCATCACATGGCCTCCTGCATGTTCCACACAACGCTCCTCTCCGTTGCAACACTCGTCTGTGCCATAAGATGGCGTCAGTCAGCCGAGCAGCTCCTCCTCTGCTGCTCCTCTTCACTCCATCAAAGACCCAGCAGCAGCAGCAGCTAGTGATGGAACAAAATGTTTGCCTTTCAGAAAGCCAGTATAGCGTGTGGAGCTTTTCCTCAGTGCAGCTCATGAATTCTATATCGTGTGACGGGTGATGAGATTGTTCATGATGAACCGTGTTATCCAAGACTCTTTATTGTTTGCCCCTCTCCATCCCGTGGCGACAGAGCATCAGTCAGTCCCTCATCCCACTTTACTGTACCTCTAATTTTAGCCTCCTCTTGCTCCTTCCTTGTCCTCCCTCCCCGCTCTCTCTCTCCAGCCCTCCCCTCAGTGATCCTTTTGAATGGAGGCTGAGAATAGCTGGGAGGCTGTTTCAGTCAGAGCTCTCGAACAGGAATGCCTATATATGGAGTCCTAGACCACGCAGAGCGCTGATAGTCGCAGTTACATCGAGTGAATGTGGGCTACTGTGATTTGTAAAGGGGGAGTCGTGTGTGTGTATGTGCGTGTGCATCATCATCATAAGTGGGAGGGCAACTGTATGTAGGGCTTTTGCGCACGCAAAATCCTCGATGCCAAGGGTGTGCGTCAGTCTGAGTCAGAAAGCGCCTCATGCCGTCTCGTCATGTGTGTGCGTCAGTGCTGTTGCTGAGCGAAACTCGCTCCGGGGGAAGAAACGGAGGAGAGTCTATGGGAGGGAGGAAGAGAGGCAGGGACGGCGCTGTGATGACGACTATGACGATGAGGCTGACGGAGGAACAGGGGGCTTGACGACACGAATGCATCAGCCGCATTAAGTGCACTTTTATTATAAATGCATTTGTATGACAATCAAATACACTTATAAGCAACACAATAGAACACTGGTCCACAATGTCCATTCTGCAGTAAGTAAGACGCTCAGAATATATTCAATCTTATGCAATAAAAATCTCTTTCTTATATGTATACAAGCCAATGACGGTTTCATACAAATGTACAAATGTGTATAACCTTTCTGAAAAGAACATACGCCTACATCCATAGACATAATGCATATGTAATAACATTGTTTTAGCACACGTACAATATAGTCATTTTACACTTGTATATTAACTTAGCCTTGAATAGCTAGAACGTAGGAATCAATCCTTTACTTGACCGTAGACAACTCTACGTGAGCACGTCGACACCATGGGAATAGTACCATTCTCAACCCGTGTCGCTCGGTGACTGAATAGAAATAGCACCCCATCCCCATTTTCATTTTTTAAAACAAAACTTTTGTATTCTTACCCCTCTAAAAAAAGAAGAATCGCTCATTCACATAGTCAATTGTGCCTCGCTGCACCGCACTCCAGTGGAGCGGCGATGTAAACGTCCGTGTTGAACGGACGTGGTCAGAGTTCAGAGTTCAGCAGGTCGGGGGCCGTTTTCGGGCACGCAGGAGCCGCTATAAGCTGCCAGCATTGCAAATATTGATGCTGCAACGATATCCAGCCGACGGCCCCTCAGGCCAGCAGGGACCCGAAGAGCCCACATTCAGAGTCTAATGTCCAGTACGGCGTTTGCAGTGTGATTGTGGCATGATCAGAGCTTCCCAACATGCAGAAAATGTCCCGTACGGTGTTACATGTCATAAAGAGACGGACACCATCGACGTCGTTGAGCTCGTCACATGCCAGGATGTCTTCACTTGTTTTCCTTTTTGCTTGCACATCACATTGATACACAACATTTTAGATGGAGATATAAATATGAAATGTTAAAAGGTTCAAAGCCGCAAACTCAGAGCTCAAAGTATCTGGTTTGATTTACTTTTTAGTTTTGATGTTGCCTGGTAGGCTGTCAAAGTGCTATCAAATCAGAGCTGTATTGACTCTGAAGACAGGGTAGGAGAGTTCTCAGGAAGAACGAGTTATGATTTACTGATAGTGGTCATCCTAAGGATGGAAACAATTTGTAAACATTTGACTTCATTTGAGGTTTGGGTTTGCGTTGCTTCATGTCAGACAAAAGTCCAGTGCAATCTCTCATATTAAATAGCAAGAAATGGTCTCTTTTTTTTCTTTTCTTTTTTGTTCACAATTGATTTTTCACTACAAGTGAATACAAATGCGCATCTGGAAGTTTAACAGCGCTTACAAGTTCAGAGAAGGTTCCCTGTTTGATCATATCTGAAGCTTGTGTTACAGAGAAGCCGAGAGACACCACATGGACTCAGAACCCAGTCAGTTGTGAGTCCATGTGCTTGAATCATGTAAATGTTGCACTAGTGGTGTTTGATAGTATACAGATTAATGACTGAACAAAAATATAAAGCCAATCTTTGTTCTGAGGAGATGTAGGAGTTAAAGTCCTTAAGTTGTATATACATTATGTATATTTATACACTTAGTCATTTTTTACTTTTCAGTAAAAGGGGCTCCACAAAATATGACAATATGCCATACTTAATGAAGTAAGTCACAGACTTATTTTAGAACGGAGGAACACTTCCACTCCCATCTGAAAGACACAAAAAGGGAAAAAGGACGTTAGTGGTGTATTTTCAGAAACAGTTTTTTTTTTTCTGATTCGAAAAAGAGACCGAGACAGCTTCTTACCTTTGTGGAAGCACTGTGATGATGGATGACATTGGAGTTGATACAACTCAGGTTGTTGCCCTAAGTCAGGGGCGATCGAGGCACCTGCCCCAAACATGGGTTCCAGCACAGCCAGTTCCTCCAGGAGGGACTGATTGCGAGACACAGCAGGAGAGGGCGAGGCGATGGAAGCGGAGGTGGCTGGTCTGGGGGAGGCGGTGAGTAGGAGGGGAGGGGAAGCTGGGATGGAGGAGCATGAGGACACAGGAGATGACACCACCTCGATCTCCATTGCCTCCTCCGCTAGGCCCTCTCCTCCCGCCGACGCCTCGGCTGCCGGCGTCGCCCCGCACCCGGCCGTGGGGTTAAACTGCGCCGACTGGACGCTACAGAAGCGGCCCGCTCCCTCAAACTGGGAGGGTTGGTGCCAGCACACCGGGGTCTGAAGAGAGATCGGGCTGGAGAGGTCGGGCATTGGGGAGGTGGAGGGGGATGGGGGGGAGAGGCCGGGGGACTGGGGAGGAATAAAGTTGTCCTGGAGGAGGTTTTCCAGGATGCTCTCTTCAAACAGAGAGTCATCATCATCGAGGAACATGGGGAAGTCCAGACCTCTCCATGCTTTAATGGGATAAAACTCCCTAAGCGTGTGGACGGAATCGCCATCAGCGGTTTCTGTGGCAGGAGACAGAAAGGGGGAGGGAGGGGAGGATGAAGGCGACATGGAGGGGGGAGAGAGTTTGGACAAGAGCGGATCCAGGTAGAACCCCTCTGCGAGGGAGCTGATGTGCTGAGCCAGGAGGGAGATCTCTGCTCTTTCCTTCTCCCTCTCCAGGGAGAAGAAGGAGAGGCAGGGCTGTTTACCGGGTGATGCCTCGGGGGTGAGAAGGCCTTCTGGGGGACACTGCAGGGGCCCGAGTGGCACATCTACATACAGCGGACCCCGAACCTCGGGCAGGGTCATCACTGTGCAGTCGCCGTCTCCGGGGCTGTCGGGCGTTGGGGGCAGCTTCTCGTAAAGGCCGCCGCTGCCGTGCTCGCCAGAGAAGAGGAAGTCAGTGGACGGAGTAGCTAGCTTGAGGGCGAGCTTGGTGGACGTGGTGTTGGGAGGGGGGCTGGAGGCGGTGGTTGGTGGGGCTGAGGTGGAACTTGAAGGGGCCACCGTGGTGGTGGAGGTGGCTGTTGCGGCAGGGGGAGGTGGAGTGGTGGTGCCGGCGGGGTCGAAGCTAACGAGCGGTTCACCGAATGGGAAACTAGACCCGGCAATATGGGGCGTGTATGGTGGCGTGCACACAAACTCTTTGGTCTGCTGCGCTTGCGACGTGGGCATAGGGGGAAGACGCAGGGGGAGGCGATGTACGTGGGGGGTCCAGCTCGACAGATGCCGCCAGGAGGATGTCTGCGTTAAAAAGTCCCAGTCTGGCTACTGTTTCGCGCGTGCCTGGAGTGAGGAGGAGCCTGCTGAGGGGCTTTCAGCGGGGTGCTGCTGGAAGAAGCCTTCTCCCTCCATGGAGGAGATACTGGAACGAGAGTCACCCTCCACCTGCATGGCCTCGGCAGCGGAGCTCCCGGGTTCGTCGGACGAGCCCACGCTGCAGCCAGCCGTGCTGAAGTCGAAGGACTGGGCCGACAGGCCGCTGCTGCCCGGGGTGAAGACCTGGTCTGGACTGGACAGGGTGTCTGGAGACTGGAGGCCCAGGCCCTCCTGCTGGGAGGCACCTGCACTCAGAACCAGGGTCAGCTGGGTCTGCTCGGTGCTGAGCTGCTGACGCACTGACCAGGCCTCAGTCTCACTAAGAGAGAGAGGAGAAGAAGAAACGGAGGAAGAACAGTGAGTAACGGTTGTATTTTTACTTGTTTTCATCTGTGTTTTGTCTCGTTATATAAACGGTGTGTCGTTGAAAGAGAGGCGGTAAATACCTGATGATGTAGTTGTTGCTGCTGATGGGGATTTCTCCGGGTTGCAGCTGAAGCACCATGTAGAGCCAAACCCACGACTGGTCCTGGGTTTGCACACGCACCACCATTTCAGCTCTGCCCTCCCCGCCTTCTCTCACTGTAGAACAACAGTCACAGAACCAGTTGGCATCGGATTGTAATCCTATTAATCATCGTAGGGTTTTTCCACTGCGTGGATGTGCCAGTGGGCACCATGTGTGTGTAATTGTGTGGGCAGGGGTGTTTGTAGAGTACACTTACATAGGCTGCGGTGCTGAGCGGAGGCATGTGACAGATCCTGTGGGTGGAGGAGGCTGTACCAGGAGCAAGATCGTAAAGCTGTCACATCAAAGCCGAGATAGGCGCTCACGCTGTAGGAGAGAGTGGGTGGTGATGTGTTAGGGGGACTTTTATTTAAACGTATCATCAACATTTAATGTACCAGTAAATATTAAAGCAACAGGTGGAGGCGAGGGTCTGTTTCTCTTGTGGGCTCACCTGTCCTGGGCGGCCTGCAGCCTCATGTCCCGGCCGTGCTGGGAGTGGAAGCAGGCCAGGAACAGGTTGGTCTCCGCCAGGGGAGGGGCGGAGGTCGACTCCGCCTCTTCCCCGGGGCTGGAGCGGGACGGGTGGGGCTCCAGAGGGGAGCAGAAACACACCCAGGCGGTGTTGGATGTCCAGTAGGACCCGCTGGCGGGGGAGGCGGAGAGGGGAGAGAGGCAGCGAGCTCGGATCAGAACCGTTTTGTTCCCAGCACTCTGCCTCCGCACGGACTTGGAGGTGTTGAAACGGCAGCGGAAAAGGCGATCTGTGGAGGAGAAGATGAGCGGTTCATTTAAAAAAACATATATAATATATATACATAAATCTGTCTGCATTAGGTGGGGAAAAGAGATTCCAACTCGTGCATGTAATGTTTGTCTTACCCATCTCAAGTGATGAGGACGTTGACAGGTTGCTCCTCATGACAAAGTGGTCTGAGGCGTCGATGATATCATACACGCTGTCCCCCTGTGCCACGAGATCCACCTGAAGAAGAAAAAACACCCCATTACAAACAGAAACGTAATTCACGAAGCCCAAGGGAGAGCTTGGATACATATTCATACTACACCACAAGAGGAATGGGGTTGCATGTAGACTCACCATGGAGTGTCCGAGGTGCTCGGAGACGCTGTCCGACAGGTACAGCAGCTTCCCTTCCCCAGTCAGCAGCATCAGGAACCCCGGCAGCGCCTGCATCAACTCCGACAGTTCTCGGAAAGACAGGATGCTCGCCCTCTCCTCGGGACCAGCCTCCGCTTCTGCAGACGTGTGGAAAGGCACGGAGCAGAAACGCGTTACCCAACACGTTGAGAATAAACGCAACGTGTATGATCCCCGCAATGTGGAGACGTCGGCCGCAGTGTGCTTCAGCACCGCGGACAGCGGCGCGGCTCTGTTATTTATGGCGCTACGGTAGTTCAGCACCACGGACAGCGAGACACTATTTAAATCGCGTTAGAGCGTCCATGACAATGATGAGCCGCGGCTCTGCGGTTTATTCAGAAAATTAGCCTTATGTCGAGTCAATTGGCTGCTGTGTCACTGAAACACTTGTTGATTCCGCCGCTGTGAGGGATTGCGGGCGTTCAATGCAGCACCGTCACCAACAGGTCTTTTTTTTTTTTTTATTCAGAGTAAATTGATTCTTACCTGGACTGAAGAAGACGGATTTCCTGGTGTACATGCAGGCAAGTGACATGATGTGCAGGTATGAGAGCCGCGCTTTATCTGCATCGGAAATGGGCAACAAGTCCTTCAGGTTCCGGATCTCGGCGTTGATCTGGTCCCGTCGAGCCTTGGATGCTCCTTTGGTTGAGCGGTACATCGTGGCGGGTTGTTCGCGGTGAACTGTCGAAATTCCTCCAGGTGTGAGTTGGAGAGTCGAGGGTTGTTTTGTCAAACGCGGCGCCTCGGCTGGACTCGGCGCGTCCTGGTCTCCGAAATGATTCAGGAGATCGGTGGTGGCAGTGGCAAAGCTGGTGAGGTGTGTTATTGGACTTTCATCTCAGCTCGTTTTTTTTTTTTCCAGAGAAAGGTGTAAAAACCTTCTCTCGTGCCGTCTCAAGTCGGCTTCAGTTCCGCCACAGCGTCCAGCTCGGATGCTGGAGGTCTGTGGTAGCCGTCTCTCGCACTGAAGTCCGGAACCCGTAAATCTGGTTGAGGGACTCTGCTCGCGGGGCACTTATATAGCTCGGGACTCCACCGGAGCAGGGGGGCTCCCAGCGCATCGACACCGACGTAAAACCGAGGGAGGCGGGGTGGTGGGGTGCAGAGGAGAAGAAGGAGGGGGCCGAGGGGGGCGGTAGATACGTCTCGTATCGGTGTAAGCATTGGTGGAGGGCTCCCCCTCCCTCTCCAGTGCCCTCTCCACTCGGTGACTCTCCATCGACGTCAGCTCTTCCTTCTACTCGGTGATGACGTCGGGATGAAATCGGGAGCTCCGGCGACGCATAAAGCCCGATTTGGACAAAACCGAGTAAGGGGCGGGGCGAGCGTAAAACGTAGACGGAGTCACCGGACTGCGTTGTATTGGGGGAGGAGGGGAGCCAGAGAAGGAGGAGGAGAGGGGGGGGGGGGGGGGGGGGGGGGAGAGACTGCGTTGCATACGAACGAGGTCTGTTTATGTCTGGCACGCCACCCGTTGCGGCCCGTTTGCCCGGGAGCCACGTCGGCGGACAGGTGCGTGTCAGGTGCGAGTCTGTCGTTTCACTTCGACCACATTTACCGTCACCATTTAAAGGCACGGTGGATTGATGACGCAGATGGACGTGGACGCTGAGGCTGTTTCTCCGTCGCCTTTTTGTGAATGGAGATCCTCTGGCGAGCAGCTGGAAACAGCGACATACGCGCAAACACACACACGTCTTTTGATTTTCTACTGTAGATTAATGCTGTGGATGTTTAGTACCGTTACTAGATTTAAAATATATATATTTTTCCTCCAATAGCCACTGAAATGCTGAATGTTTTTTTTTAATTGGTGTTCTGTATAATACACGTCGGAGATCTTTTTAAATGAACTAAAGGCTTTCAGATTCGGATATAAAAGGCGTGAATGATCCAACAGCACGTTGACTCCCTTCGGTGCTGCGCCTTTATAACAACATGGACGATATGGAACATGCAGAGCATCAGCAGCCATATGCTGAATGAAACCACACGCACACACACACACACACACACACACACACACACACACACACACACACACACACACACACACACACACACACACACACACACACACACACCGATCAGTATCCGTGTTGTCATAATTCCCTCTATTAACAACTTAACAAATGACATGCGTGAGTCGGCGCTTTGTTGTGTTGCCGGTCTTTAAAAAGCTCAATGAAAAGTGAAGTAATTTTAATGAATGAAATTTCTGCCTAGAAAAGCAGCCACCGGTGTCACGTGAGGGTTAACTGCTGTTTCTAAAAATAGGTCTCACTTACCGAGACGCGCGCCCCCGCGTCCCGCTTCGATCATCCTATTTATAGATGAGGAGATTTCACGTTTAGCCCCCAAAATAGACCTGAGTATGTACTTCACACAGCCGAGCACACGTTCACGAACGTACCTTTGTCACATAGTTCCTATTTATTAAATTATTTTGCGTGAAGAGATGAGAGTCGTTGTGGCAAATAGGTTCCATTGAAAACTAAGTGGAGAGCATGTTCCCAAGGTCTGTGTGTGTGTGTGTGTGTGTGTGTGTGTGTGTGTGTGTGTGTGTGTGTGTGTGTGTGTGTGTGTGTGTGTGTGTGTGTGTGTTACTCGTGTTGTGGGGACACATCTGTTGAAAGAGAGGTTAAGAGTTGTTTTGGTCAGACGTGTCCGATTGGGTGGGAATTATTGTAGGTCAATGGTTGATGAAAATGCGTCTCTGCGTTCATTCTCCATAGACAATTTAATTGTAGGAATAGAAAACAGAATCTAGTGTGTGAATAAATATGAATAGAGATGAATGTATTTAAACAGGATTATGTCCATTTTATTAAAAAGGTAATGTCAATAATTTGTCCCAGTTGTGAACGTTTTTAATATGCGGACAATAAGGCTTTGATGAATCATCCAACTTCTCGTTTCAGTTTTCCTTGTTTCATTGCCTTCCGTCTCCTTTGAGGGTTTTTTGTCTCATATTTATATTGGATGACTCAGCCGGCTCTGCTTCCTATTCTGGTTGCATTTCCATCCCTGGTTCCTGCTCGATAGAATGGCACATTTTCACCTGCAGGTATTTATTGATGGATTTTTTTCCACTGACAATGACAGCCAGACTTCACCTTCAAGTGTGTGAAGTTTGAATCTCTTGAAGCCGTAGCAGCGAGAGGCATGAGCTTGTCGGCTGCACGTCACATGGGCCATCATCAGCGCCTCCAGAGCAGAAATACTTCACATGTTGGCACCAGTCACAATGACATCTGTTCTCCTGTTGGCTGTCCTGGATGCAACGTCACACGCATTCATCACGGCAGGTCACCCAGGGAACACATCATTGGACCGAGGTTGTGCTTTTTTCTTCTTTTTTTTTCTGATCCAGCCCCGAAAGGATTCAAGTTGAATCGCTCTTTGTTTTGGTGTTAAAGATCATCGAGAGGTTATTTTTCCTTCTGGACGCGATGACAGTGTTTAGGTGGTGAGTGATGATGTCCTCCAATGCCGAATAGGCTGCAAAAGGGGAACACGATGTTCTCAACCAGCTGCACCAGCCTTGGTGCTCTGCGTGGTGGCGTCATTAGCAACACAACTATTCCAGCAATGTCGTTTCATGTAGAAAATAAAGCATTAAATCGAGCCAACAACACATTTCAGTCTGCCGCATCATTAACTAGCCCATAAGCGAGTCTGTGGGCTTGTCTCATTGTGGCCATCATCACAGTAATAAATGACAGCAAACCATCTCAAGGACAAAAAGAATAATTGCTGACCGCTAAAATACTTTCATCGGTCACCATCAATCACAACTTAATTTGACAGTGAATTATTTAGACATTATCTCTCCGTATTCTTCAAAAACCCTCATTGTTTGCATTGCATTTGCATCAATCGTTAAACCACCTATTCATTATCACCCACCGTTTACTTCAGCTTTTTCTTCCGATTCATGAATATGTGAAATAGACTCTCAACCTTATCTGCTGAGTGTTATTGTCCCACTCCGTTGCTCTCGAGTTTCGTCTCCGTTCTTAAATCATCATCTTGGAAAATACTTTGTCCTGTTTGCTCGACAGGCTTTAAATCTGCCAAACACAGTTCACTTAATATAGGAAATATCTGCACTTGATTACCAAAGCCTGATGGCTGAACACTCACCTTGATATGATTCATTCGGCAAAGGATGCTGAGTGCCGGAGAGAAAACAAACCCTGTTTGTGTGTCTCTTTATCTTTACGTCCTTTTTACTTCATCATTGGTTCATTTTGTCTGCGGATTTTAAACGGAGATGTTTGGGGTTGTGACTTCACATTTAGCTTCATGCACTAATTGAAACGAAAGGACTGATGGTTTATTGCCACTGTGGGGAATAAGTCACAGGTTAAACAAATTACGTTCGTCACCCTGACAACCGTTTCTGGTGAAAGTCTTTTGAATGAGAGGGAGAGTTTTATAAACATTCAATGTTTTTAAAACCAGATTAAAGATCATTTTACCACTGACATTTTACTACTTTCCCAAACTTGGAATGAAAATAATGTGATGCTATTTATAACTTGCTACAGTATTTAGTTCTTTTTTGTTCATGTGTTTTTATCTTTTACAACTGTGAAATAGGTTTAAAGTCTCAATGTGATTATCCGAATATATAACAACTATATAACAGTTGAATAAAATTAAGCAATGAAAGGTTCCACATATACATAAAACAATATATTTCTGTAATTATTAAGTGGATTCATAAGACCCAGTGTATGCACATTGATTCATTAAATAACACAGCAGCATAAATCCTCACTTCCTGATAAGTGTTGTTTGCATTATCAAGCAGCTGAATGGTTTTAATGTTTAGTATACTGGTTCTTTTTGGTTTGAATAGAGCAGAACTGTGACTGCTTCTGCATCTCATTCGCTCTGGATTTGTCGCTAAGCACACGCCGCTTTCCTCGAAGCTTTTGTGTTTTCTCAAGGTTAGAAAAAGAAAAACAGCAGTGGGAAACTTTCTCTGGGCGAAAAATAGCACACATCTTCATGCACGAGCTCCCAGAAAACTAACACTCAAAGTTTGTTTAAATTTTCTTTCTCGTGGGTCCTTACGGTGTCCCACACACTCTCTTGTTTCAAGCGGCGGCGTTTGTTGCATTTGTCATGATAACGCCATAATGGGACAGGGTGGTGTCTGCATCGGAGGTGGGTGCAGAGATGGAGGTGACATGTTCACAGGCGGGGGGGTCAAGAGCGAGGCGGTCGCAGGGATGAGCATCTCGTCTCCCTGATACCGAAAGGACTCGAATGAATCAATTATCGAGCCGTCCTCGTGCGAAAAGGCTCCTTGTTTGCCTCGATATTCGTGCGGAGGGTCGTTGAGTTTTATGATCCCGTTAAGGACAAACACTCACTCATTCACCCAGAGTCATTTGTTCTCTCACTCGCTTATTCACTGACTCTCAGACACTTTCTAACTAAATCACGCTCTGTGTCGAACACGCATGAACCGATTTTTTTTATGCAGAAATTTAAAAAAGAATCCCATGATGAATGCAAACGGTAGAAAAAAAAGTATAACGTACTTTGGTGTTTTATTTAAACTTGTTTTTTTACTTTTTACAATGCGCACCAAACCACAGCCGCGTAGATTCCTCTCATTCAATCTTTCACCGTCCTTTCAACTCATATATTATCACAAGATTGTGACAGATGTCTCTGTTCTCCACACACACACACACACACACACACACACACACACATACACACACACACACACACACACACACACACACACACACACACATACACACAGTTTCACACGTTCACCGAGCAGATGCACAAAGCGCACGAGTGTTCTTGCTCTGCACACACGTACAGTCGCCAACAGGTGTGACTTTCACAGCTTGAAGGCTGAAGCTGCAGATGAGGGTCGAGCAGCATGTTCCTCCACAACCTGAGTCATCACATCACAGGGAACAGAGAGGATACATCATCGCTCTCTGGATCCGCCCCGTCATACTGTGACT